TGATCATATAAAACACAATTATTATTCACTTGTACAGTTTGAAGGCAAAGGGGCAACGGTTCAAGCCCCCTATGGGGTTCATCTGTGTGCTTGCCTATCTAGGCCTTACACAGATGGACTTACACACGCAGCATTTAAAATCAGTGCATATGTACTTATTATATTATAATATTATTATTAACATCATAAAATCATAACTTAGATCATCCAAAAGAAAAGAACTTGCTGATTGCATGTTAGGAGCAAATATTGGCTGATTTTGTTTGTGCAGCTTTTGCAAATCATGCTAATCATGACTTTTGAAAGTAGTGCTAAGCTGAATGTTGCCTGCTGTAGAAAAGATAACCATTTTTGTCACATATTAATCTTCCATACCATCATCATACTTGGTGCCATTTTTGGTTTTAGAAACATATGTGTACTGTTTTGTTGTTTTGTGTGCTTTGGCCCAGTGTTTAGCTTGAGAAGAACACTCGCAGTTAGACTGAGTGAACAAACGCCTCTGATTTGGCTCACACAAATGCTGCTACAGTGTAATTAATGGTTACTTGTGAGTAATGTTCTTAGTTTGGAGCAAAACCAAAGATTTGAGTGAATCAGTTGATTGTCCAGCTGCTTCTTGTTCAGTGTGGACATGCCCTTCACCTACTGCAATGAAGATGTATGTGAGCAGAGAAATTAGAACATACAGTATTTATTCTGAGGCGATATTCACTGCGTGAAGCTGCGTGTCATGCAGAATTACTCCAAAGAGGCTGAACTTGCTGTATTTTAATCAAATCATTATGCAATGAGCTTAACACCTAAGGCCATATGAATGCCACATGGTCCAGTACATAATTAAGCTGTAAACTGTAAATAGATAATGAAACATTCTGACAGTGTCAGAGCAGCATCTTTTGTCTGCTAGAGCATCACTTTAGAGGCAATGATTGGCTTAACATTTAGTTCTAAATGTTATTTGCATTATTACTGTAGTGCTTGTTGTGTCAGAGAACAGTATATAGAGATGCTAATGATTTTAAATGATTTTAATGAGAGCATCTGTGTTTTCAGATCATCTTGTTTTTCTTCTTGCTTTGGCTGTCCTTGACCTACATTTGCACTTCTATATTCTCCAGAGGTGGGGAAGAGAGAGAGAGAGAGAGAGAGAGTCAGTTCTTCAGGTCTCTGGGTTTGGTGATATCTCCACATGGCCTTCTTTCTCTGTTGTAGTGCCTACCAGACCTGAAGTAATGTTGCAATGAAATATTGATGTTTACGTGTAACTCGTCTGGTGTAACAAGCAGGGCAAAGTGAATGTGAGGTCATAAGAGACGAATCCTCTTTTTGACAGTGCTAGCTTGATCATTTAGTGTAGTAGATACAGCAAAAGCAGTGAGTAATACTGAATCTAAACTACTGTGAGGTCTATTGTAATGAACCCATTGCAATTCTTTTCTAAATGGCAAATAAATATTTGTCAAAGTGTGATTTCTTCTGGGAACTTAGAAATTAATGCTGCTTAATCAAACTCTTATCAAAACTGTTTTTAGTACATCATTTACCCAATTTCCCTTATAAAGGAAAAATGATTTTTTTCTCACTTTTTTGTAATAAAAGTGTTTGACATAGTATGTAAATACTGTTCACGTTTCAAATCATACTGTTCACTCCCCCAGTCCATACAGTCCATATATGGAAACCGATCTTCAAAAACAGGCTGTTTTTATTTCATTGGTTTTATGATGTCACACACATTTGTATATAGCCACCTTTCAAGCCTACAGCAGTTTAGTTCTGCCCATTCACACTGAAGTTAAAAGGAGTGTTTCAACTTTGGACTGCTTTTTAAAGGAAGCACAGTACAAAGCAGCCAATCAGAGCATAGATCATTTACATAACAGCACTGTTGGGACAAAACCTTGTATGTTATTTTTAATTTTTTGACATAATTTAAAAGTACCAGTTCCTCATTACATTAAGACAAAGTTTCATGATGAATGGATCAAAATTTGTTGGAATAAATCATTTCTAAATTAACTTCTGCCCTGCGATGGACTGCCTTCTGCCCAATGACCGCTGGGATAGGCTCCAGCTCCCCCATGACCCAGGAGGATTAGCAGCTTAAATAATGTGTGTGTGTTTTAACTTCCATGTAAGCTTAAGAATGTTTCTTGCTTCTCTTATAAAGTTATCATTTTGGAGATATGATATTTTGTTCCAACAGCGATGATATATATCAGTCTTAAAGGCACAGTAACAAAATAGTCTGTTTAATTCAAAGAGATGAAGAGGTCGGTCATGTAAAGTTGAATTATGACTCTTACATAAAACACAAGCATTAAGTGGACCTCAGAGAAAAAATATAAAATTACTTAAAAAATGTAGGATATGGACCCTTAACTTTTCATGATGAATGGACCAATAGAAATGTTATATACACATAAAAACTCTTTACATTTGTGAACATTGAAGTTAAGAATATTTTCCTTTTCAATGGCAAAGCTGGGAAAATTGAACTCTTTACAGAATGTTCCTATTTGTAGATAGAGGATCATGGCTGCTAGCTGTGGTAAAATCTTTCATTGCAGTCCAATTTAAAACAATGATGGCTGTTTGCCATTGTCTGTTTACTGCCAACATGTAAACGCAGCATTAGATTATAAAGGTTCCCAAATGGTTCTTGGCTTGGTACAGTTCTAGGAAAATCATTTTACGTTATGTGGAGAAAGTAATTGATTGAAAAGTTCTTTAGAACCATCTGTTGAAAAGTAGCTCTTCAAGGATAGTTCTTCAAAGAACTCTTTTTGGCTCCCTCATTCTTAGTGTACATGTCTTCTGAGCCTATGCAGCTTGCTTCAGCTGAGGCCAGTGACTTAATATTATGTGCAGTATTTGTGAATGCCTCATAATTCTTGGCGATGGCTGTCTCATTTGCATATTTCATGTGTTCACCCTCTCCATTGTTTTCTGTGCTTGTTTCCATGTCACATGCGTCCTCTGGGAATAGCAAGAATTGAGGCCCAGAGGTAGAAACGCCTGCATGTTCAGTGTGATGATGGTAGGATCTGAGGGTCTTCTGTCTATAGGACTAAAATGGCAGCAGAAATTAGTTATGCCCCTTCATGGATTCTTTCTTTTTCACAATCTTGCCCATTTTGATTCAGGGGGCTGTGTTGCTGGGCAGATGATGTTTCAGATTTAGAAATGTAGTTGATTGGCTATTATGATTCCTTCCAGTGGTGATTATACAGGGTTGTGTTGCCATAAATGAGGCTTCCTGGTATAAACAAAATTGCATCTGATACTTGATCAGCCAGGATTGTAGTTTAAAAACAGAGTTTGTTCAAACGTTAACCATTTTAGTATGCAGGAGCATGTTTAGTATGAATTGGTGTGTTGGTATAGTGCATCACAATGACAGCCTCTGAGCTCAAATCCTGACTGGTGCACCCACGCAAAGTAGCAACAAAATAGTGAATAGGATGAAAAGGACCCTGACAATACCTGCTTTCCCCTGAAAATGAGCTAAGTGGAGTTTAATGGATGCACAATCAGTTAAAGCTTGCTTGGTTTTTGCTTGTAGTATGTTAGTTAACATAAACCAGAGATTTTTGTGGTTGGTGAAGTGAGACTGCCGTTATATAATGTTTCTCATATCTTCTGCCAGTGCTCACCCGTGTCTCTAGTCTTTAGTGTTCCCCAGTACGCACGACTGCCTCATCTGCCAGTCTGACTCGGTTTGAACCAAGAGGAAGAAGTGAATCAGCAATGACACACGCACACGCATGCACGGTTGCTCCACAGCAGCGGCACATGATCAGCACCCTCACTCATATAGACATTGCTACACACAAAAATACTGTACACTGAGGGTTGGATTGTAGAGAGGGAAATAGTTGTAGATGGAAAGGGAAGCACTACTAGCAAGGCTCGATTTGAGGATTAGTGTAAAACCATAGAAAACTGCCATCACATTTTCCATCACATTTGGATTAAAGTTATAATATCACCTGAAATTATTTTTTATACATATTTTAATTACAGTGCTGTGGAAAAGATCAGAGACCACCCTTCATTTATTTAATTTTCCTTCAAAATCACCATTAAGTACAAGTTATTTGTTTTTTAGAAAATGAAACAGAAAACATATTTTTAACAGAACATTACGCAGATGCCTCAACACCTAAATATAATTTCATTTTTTAGTATTTAACATATCCACTTTTTACCTTTATTACAGCTTCCATTCTTTCAGCTTCCTTTTCTTTCAGGAGACTTGTTTTCAATTTTTCCACACCTCCAAACTTCAGTCCTAGAAGTTGTCTCCTTTTCACGATCCAAGTAATCCTAAACACATTCAGTGATGTTGAAGTCTGGATTCTGGGTGGTCATGACATTAGTCTGAGAACACCAGGAGCTTGGTGGCTAGGTGTCCCATTATCTCTGTATCTTTTAATCATTTTTTCAACTTTAGGTTTTAGAAACTCCTATTTTTCAGTTATTGTTTTTGACTTTCACTATATGAAAACAGGTTACTTTATATCTGATCTCTTCGAAAATATAAACTGAAAAAAAATAATATATTGTACTTAATGGTTGTTTGAAATGGAATTGAAATACATTGGAGGTGGTTTCTGACTTTTTACAGTACTTTACATCCAAATTTGAGATTTAAACACCAAGTGGCGGTGGCTATTTGGAAGCACCCCTGCCCCACCCCATTGTTTGGACCCACCATAAACCTATGCTTTTTTACAGTTCAACCATTGACTATTGGATACATCTTTCAGTCACATTTGAGTGTGTGAACTGGAGATGCATACACTCATATGTGGTCACAAAGGCTTATTCTCCTTTTGAGCACATTTTCCATTCCACCCTGTTGGAGCAAGGGTCATGGTGAAGCCTGAATGCTTGAGTCAACATTCAGCAGTAACTAGTACACATGCTTGCACACACACACAGAGGCACACACAAAAAAATGACTAGAGGTCTTGATAGCTGTGTTGACTGTCTGTGCATTTTTAGTACAGTGTGGTGTTCAGTATGTCTCTGGTGTGGGTGGTCTGCAGAGTTGATGGAGCTGTATTTTGCTTCCAGAATATGCCAGTGTTACTTATAATGCAAGCTAACCTTTGTGTGTTTGCAAATTATGGTCTGGTTACTGTGTCCATTTGCTATGAAGGTCAGTAATAACCATTTATGTGTAAAGGTCCTGCACATTGCTCTTTTAAACCCTTGATGTCTAGATTTATTCATGTTGTTTTGCTTTTCTATTTTAGATTTAATTTACATTACATAATGATTTAAATGCAATTACATGATGATAACATATTTAGTTACATAATGAATTTCATGTACATTCATTTTATGTCAACAGCTTCAAGCCTGCACTGTTTCTGTTTGTGTAATTTCAACATCAACCAGACAAAAATCTGTCAAAAAGTATTTTTTAAATACGAAACATGACTGTACTCACAAAAGCTTTTCATCAAATTCATATTATAGTAAAATATTTCTTCTTCTACTTATAAACAGAAATGTGGCATCAATTGAAAGTTTAGAATTTGCACTTTCAACAGAATTACTCTGTGCTAATGGGCTACGATTAAGAAACAAAGTAAAGTACAAAGAAAGAACAAGAGCAAAATATAAGAAGCCACATGCTAATTGTGGCAAAGACAACCCCATTTATTTATTAAATCGTTCAGTCAAAGCAGCCATTAACAACAACTAATTCATTTTTCAGCAACAGGAACAGAAGCAGAAAACATGGATTTAATATATTTATAGTCTAAAATATTAAATATATTAATATATAATATATATAAATATATTGAACAATGTTTGTTTTATTTGTTCAGTTTGTTGCATTTTCTGATTCTCATGACTAAAGTGATCCCACATACATATTTAGAGTCATCAGTCCATAACACCTTACTGCACATCTCAGTCCAGTTCCCATGTTCTAATGTCATCTTCTTTGTCAATTTCTTTTTCTCAGTAACGGCTTCTTGGCAGCAACACATGCGTTCAGACTCATAGTGTTGAGTTATCTTCTCACAGTGGAAGGATGGACAGAAACACCTGTGGATTTTTTATGTTAGATCTGAAGCAGGAGTGTAGCTTGATTTTTGTTTCTTTGACTTTCCTCTTCCGGTCTCTTTTAAGCATAACATAATGTCATTGACACTTTTGGGAACAGCTTCTGTTGGGAGGACTCAGCTGTAACTCACTGGGTTGAAGGATGGAAGGGACAGTGACAGTAAGGTGCACAACAGAGCTAACAAATTAAATACTTATGGATTTGATATCATACTTAGAGCTGGAGGCTTCTGTGTAATTTTCTGTGAAATGTTTCCTGCTTTTTTCTAAAACTAGCTAGTACTTAACAGCTGTTGTGAAAGCTGAATAAACAAAAGGGTGGTCTCTGACTTTGGCACAGTACTGTATGAAAGTTCATGAATGGAGGTAAGGATTTCCATAACTGGCTTTGCTCTATTTGCCAGTTTCAAAATGGTTAAATACTTCTGCAGCCTGGTCCTTCCTTTTTCCCGTAAATTCAGCTGCGTGTTTGAGGAGAGTACAGTTTGGGCCTGTGTGTGTGTAACACTGCTCTGGCATGTGGGTCCAAGGACACTCCACGCGACTGCCCTGGGACAAGTGCTCCCTGCATCATCCCCCAGCGTAATCATCTCTGCGCAGTGTTATGTCAGAGGCCCTCTCATTTGTATTTATATCATGTTATATTATGCGAAAAAAAGAAAAAAAGCTGGTTGCCGTCATTTGGCCAGAGGTCTTGAATCTTTTTTAGACCTTTGAAGAGTCTCCTTGGATCATGCTGCTGTGGGGAGCAGGGTTGTTTGTGTGTGTGTGTGTGTGTGTGTGTGTGTGTGTGGGTGTATGCCCAACAGCATGACTTGTGTCCCGTCTCTTTACACACACTCACTCACCCCTCAGGTCTGTTCTGACCTTTTTTGGTCCACCGCAGAGATTCTCTTAGATTTGACACAGCTCAGCTTGATTGGCTAACAGCATGTGAAGAGGATGAGCAGAGTACATGAGCTAAATAGGGATCACAGTGGGGATCAAATGACTCTTTTAAGTTTATACTTCACAGATATACCAAGATGTCTCCTTATATGCCCAGAGTTCATTTTATTTATGTTATTTCATACTATTATTATTGTATTTCAAGTGTTCAGTCTCGCTCTATGGGTGGGTAGGATGGCCCTCCCTCTCCCTCCATCACTCAGCACAGTGCTAACCAACACGGGTGTCAGTTAGCTCATGAAACAGAATTCTCCTCCAAGCATGCTGAGCTGTGCAATCACGTTGCATTAGCGGCAGTTTGAGAAGATGCAGTGGAGCTTCATTTTTCTTAGGGGGCACATGCACTAGCACTCATCCTCACAGCTTGGTAGCTTTATGTGGTTGGGGAGACCTAGCTGGCAGGTGGGAAATGGACTATGGATTTTGAGGATCATTGGGTTAAAAAGGTACGAGATTATATGTATTGTGGTTTTTGATATCATGCATTTTCAAGGTACAGGAGAAAAAGAAATGCCAGCATTCAGCTATTATGTTTTTGGACCATGTTCAATAGGCAAAACTAGATCACAGCATCTGGTGAAAGCGTAATTAACACAAACAAGTAATTTTTCATACAAGACAAATGAATTAAAAGCACAAAGTTTCAGTTGTGGCACAGATTTTTCATCTTATTTTTGTAGTTGACTTTTTTAGGAATTGTAAATACCTGGGTGGGTGACATGACAAAAATATTGTATCATGATACATGATATACATCACAGTATTTAGTTTTTCTGAGATTTAAAGTTGGAACAGACATGTAGGACCTGAAGTGCCATATATAAAAATACTACTACTAATAATAAACCTACAACTACAATAATTTGATATACATATTTTACAAAATGCACTGCACTAAATTTAATGAAACAGGCCTAGTTATGCTCACTTTGTAATGAAACATTGTTAGTTTGTGTTATTTAAGTACTGATGATATCCACAATATGCTCAGAGAGCATATTGTGAAATAGTTTATCATGATAATGATAAAATATCTGTCTACTTATCCACTAGTAGAAACCATTCCAATTTATGTCAGGATGTCTGATATCTCAAATATTTATAAAGCATAAAGTCTAACTGTATTTCATACACAGTGTGTCTCACAGTCCCTGAATTGAAAAAAAAGAATATTAACCCATTTAATCCACAATAAAATAATTCAGAATTAAAATAAAAAGTAAATGAATAGATAAACAGTGAAGCATGTAAACTGAAGCAGCTGATTTTATAACGATGCAAATTATTCATGCAGTCTCTATTGGGTCATCACGTTGCAGCATGTGCAAAACCTCATTGACAAGTTGTATGAAAGAAAAGAGCTGATAGTGAGGATCATGAGCAACAAAGGTGAGCCACTTTTCTACGGACCATGATTGTGACCGTTCAGTGCAATCTTGCTATCAATAATAGAACCTTTAAAAATGTAATGCACCATATATGCTAGCTGAAGCTGTATGTTGTATTTACTTCCTTCCATCATGTTTCTGAGGTGTATGCTTGAAGCAAATGACTCTGGTCAAGCGACCAGCTGCACCATCCACGTAACAATGTTCATATGAAATCAACATATTCTTTAACGTATAGTTTATCATTTAGTAGAAAACATAGTAAAAGCTCTTTTAGAGCTTTACAAACTCAAAACAGCATTTCAGTCACAGTCGTGACTGGTGGGATTAAATGGGTTTGTTCACATATCGTAACACCTCTGATTAGCAGTGAGTGATATAAAGCTTTTCTCATTTCCCTAAAATTGAACAAAAGCCTTATCTGTTTTTCACATTGCTCAAGTCAATTATTTTTTTTATTTCACTTTATGCTAACAATCATACAACCATTGCAGCAGATTACACAAAATAAAGCTGCCTAAAACCACTTTTTTGTTATTGTTTTCCCTGTAATGCAGGGTGCGTGATGTGCCTGTGGAGAAGGTTGAGGGCTTTTGGTTTTTGGTTGAAGTAGGGGGTCCGTGTGTGGGGGAGGGGTGTTGATGGAGATGGAAAGAATGGGGCAGTCGTAGGGCATTTTGAGGGGCACCATGTTTGATATGTGGCCTAGTAATGCCAGCTCTCATCAGAATGGTCACCCCTCTCACAATGTGGGGGAGGAAATCTCAGTGTGCGCAGGGTGGAGTGTTATTTGTGCATGCAGCGCACACCCAAGTGTGTGTCTGTGTATGTATGTGTGTGTATGTGTGTTGCAGTCAGCTCGAATTCAATGTGCATTCTTAATTTAAGGAAACAGACTGTCTGAAGTGACCCATGCTATATGAATATTTTAAAGAACATGCCTCTAGAGACTCAGCAAGCTGCTTTCTTTCCTAGAGATAGTAAAAGAGTGTTTAAAGAGCTGAGACTGGTAAAGGATTCATGAAGAGCACAGAAATAGACTGTAAGGTCCAAATCTTTACACATTTCAAGTGTTATCTGTCCTACTGCTCTTTTAAACATGCATTGTCCATCTGTTTATAATGCTGATTAACAATGTACATGTTGAATGAGTGGCACTCTGAATTCAGAAGTAGGGCTGTCACTATTGATTATATTAGTAATCAAAGCATCTTCTGATTATTTCAACAGTTAATTGGGTAATCTTTTACAAAAAGGCCAAACAAACAAACAAAAAATAACAATAACAACCAACCACGCATAAACTTTCAGAGATTATATATGACTGAATACCCAGATAGCAAGATGATGGCAGGCCACTGCTGGCCTGCTGATGGCTTTTTGTTCAGCGTTTTACAGGCAGACCACCAGTGGTTAAGCACAGTGTTAGACAAAATGCCACTTTTCAGTGCTCATTTTGCACTCACAGTCCAATTTACTTAATTTTTCTTCATTTCATTCCTTCATTATTCTTTGTAAATTAGTTTTGTACATAATGTCAATTTATCACAGTGTCAGCAATGACATTTTTGACATATATTAGGCCTAGTCATTAATGTTTTTCTTCTCTCAGTTGTTTGTAATATTTGTCTTGGATTATTTTCCAAAATAAAATTCTGTGTGCATTTAAAATCTGTTTGAAGAGATAAAAACTAGCTAGACCTTGTGTTCAGGATAATAATCTGGGTGGTCTGAAGGTGGACCAGCGGTGGTGACTTGATCAAGCCAGCAGATCAATATATGCTTGCTATCTATTCACTAATATATAGGAAACACATACACGCACGCACACACAAACATTAAATCAGTTAACTGTACCTATGAAAATCAGGCACTTATTGCCTCCAAAAAAATGAGGTTTACATAACTCCATAGTTCGGTTGATAGTTAAGTTCATAGTAAAAGTTACTTTTTAATTTTCAGTGATCTACACTACTGCTGCAAACAGCCTAATCGTTTTAAATAGTTTTCTGAGTTCTGCTTACATTTGAATTGGTTAGGTCAACTTAAGGAACATCTCATTTAAATACCCCAAATAACATCGCTTTAATCAATAAAGTTGTGGATTTTTTTCAGGTAACTTTACTCTGTAATTTAAAGTCTGGTAATCGCCAACATCTTCTGCGTATTCTTTATTATGCACAGTCATGTTTACTTGAGTAGGATGAGTTCTGTTAACTAGTTTCTTTCTATTATATTGTGGCACGATGGGACTTACCGTTGATCCTCATTTACCCTAATTTGCGTATTTATCTTTCCAAGTGCAAGAAGGCTTTAATAAACGTTGTTCCTGGTTTGAACATGATTCCTGGTCACACCTTGTCTGCGCTGATACCACAACACGTCATGTAATGTTTACTGAAAATTGAATAAACTCCATCATCCCTGTACTTTGCTGCAAATACCTTGTGCAGTGTATTAGTTTCAATTGAAACTCTGTGATTTTAAGTACATTGTTTCATACGATGAGCAAATAACTCATAACAGACAAGAGTCACCCATTTCTGAGGACTCAAATGGCTTCATGTATGTTTGCCATTCTACTCAGAAACTATCTGGGGGCTGATATTCACCAACTAAAAGCATTCTTGCCTGTAGGCTGAACTGGTAAACCTGAACACAAAACACCATCATGATGAGAATAATAAACACATGTATGTGCCCATTAGACTCTATTTCTTTCTGTAAGAAGGATTTAAAGTATGCATTATCATCATGCAGACAGCCCACTAGTCATTGCTGATTCACTGAGAAAGTCAATTTTAACCAGTATTTTTTTAAATCAGGTCATAAAGTTTAATCGAGTGACCATGACAGCTCTAAATTTAACTTAAAAGATTTATAGAGCGTCACTACTTTTGCTTTCACTGTTAGTCCTACAGCTTTAGTGACCAATAATGACCTTATTTTAACTAAATGCATTTTAACAGTATGCAATTGAAGTATTTCATCTTAGTGCTATGTTTATGTTATTGTTCTGTCTTCTGTTTCAGCTGTGGCTCAGTGCCGCAGGCAGTAATGAGTGTGGGATGGAGAGATAAAGGGAGAAAGTGGCAAAAAGATTTAAAGATGAGCATGAGTCAGCTTAATGCAGATTAGCCTTCTCCTCCTCCCTCTGCATTATCTCTCCTTTTCTGTCTTCTGGTTATGCTTTTGGAGCACTGCCCAGCTTTTTTAGCCTTTGGAGAATCCATTTCATCCTCTTTCATTGATTCGTTGATTTCATTGTTTGATCAGCTGTGGCACAGACTGCAGTCTTTTCATTCATCTCTGAGAAACTCTCCCTTGAGTTCTGACTATAGAAAAATTGGATGCAAGTATGCCGTTGTGTTGGTGACACCATTTGGCCATGTTTGTCCTTGTTTTCTAACTGGGTCTCTGGCTGTTTGCAGGGCTTCTGGGATGTAACCGTTTCCAGGGTTTGGCTGTAAACTACAGCTCTCTGCTGCTGGAGGATGGAGCTGGAATGCTGTATGTGGCAGCCAGAGAGGCCCTGTATGCTCTGAACTCAGCTAACATCTCCACTATACGCAACAACTCTTCTGTAAGTGCCATCAGCGTCCATTCTATTTGACACTCTTTTCAACTGCTTTGCTTTTATACTTGTTGTTTCTGTCTTTATAACAGATTGATTGGGCTGCATCTGCAGATCAGAAGAGACAGTGCTTAAGCAAAGCAAGAGACAATCAGGTATAACCTTGTCCTCATGTGGAGCTGACCTGGATTGAATGTCTTACTCTGGAGATTCTCCTCAATTAGGATCTTTTTAAATATCAGCTGTACCTGAGGCAACACAGTTTGGGTCTTAGGTGCTCACTACTCTTTCACTTCTTTCTAACTGTTGACTGTTGATGTAAGATCATATGACAAGTGATTGTAGAATAGTCACCCCACAAATATTAGGCCTTATGTTAAATTCTCATCTCAGAACTATGGAATTTTCACCAAATCCAAACATATTGGGCCAGTTTTTCAGGCCCAGTTTTAGCTTAATACTAGACTAAAAAGGCCTTTCAGGCCTTATATATGTTACGATAAATAAAAGAGTTTGATGTAGTACATAAACATTCCCCAGTCCATACAAAATGTTCCTTGCCATTCTGTTTCCGATGTCAGCCTTTAGCAGTTTAGTTCTGCCCATTTGTGGAGAATTACTAAGGAGTGTTTCAGCCTAGACTACTTTTAGAATGAGGAGCAGCACACAGCAGCCAGTCAGAACAGAGCTCATTTACACATATAGAAAACTGAAAGGCACACTAACAAAAACAAGCTGTTTAATTCTAAGGGATGAAGAGGGGTTGGAAAATGGTTCTGTACAAAAATGAGGAATGATGAGCTTTGGGTACATAAAATGAAACAATTGTCAAAAACAGACCTCTGGGAAATATAAAACACAATAAAAATGTAGGGCATAAACTTCTTAAGTTTTTGAGTGCTTCCATAAACATAGTCAAAGCTTGGTCCAAGGTGGCTTTTCCTTTTAGTGATGTCAGAATAGGCCTTTACTGTGGCTCAAGGCTTAAAGTTTTATGTACACATTATTCCAGTCACATAAAATCTTGCTCCTTTGACCTAGTACATTGAGATTTTGACAGAGATCCTTTGTCTGAGGTCTAGATTTATCACAATTATAACAAAACTTTCTCCAGAATGGTAACTTTATAGGAGAAGGAATGTGGTTCATGATTCAGTTGTGTCAAGTGGTTATGCACGAAAATATGTTCCCTCAGAAAAAATGTTGCCTCAACACAATTGCTATCTTTAGGTTTGCAGATACTGGCAAGAATTGGATTGATATGATTTTATTCTTGTGCAAACACTTCACTGCTTTTACTCATGTCAATTCAAGCACCATTGGTAAGGGGTTAAAATGCCTCCACTTCTGTCATGAAATGTTTACACAATCTTACTTCTGTATCTGTTACACTATGTGGCCAAAAGTATGTGTCATCCTAATTATTAATTAGTTCAAATGTTTAGCCACACCCATTGTTAACACGTGTATCAAATGAATCACATAGCCATGCAGTCTCCATAGACATGTGAAGAGTTCTACAACAATGAAACAGCTATAAACATGGCACTGCCATGAGATACCACCTTCCCACTAGTCAGTTCATGAAATGTCCGCACTGCTATATCTACCCTGGTCAACTGTAAGTACTATTATTGTCAAATGAAGGCATCTAAGAGCAACAACAGCTCAGCCACTAAGCGATAGACCGTGCAAACTCACAAAGTGGGGCCGTTGAGTGCTGAAGCACACAAAAAATCTTCTGTTGCATGACTTGCCACACTTCCAAACTACCTCTGGAAGCAACATCAGCAATAGAAATGTATGTTGGAAGCTTCATGAAATGGGTTTTCATGGCTGAGCAGCTGCATACAAACCTAAGATCACTATGTGCAATGTCAAGCATTGGCTGAAGTGGTGTAAAGCATGCCTTCACTGGACTCTGGAGCAGTGGAAACAAGTTCTCTGGAGTGATGAATCACGCTTCACTATTTGGCAGTCTGATGGTTGCCAACTCTACCTACCAGAATGCATTGTGCTGACAGTAAAGTTTGGTGGAGGAGGATTAATAGTCTGGGGCTATTTTGCAGGGTTAGGGTTCGGCCCCTTAGTGAAGGATGATGCGAATGCTACATCATACAAAGACATTTTAGACAATCATATGCTTCCAGCTTTGTGACAACTTTGGGGAAGGCCCTTTCTTGTTCCAGCACGACTGTCTGTGCCCCTGTGCACAAAGCAAGGTCTACAAAGACATAGCTTGGTCAATTTGATGTGGAGGAAGTCCAGTGGCCTACACAGAGCCCTGACCTCAACCCCACTGAACACCTTTGGGATGAATGTCAATTGCGAACCAGGCCTCGTTCAACATCAGTGTATGACCTCAGAAATGCTCTTTCGACTGAATGGGAAACAAACAGACACACTCCAAACTGAAAAAAAGCTTCCTAAAAGAGTACAGACTGTTATAGCTGCAAAGGTGGAGCCAGCTCCATATTAATGCCCATGGGTTTGGAATAAGATGTCCAACAAGCTCATACAGGTACGATGGTCAGCTGTCTACATACTTTTGGCCATATAATGTAAATCTTTCTGGCTATGGCTTTATTTCTATAAGATTCTTTATCAGTGAAGTAATCATTTCTCGGTTGTTCTGCCACAGACAGAATGCTACAATTACGTCCGGTTCCTCGATCGATATAACGAGACTCATCTCTATACCTGTGGGACCCATGCCTTCCGACCTCGCTGCGCATACATAGTGAGACTTTAAGTTCGTTATAGTGTGCTGAGTTAAGACAAACTTAGTAAAACGTTTATAACAATAGATGATTTCTGATTTGTGCTGTATGCTGTGTGGCAGGATGTGGAGCGCTTCAGCTTTGTGCGCTTTGAGGAGGGCAAAGAGAAGTGTCCCTATGACCCAGCAAAGGGCTACACTGGTCTCATTGTAGGTAAGAACACACTAAGGCTGGATTACAGAATGCCAGAACATCAATGGAAATACAGTGTTTCCATGAGAGTGTGGGTGGAGAGTGCGTGGGTGAATGAAACTCAAGGACATGAGTTTTTAATACTTTTTTATTTTATCCAAACGCTGTTAACTACAGCCCACTCTTTTCATTTAGTTTTTCTCTCTTTTTTTCCCAGCAGAGACTCAACCAATCAATAAAGCGTTACAATGACATGTAACAGGGCAGAGCAATCAATCTACAATTACCCACTTTAACTTAAGTTTTCACTAAAGGAAATGATTTGAATTGCTAATGTGCAAATCAAAGCATTCTTTCTCACAGTCCAAATCTTACATAAACAGCTGCCTACCTCACATTTTTGCTTCTCTGATGCATAATCTAAAGAGACAATGCATGTGTGAAATGTGTGGAGGACTGTCAAATGAATACATTGAGGTGTTTTGTTCTTATTCTCAGATGGTGAGATGTACTCTGCCTCTCAGTATGAGTTCCGCAGCACCCCTGACATTCGCCGTAACTTCCCCTTCCCCAACCTGCGGACAGAGGAGGCTCCGACAAGATGGCTTCTAGGTAAATTCATACTCCACTATATGGTGTCAAAATGTTTAGGGGCATTTTCTACCTTCAATCAATATACTAAGAGATGTTTAATCCAGAAAAAGACTGAATATCACTCAAGTCAGCTCACTTTAAAATACTCAACCTATTACAGAGCTTTTTTGAGTTAACTCGAGAACACTACCTACCCAACTCAAACTTCTTAGTTCAGTCAAATGTTCTCCTTATTCACATTTTTTAGACTTGCATCTCAGTTATATTTATATGGATCATTCTACTGAATTGGTTCAAAGTCAGAGCTGAAAACACGTTTGAATTTTTAACTGACTTGCATTTTAGACTAAAATGCTTTTGCTTTGAGTGACCCTGTGCTTCAATTATGTTTATTTTATTAAAACAATTGATTGAACATTCATTTTGTCACTATCAACACAGTAATAATGCCTCTGAAACTTTTCCAAATGTTTCAGGAGTGACTTTTTCTGAAATAATAATTTTAGCTAATTTTTAAATTTAACTTTAGCTGAGCATGACTCAAAACTGCTAGACAGTACATGACAGGCAAACACAGCTTTGAACAGATGTACACACCTAAAATCATAACATTTTTTGTTAAAACACAAAAAAGTTTACTTCAGTGCAGAAAATGTGTTTTGGTAGTGACGGTATTCATGGTTCTGCACTGATTTTCAGACTTTGGGACACATTTTTTTAAAAACAATAAGATCTAACTGCTCACCATGTGGCCAGCAGGGACAGGGATACAGTCTCACTTCCTGCTCCAAAATGTAGGATGTGGCTTAAATAAGCCTCCAGCTATGGATTAAAACTCTGTGTTTCAGCAGTGACATGAAAACATGGGAGAGTTAGTTAAAATTTAAAGACAGACACGCCTTGGTGATGAGAGAGGTCAACAAAGAATGACCAGACTGGTTCAAGGTGACAGAAAGGCAACTTAGGTAATTTAGGTAACCACGCTGTACAACTGTGGTGAGCAGAAAAGCATCTCAGAAGGCACAACACGTCAACCTTGAGGTGAATGGGCTACAACAGCAGAAGGCTGCATCGGGTTCCACTTCTGTCAGCCAAGAACAGAAAGCTGAGGCTGCAGTGGTCACAGACTCACCAGAACTGGACAGTTGGAGACTGGAAAAACATACCCTGGTCTGATGAATTTCAGTTTTTGTTGAGGCACACACATGGTAGGGTCAGAATTTGGTGCCAATAGCACAAATCCATGGACCCAACCTGCATTGTGATAACACTTCTAGCTGGGGCAGGTGGCCCATTAATACCAATCAATCATTGCTTGAATGCCACAGCCTTTTTGAGTATTATTGCTGACCATGTGCATGCCTTCATAGCCACAGTTTACCATCTTCTAATGGCTACTTTAAGCATAATAATGTCACAAAGCAAAAGTCATCTGAATCCAATAGAACACCTTTGAGATAGTAGAATGGGAGATTCGCAGCATAAAATGAAAGTGCATCTGAAAAATCTGCAGGAAAAGTAGGATGCAGTTATGTCAACATAAACCAGAATCTCAAAGGTATGTTTCCAACATCTTGTGGAAGCCATGCCATGAAGAATACTTGGTACACCCAATGTTGCTTCAGTATAGCAATTTTTTGTTAACTGAACAACGCTTGAAATGTTCCTTTCTATAATGTAGCAATTTCAGGGGCTCCCAAGTGGTGAAGCTGAATAAGCATTCACCCCAACATCAGGAGACTGTGAGCTCAAACCACAGTAATACCACAGCTATCTATAACTGGGAGTCCAAGAGGAGGAAATGCCTGGTGGCATTGTGTGATGGAACCCCAGCTAGAGGGGAACCTGAGGTGCCGTACTAAAAAATGTAGATTGAGAGAACTTTCAGCTAAACTATGAAGTTTGAGCAAGCACAGGAAAAGCTGTTTAATAAATTGACATAACTTTAAGCTGACTTTTCATTTTTTACAGTGAATAATTCAGTGTTTTACAACCTAATCTTTTTGTATCATACAATTACAAGCAAATAGAAGCAATGCCCATTGGGTCTTATTATAGGTATGTTTTGAGTTTTCTGTTTTTTTTCTAAATGCAGGGAAATGCCTCATTTTTATTGCCCATGGTAATCGACCGTGCAATACGCATGCAGCTTACAGAGATTACGTTGAAAAATGCTGGATTTTTCCTTTAAGGTCCTCTTCCCACGGTGTGGGCAGTTTTTCCACAGAAAATCACATGCTGTTAAAAAGCACTGTGCACAGTTACTGTGGTCGTGTCCCACCAATGCAGTAATGTCTTTAAAACATAATTCATCTGTTATTTTCTGCGTGGCAGCTAAGTCCTTTGTGTTTTCTGCAGAGGCGGACTTTGTTGGCTCAGCGTTATTGAGAGAGAGCATCAACAGCTCCATTGGGGACGATGACAAACTTTATTTCTTCTTCACGGAGAGAAACCCAGAGCAGAGCCCTTACTCCAGTCAGACCAGAGTGGCCAGAGTGACCAGGGTCTGTAAGGTAAAGCCTGACAGTAATGCTAAAGCTGGGCTTGAGTTTAGTTAAAGTAGAATTCCATGGATTTTTTTTACTCTTTTCATAATTAGATGGTTAAGGTGTAAACAAAATCATTCAGAGTGGTTTGATGTATGATACTGTGTTCTAGAGAAGCTTGCAGAGGCACAATTGCTCACAATGATGTTGAAAGGAACCAGAAGTATTTAAAAGCTTTATCACATGGAGTCATTACTTGAAATGGTTACAGATATGTTGCCTAATGTTAACAGATTTCTTTACAATAGTTTTGAGATAAAGTTTTAGCATATAAAATATTTTTTGTTAAACACTTGTGGCAGAGTGGTACATGCAGGGAGTTATAAGGCAAAATAGTCCCCACCCCCTCTCCATTTTTTTTTTCAAATTTACCACTATTTCAACATTATCAGATGGCAATATAACAGAGCTGCAGACGTTACAACCCCTGGTTCTTATCACCACTACTGTGAAGAAAGAAGTTGGTAAGTTTCTCTACAATAAACTGTTTCACATCAAATCACTCTAAAAGACTTCAACAACATGTCAAGAACAGAATTATGGAGACACTTTAACTTATCATTTTAAGTTAAGTCAGCTCAGAGTATATGTGATAACAGTGAACCTCCCGGGCTTTTTTATTGTGTAAAATTGCCAGAATGTGCTCAATTATCTTATATGTTTGCATGTCCAGTTGAGTTGATGCTCCACTTTGTGTGACTGCTCTCATCTCAGTCTGTCTTCCTGGGGGCTCTGCAGTGTGCTGCTGTTGCCAGGCAGGGTAGACCCCACCCCCCAGTCTCTTAGCACACACATTACACCCCCTACTCTAATCTCATCTCGTTTAGCACGCTTCCCTCACCCACCCCTCCACTATACCCAGAATTTGCTCTATCAAATCCCTTAAATTAGCAGCCTCCTCTACACTGGCTGTGTTTTATTAATCTCCATTATTCTACATCTACACTCACTCTGCTGCTTAAACTTCATATGTTGGGGAAGCAGGTCAGGTCCCTCACTGGCTGGCTTGGCAAGTGAAGAGTGCAGAGGAGCTCTTGTACAAAGTAGGCCACACTATGGCAGCACACAGCATGCACACACACACGCACACGCACATATGCACCAGACTTTTCTCGCTAGAGGCCCAGAAACATGAAATTTACATTTGCAGAAGGTGACCTGAAAGTTTCCTAAAAGAAATAATGCACTCAGTTTTACACAACAACTAACATGCCATTTCATACATTCATCCCCACTCTGTTATGTTTTCCTTTACATTCAGCCCTTTTGGTAGCTTTTTGGTCATTTCAGTTTGTTTTAATGCAAGTCATTCAACCATGACCACATAATGGTAGAGATGAGTATGACTGGATGTCTCCTCCGTGATGATTCCATGTATTGTCTCTATTTAATATCATACTCACGCAGCACATGATGGTCTGAGTCTTCTGTTGAGGGAATGTGGAGTGACACTGTGATTAGCCATCAAAGCATTTCCTCAGGCTGCTTCTGGAGTCAGATGGGATCCGTTTCGCAAGCAGGCTGTTGCTAGCTCATTTAGGACATAGCTTCTAGAGAGCCATTACACTGCCCTCTCAAACTGCCCTCTCAAACTTAATATTTAATTGAGGGTGCTTAACCCACCAGGAGACTTACTTTTGAGCCAGCCATTCTCTGTGGATTTTAAGTAAATTGTGGAAAAAGCTAAGATTTTCACACACTGGTCTGTACTAAATCCAATTAAACAGGACTGACTATGCTCTCATTGTAATTAAAACATATAATGTTTTCTAAGAAGTCATAATGCACATGATATACTCAGAAAAGCATATTGTGGTGTAATTTATCACAGTAACAATAAAATATCATACTATTGAAACTGGCACTGGGGATGTAACCCCCTTGTCACTGGGGTGATACCCTCACGGTACCTTTAGTCAGGGAATATAATTGTGCCATAATCCATTGAAATCATATTTTCTAAGTTGTCTTGACTCCACACATCTCGTCTCGTCTCCAGGCTTTTTATTTTATTGTTCTGTTTTAAAACGTTAGGTCATAAAAAGGTACAAATACATACTTTTCACTTGGGAAAAAACTATTTAAGATGCACAGTTGGACCTTCAAACCACTGTTGTACCTTTGAAGGTACATTTACATTGTTTGTATCTTGAACGAAAAATGTACCTACATAGTACCTTTATTTCTAACAGTGTAGGAGGATGTAAATCCAGAAGAAATACATGTTTTAAGCATTACTGCACTCATTTACTTTCAGTTAATTGCTTCATATGAAAGCTGTTCCAAACCAAGAAAAACAGAAACTATTAGCTTGTAATTTGCCTCACAGAAGAGGCAGGCATGGTTTTAAGACAAAAAGAGGACTTTTTGGTAGGTAAAATGCTTATTATTCTCTGTAATTCTTCATTGGTCATACTTGAGTATACCTTCAATATTATTGATTATGAACAGACTCTGTAAGGTACTGGAAGAGCTCCCCACTGGGCACAGAACTGCAGGTTATCAAAATGATGGATCACTAGTGCTGTTTCTAATTGCTGTTGTTTTACTTCTTACTTTCTAGCCGCATGAAGTATTTTTTCCATAAAAAAGGCAAAATATTCACTTCATTTTGAATGAGGCCTTGCTATACAGATGTCTGATCCACTTGTACCAGCACAACACACACTAACACACCACCACCACGTCAGTGTTACTGCAGTGCTGAGAATGATCCACCACCCAAATAGTACCTGCTCTATGAGGGTCCATGGGGGTCCTGACCGCTGAAGAACAGGGTAAAAGGGGGCTAACAAAGTATGCAGAGAAACAGATGGACTCCAGTCTGTAATTGTAGAATTACAAAGTGCACCTATATAGTAAGTGGAGCTGATAAAATGGCCAATGAGCATAGAAACAAGGAGGTGGTCATAATGTTATGCTTGATTGGTGTATATATATTTAACTTGTAATAGAATTTAATGTACCAATTTTCTTCAGTTCCATTGCTCCATTCATTTTTCATGAGAGAGAGAGAGAGAGAGAGAGAGAGAGAGAGAGAAAGAAATACTCTGACAAAGTAGTGTAGTGTGAATACTGAATACCCTGCCCTAATGTAATCTATTATGATACATGAAAAGATGACGTAATGTTCGGCATACATATGTATACATATATGCATATATATACATATATACATGCAGGACAAAATCGTCCTCATCATCCAAGGAAAACACATTCTTAAGTTGTAATAGAATTTAATGTAACAATTTTTTTCCGGTCTGTTGCTCCATTCATTATTCATGAGAGCGAGAGAGAGAGAGAGAGAGAGAGAGAGAGAGAGAGAGAGAGAGAGAGATAGTAGGCTAAATAGGAGAGATAGAGTTGTAGCTGTTCATGCATACTCTGTGGATGTAGTTGCACTCTCAGAGCAGAGCGTCTCAGATCAATACCAAGTATTCTACTGAGACAATGTTACGATTTTTAAGGGCCAGTGAAGAGAAACTGCAGCTAGGTTCCATAGGCTTCTTATTGATACCACTGGTGCTTTAATGCATTTGATTTGAAACAACCACCAGCAATTGCACCCCTACTGTATGAGCTAAAGAACATGACTGTCACATTCCTTTAGTTTCTTCCATTTCTACAGCAACATGGAAAAAAGTGTGCCCTACTTTATGCAGATAGCCCCTATAGATTATCTACAGAAAATGGGTTGATTCTCAACAGTGTTATGGTTAAGGTTAGGTTTTGTATGGAGATTAAGGTAAGGATTAGTGACAGGGTTAGGATAATGGACGATCAAGGTGAATTTAATTGATATATAGTTTAATGCAAGACGAGCATCTGCAAAGAATCTACAGTAGTCTATCCAAATAGTGTTACCAGAAGTGTTAACTGACAGATCACCTTAGTAAGGAAGGACACTCTTGTCTGCTCAATGAAGTTGAGAAGTGTAAGAGTACAGTCTACACCACTGGTCGGCGGCTCTTTTACTGCCCTGTTGCGGCTCCACAGCAGAATTAAATTTTTAGGTAAAAATAAAATAATCCTCCTTTGCAGTAAAATAAACTGCTGACACAGTTTTAACAATAAATGGCCTTACATGTTGGGGTTTATGTAGCCTAAAACTGCTAATTTACCAACCTTTAACCCTGAAGGTTGGTGTGCAGACTGCTGGTCACATAGCAATGCAGAAAACAATCTTGACTAGCTAGTAGTTAACCAAAAGGCAACGAGAAAGATATAAAACGAGCATAATTTGAGAACAATTTGGAGATGATTGGACTTATTTGCATCTATAAACACTTAGCTGGTTTCCGGATATGTTTAATCTGTCAAACATTAAAAATTTGCGAAGCTGAAATCAGCTCGTTCGCTAGCTTCTTGTTCTCATTCAGCCTTAAATGGTACAACAGTTACATTCCGGCGCCTCAGGGACCATTTAAGGTGGAATGGTAAAATTTGAGAAAAACAAAAAGCTGGTGAATGAGAAGCTGACTTCAGCCTTCTACAAAGTCAAATGTTGAGAGACATTTTACAAGAAACTATCCTACTTTCGAGGAAACGTTTCCTGCCGGAGATGTGAGAAAAGCGGCTATAGCTGAGCTAAAGCTAAAAGCAGAGCAATATAAGTGTGAAATTTGAATGGACAGCACGGCTTTTGCTCTGTTCCTTCTTCTCACAGCTGTGGGGGTAGAAGAATTATGTAGCATTGGACAGCTCAAGCAAGCTCAGAGCAGACTCAGTCCTATGAAAGCAGCCCAGATGGTACACCCTCATGACTGCTCAAGGAATATAGCCAACCCACTTTCTAATGCAGCCCACAGAGATGACTCCTGAAGGAATCTCCAGTAGGAAATGCGAGCACACTGTGGTAGGCAGTATTCAATACAGCAGAAATGAGTGCAGCAGTATCATCTACATTATGTAATCATAAGTAATGACTGACATTAAGTTCACCTGGAATACTTCTACTTTCAAATGCAAAGCGTAGCATATTCTAAAGAAAAGCCAGTTTAACTCTGGCTCACGCTTTTATTAGTAAGCTTATCAACATATGTTTTACGTCAGCTTTAATGTATTTCTGCCCAGGTACAGTCATATAGCCATATGCAAAAGTTTGGGTGCCCCTGCTCAAATGATATGGTTTGTAAGTTAAAGTAAGTGCACATCCTCTACAGAAAACACATTAATTTTAATGCATAATTATTGTTTATTTGCTGCATTTAACATATTGGAAGGGGACCATAAAATTTGGCCAATGCAAAAGGCATATTTTATATCTCCTATTCTATTTCTTCACAAATAGTTTAGACAGTTTATTTCTGAAACCTCAAGAACAGCATATATTCAGTCATTCCCTTATCAGCACCAGTTTGTAGTGCCAGAAGAATTCTGGAATGAAGCTAAAGTCTTTCTGTAAATGTGCTAGTGTAAACAGGACTGAGAGAGGGATGGTGGAGGAAAAGGAGAGAGATACTAAGGAACTCTGCAGTCACTGCAGCTGCTAAGCTTGGTACACTCAGATGTAATTAGAGTGAATCTACTTGCGCAGGCATGGTGTGAACCTACGCATTTACTCTCACCCCCGCTTTCAGAGGATGTTTGTCACAGGCCTAAGCAATATAATCTCCTGCTAGTCCAGATTTTCTCTGTCTCTCTCGCCCTCTCTCCCTTCCCTCTATCTCTCTCTATATCTCTCTCTGTCTCTTTCTGCTCTGTTCGCCTTTCTCTTTCTCTTTCTTTTTTTGCTTTGAATAAATAATTTCATCGTGTTAGATCTTTCCACATCTTAATTAATTTAACTTGTGCTCTTCAAAAAAAAAAAAAGATTTTTAACTGACCTTAAAGCTAAACTATCTAAGTTTTGGGGATCTGGTGGAATTTGGAATTGCACTCCACATGTGGAAAAACATTTTGTAACATCAGTTGTGCTTTACACCCCTTCACTGGGCGGATGAATCTGATGACTGCGAGCGTGTTGAAAGAGTATTCAAAGAGAACTCAGTCAAAACTTGGTGTTTTCAGAGGATGTGAGTGAATTATCTACTGCAGTCATCATATCTTCATCAGTATAATGTTGATGTTGCATTAGAGGCCTAAACATCGAGCTGAAACTTCTTATTTAAATTACTATCTCAGGCTTTACAGGGCGACTCATAGCAGCGCATGCACAACATATTTTAACAGGTTTTTTCCTCCTGACTCAGTATAAAAAAATAAGTAACCTGGTTGTCTTACATTTTGAGTTCATTGAACCTCTAATAGTAAAAGTCCACAGTAATCTGTGTTTTATGTTCTGGTAACTCATTATGTGATATTGAGTGAACTCAAAATTTGAGGCAACCAAGTTACTGGGTTGAGTTAAAACACTGAATTATTGTCTAAAGTGTAAGTATTTTTCACTCTGATCATTCTGTCTCTAGGGTGACATCGGAGGTCAGAGGACTCTCCAGAGGAAGTGGACATCCTTTTTAAAAGCTCGGCTCAAGTGCTCTATTCCTGAGTACGAGCTGCAGTTCAATGTCCTGCGCAGTGTGTTTGTGCTGGAAGGGCCGAGCGTGCACGACAGCACCTTCTGGGGTGTGTTTGGTCTCGAATGGTGAGAAAAATGCTAGACCTATAAAATAATACATTTGATCATGAATCAGTAAATTAAACATAATTGCTCATATAATTGAAAAAGCTTTTTTTGTTTTATGTGGTATGTAAAACATCTTTAAGCTTCAAAATGTACCCATTACTGATCAGTCCACACTGTCCATTTAAGGAAACTAAGCCATTTAAGGAACTAAATATTTTTAATAGCTTTTATGTGATATCATGAAACATAATATGTTTACATCCATCTGCCTATTCACTCTACAGCAGTTTAGCTCTGCCAATTCACACTGAAGTTATAAAGATTGTTTCACCCCAAACTGCTTTTTGAATACAGGGCAGTCAATCAGAATAGAGTTTTATACATATCTTATAGGGACTGTTAAGAGTGTATACTATTAAATTATGATGTATAAACCAAACTGAAATGTTATATTTATTTATTATTTAAATAACATTTTCAATAAATATTTATATTATTATTTATTATTTTTATTTATTAAAAAACATGGTGAATTGGCATAATCCCTCTTCTAGTAGGTCACCATTGTTGCACAGTGATGATAACATGGTTGGTATGACCATCAAAAGTTTTTTTTCTTGGAAAATGTCATGCTCTGGCTCAAGTTGGAAGGCTGAATGACATATTTGAGTTAAATTAGATAATTAGCTTGCTGTTCTTCACTTGTGGCCAAAAGAGAGGGCAACCATTTGATGCTGCAACAAAATTACTACTAGAGAGAAACTGTGTCTATGTTCAATAATAAATAATATTTTATATTAATAACAACATATATATTAGAAACAACATATTTAATAGCATTGGGCATGTACAACATGTTGAGGCTCCCATGTCGTAACAGTCAAGGTTCCCTTCAAAGGCCCTGTATTTGTAAAGAAGCTCACATTAACAGTATTAGTGGACAAAATACAAGAAAAATGTCAGGTATGGGTTTTTTCAAATAAACATACTAGAGGTACACATACAAAAATGTAATATGTTAAAAACATAATGCAGTATATTCTATTTATATTGCTGAAATTATTAACAACACATTGCAATATATTGCATTTTCACACAGGACACAAAATACTGCAGATATTTATGACTCTGCTGTTGATAAGCTTTGTTTAATTCAGTTTATCATGTTTACTGGATTAGAGTGTAGGAGAGATTGTGTATTTAATTCTGATATCAACTATTTACACATATGTCCCGTATAGTTGTTGAAATGATTTCTTTTAGGGCTGGATTCCAGAGGGCATATAAATATTCTCTGCTCCACTATGCAGTATTATCTCATTAAAATGATGTGAACAGAAGCAACATTAATCTGCCAACATGTGACCGACTTTTGGATTCCCAGTCAGGGGTTTTATGACTGAATAGGCTTTAAGGAAAATGACTTAGAGACAGACTTACATTAGCTACTCCCAGCAGCTCACCTCCCTACGCACAGACGCAGACAGTGGAATGGAGGGCAGAAGGCCAAGACTGGAGTTAGCAGATGTGTAGGTGTGTGTTAAAAAGAACGAGAGTGAGTGTATATAGCACTAAATTGTCCTTCAAACGGTATAAAGGCTGAATCTCTGCTTTTCACTCCACAACAGGTTTATTATAGGACAGAACATCCAGCTATTATTATTTTTTCTTTTATTATCATATTAGGTGTTATGAAATCCGTAAAATCCTGCCTAGGCTAACAGTGAAAAATGTGATGAGAAGTTGTTGATGTATTTGTCTTTCTCGTTACTGGGGGGGATGTCCAGTGGCTCAATAAGTGAGAAAACAACTTTAAATGGAATACATAGACTAATTATATCATTTATCGGGCCTATATTCTTCCCTTATTTTATGCATTTTTTTCTGAGGTCATCTTTTCATGTTTGTAAAGTTTTATGAATCAAAAACAGCCATAATTCACTTTAACATGAACATTTTCCAACCTCTCTTTAACTCTTAGAATTAAGCAGGCTGTTTTTCTTATGTAAATTATCTCTGTTCTGATTGGCTGCCCTGTATTGCCCCTCATTCAAAAAAGCAGTCCAGGCTGAAACACTCCTCATAACTTCAGTGTGAATGCACAGGGCTAAACTGCTGTAGCTGAATAAGTATATATATATGAAAAAGGGCTGTTTTTTGTGAAAAATTAGATTCAAAATGGGCTGTTTTTGCAGCTTAGTTTCTATATTTGGATTGTATGGAATGAGGACTGAACAGCACATTTTGAATTTCAGCAATGTTTATACTACATCACACTTTTCTTGTTTTATGTTTTTCTGAGATATGGGCTCTTTAAACATTTATGTTAAGTGTGTTCTTAAAATAATATCATATTTCTTGAGCTCAGAACAGAGAATGGATTGCTACTTTTTATATGTCCGGCTCCAGTCCACCCTACACCTTTCATATACAAACACATCTTTTATAGCAAATCACTTGACAGTGAATCAGCTTAATTTGAAATTCGATGATAGTGGCAGTTACACTCAAGATAACAACCTGAAAGTGTTTATTCAGTGTAGAATGATTAATAAGCTGTGCTTGCCTGTGTGCCACCTCTCTCTCTCTCTCTCTCTCTCTATCTCTCTCGCTTTTTCTCAGGAAAAACGTTAAAGCATCTGCAGTCTGCCAGTACTCCCTCAAAGATGTACAGGCTGCGTTTGATGGGCCCTACATGGAACTCCAAGACTCTAAATGGAGGGAATACACCGGGAAGGTTCCAGACCTTCGGCCTGGCTCAGTAAGTGTGCTGTGTGTTTAAGGCCTACACCACTTCATCTCTTTAAAGCAGGCAATGAACAGTTCATCCTATGAAGATACAAAATTTGAAATATACTAATTCAGCTCTTTCCTATATCCTATATATGTTCTCGCATAACAATCTCTCTTTTTCTGTTTCTTTCACTCTCTTCTCTCAAGTGCATAACTGATCAGCACCGTGCTCAGCTCATAAATACGTCACGTGACCTTCCAGACAACATACTGATGTTTGTCCGGAGACACCCTTTAATGGCCAGAGAAATCCAGCCAATAGGAGGGCGACCCCTACTGTTCAAAAAGAGTGTGGACTACACCAGAATAGCAGTTCATAAAGTCACTGCCTTGGATGGGAAAAGCTATAATATGCTCTTCATTGGAACAGGTGCTTCAGCTCCTTTCACTCGTGCTCCATCTTATGCAGTACAGATCACGGTTAATATATACTGACCACTGCTGGAACAAAACCTCCCAGCTCCAAAAGGGAAACTTTAAAGGAGAAGGAAAAATATTATTAACTTTAATAACGTATAGGGATGTTATTATTTTGAAACATTGCTATTGATGCATTTGTCACTGAGATCTCATGGCAGTGACCCTGTATAGACAGTTGCATGTAAAAACCCCTGGCAAATTACATATTCTTTTGATTTTTGAAGTGAAAAGATCTTAAAAATATATTTTTTTGTAAATATTAATACACAGTTATTTTATATTGAATTCACTTAAAAAATAGAAGAAAAAATTGTAATTGTGTGCAAAAGTTTGTACACTTTTCCTGCTATAAAGTCTCAAAACTGAATTAACTCATTAGGATTTAATTGACTTGCTGGGACTTGTTAGGCAGGTTAAGAGTGGTCAGCTGATAAAATCTCTGCCAAAGGGGGTGTTACTAAGTACTGACATAGTAGGGTGTACAAAATCTACCACTTGGAGTTAATCAAGCATAAAGCAATAGTGCATTTGCTAAATAGTTATTATTAAATTATTAAATTATTAAATAGTTTAATAATGTTATTTTTAAAACAGTTTGCTGCAGAAGTTGTGTTTCCTTTTTTTACTTCAAAGACCAACAAAATAGATCATTTGGCCAAGGGTGCTTAAACCTTTGCTGTATATACCGTTCAAAAGTTTGTAATCACTGTTGTCAGTAATATGAAACCAATTTTTATTGCAGATATATGTATAAAATGACTGTAGTATGATGCTAATATTCTATAAGTTTCAAAACTAAGTAAAGTTGAGTAAAGTTGTAAAAATGAATTTCGAGCTGTAGATGGTTCTGTAATAACTGAGAAAGCTACAGTCGTATTCAAAGGTTTGAACCCCTGGTCAAGTTACATGTTTTGTTGATTTCTAAATAAAAATAAGTTAACACATCCTCTACAGAGAAAACTTAAATATGGCATTTTTCTACAAAGTGTTAGGACACAATTTCTACTGATTTGCTGAGTTTTTTAAAAAAAAAAAACGAATATGAAATTTTGTGTAATGTTTGCACAGTTTTATGTTTTTTTGTCTTAAATTCAGCAAATAAATAGTAATTGTGACCAAATATCACGAATCAAGAAGCTATTCATAGTCATTTTGTGATACAACCTTACTATAAATAGATAACTACAGATAATTACAGATATTATTTAATACAATTTGCTATTTTTTACAAAGTTCTTATTGTTTCCTAAATACTTTAAATTGTGAATAAAACATTGGTTTACATTTTGGTGTCTAGTTTAGAAGATTTCAGTCTTCACTTTATAAATTATTATAATATTTAATATGACAAGCGATTCTAAACTTTTGTCCGGTAGTATGAAGTACATATATAGGACTCAAAGTAAACTGTATAATATTGCTTTACAGTAGAAAAGCCATCAATTATACTGAGTACAAGAAATTCCTCAGCCTAACTGTGTGCATATGTGTGTCTGCCCTTATACAAACACAGATGAGGGCTGGCTGCACAGGGCTGTAGAGATTGGAGATCGAGTACACATCATTGAGGAGCTCCAGCTTTTTAAGGAGTCACAACCCATAAACAACATGGTTATTTCACATAAACAGGTACAATAAACTTACACTGCACACATGATTATCACATAAGAACAGTTGCATTCTGACCGTCTACATGCTCTCACAGCGTTAACAAAGTAATGATGTATGTACTCATGGATGTCTCATGGATTTCTCCTTATTTTGTCAAACAGAAGAGTGTATATGTAAGTGCTGCGTCTGGAGTGGTGCAGGTGCCTCTGTCTGCCTGTATGCGGTACACCTCATGCTACGACTGCGTGTTTGCTCGAGATCCATTGTGTGGCTGGGACGGAAGACAGTGTGCTGAAATATCATCCTATGCTGATAAGTGAGGCCTAATACTTTATTTACTACTATAAGCTTGAGCATACATAAAACTCACTGCTGTCATAGAGTTGTATTTAGACAAAGCCATGCACTTATTCTACTACTGTCAGATGTACTGTAGCCTGTGTATGGACACACAAAGAGTCTGACATAAGAGAGTAACTGCTGTCTGCTTGCTTTTCCAGGTCTAACCTGACTCAGGACATTCAGATGGGTAACAGAGGGTGCGATGACATCACAGCTGATGGTGTGTATCAGCAGAGATGCAGCTGTGTGACATTAAAAGGAAGATTTAAATAAAATCATTCAGAGTGGTTTAATGTGCAATGCTTCATTCTAGAGAAACGTACCAAGTCAGAATTGTTCAGAACGGTGGTGATAGGAGCCAGTAAGAGCCTGAGACATTGTTTTCTGATAGTTTTGAGAGAAGGCTTTGGCCTTTTTACCATTCATCCATTCATAGTGGAGAGGCACATGCATGTTGTGATGCAAAACAGTCCCTAAAGACTTCCCTCAGAGTTCTTCTGATTTTCCACTATTTTACCATTATCAGCAATATATATATAAACCCAGACGACATGTGTAGATTGATTGATCGTTTTCGATAGTAAATAAAATAGCTATATTTGCATTGTACACATCATGGCTCTTGGTTGCCACTGTAGCACCACTGTAGAGAAATTTGAGCCTGTACGTTTCTCTGCAATGCTTCATTTCACATCACACCACTGTATATGACTTTGTTTATGTCTCACTCATTTAATTATGCAGAATTTTGATAATTCAGTGGAATTCCCTTTTAAAGCAATATTCTACTAAATGTACATAATTACTTTACTTTCTGTTTACCTTCAAAGCAGCAGATAAACCCAGACATTTTTGAAGAGCATAGGTACACTCTTAAAAATAAAGGTGCTGGAACGGAACCACACCAAAGAGGAACCACTTTTGGCTAGCTAAAGAACCTGTTAATAAATAATGGATAGTGATTCTTTAAAGAACTATTATTTTAAATTAGATAACATTTTTAAGGTTTAAAGTATCTCCACATAACATAAAAGGTTCTATAGCAATTAAAGAGCTTTCCTAGAAATACACATTTAAGCAAAGGACAATTTAGGAACCTTTATTTTTAAGAGCAGAGATGTAGACAGGCATTTTGAGTTGGGGCTGCTAAAATTTTAGGCAGCATGTACACACTGACGTCATGCAAAATATGCCCTTTTTTATTAGAATTTTTTAACAGGTCATACCACACAGTAATGTGTTGAGAGATGACAATATACACATTCAACTGACTCATTAAACCGCTGATGCACACCTTGATTTCTCTACTGTCTCATTATGGACAAACTTGCAAAAGATGAGCTGAGTGGTGACCAGTCAAGATTGTTCATATGTTTCTACAAAATTAATTGTGTCACATCAAGCTACACATTGATATTTGACACTTAAACACACACACTGCACGGGAAGTATAACAGTTAGAAAAAAACAATGTATTGAAAACTTATAATGTGATTTCTTTTATATTTATAAAAATTTTAGACCACTTTGTAAAACTATCCTTTAATTGCATACACTATATGAACATAATAAACATAAAAATAAAATATAAAATCTCCATCCTAAACAAGCACACATAGATCTCTACTATGCTCAGGTTATTTTTTATTTTTAGCAGTTGCAGTTGAACAGCTCTGAAATCTGGGGATGCTACCGCACCCCAGCACCCCTACTTCCTGCATCTCTGTTTAAGAGTGTACAATTTAAAGATAACTCTAGATAGCTGAAAGATTGCTGAAGCATAATGTATATAAATACATTTGTTGTAGTGTTGCCTTACTGAAGTCATTTGGCCTTATCTTACAATATTTATCTTTATGTTTTATCTGACAGGTTTAGTGTCCCATCGCACTCGTTCAGTGATGACGGGAGACGATGTGCTCTTGCAGTGCGAGCTTCGCTCCAACTTGGCAGTTCCACGCTGGACGCTGAACGGTGAGCAGTTGCAGGGTTACGGCACTGACACAGGCTACCGGACCGGCATTGATGGACTGCTCATCATTGGAGCTCAGAGCAGGCAGAGTGGTCACTACCGCTGTTATGCTGTGGAGAATGCCGTTTGGGTTCCTATTTGCAGCTACATGGTGAGGGTGCAACCTGCACCTCCAGCTTCACATCATCTACCAACAGACCCAACCGCACTACCAGAGAGTTTCTTCACCACTACTAGTGCAGTACCTGTCACACCCACTAGTGGCCCCACTGAGCAGCCCCTGCACTCCCCACCTGCTGCCCTGCCTTCTGGGCCTGAGTTTCAAACCAACCGCCACATGGAGGCCATGTACATTTCTTTGGTGGCTGTGTTGGGAGGACTCTGTCTTGTGCTAACCGTGGTTCTGCTGTATGTTAGCTTCTGTGCACATAGTGCCCCTGCTGGCAGGAAGTATTCTCAGCAAGGGCTGGCAGTCACTGCAGCCACAGAGAGAAGGCGGAGCTCCCATTTGGAGCTGAAGACCATCTCTAGTCACTGCAATGGAAGAGCCGATGGGCGTGGTAGAGCAGCATCAACAGACGGAGCGTTCCTGCAGATAGTTCCAGGGGAAGGCCAAGCTAGCCCTAGCAAGGAGCCACCTCCAGCACCTCCACTGCCCATGCCACCACCCCTGCCATCTACAGACTACACAAACGGCCTCTCAGCCACATTACCCAGTGTCTTAAGGAAGATGAATGGGAACAGCTACGTTCTTCTGAGGCAGGCAGACTCAGAGATGACCTCACCACTTTACCATTCCTTCACAGAAGAGCTCAACAGAATCTTAGAGAAGAGGAAACACACACAGCTTGATCTCCAGCCAGACGAGAGCTCTGTGTAGCTCTGTTTCCCTCTGATACATGTAGCGACCCCTTATGGTGGGAAGCGTAATGTTACAACTGCTAAGAAGCTGTGTTTTATTCAAATAATATACCCGTGATGGTGTATGTTTTGTGCTGTTTTTGCACTCTATCCTCATGTACACCTCCAGTATATCTAAACTGAAGCTGTTGTGTATGATGATCTGGCTTTGTTTTTTAATGTGGACCTTGTGGACTATTATGACACTGATTAGTTTGTGAAACACATATTTATTTTATTGAGAATGGCTGAGGACCAACCCTGGATGGAGATGATATGCTGTAAGAAATGCTGGGAAACAGACTGAGGCTGGTTCCCAGAGCAAGAACTTGCAAACTGAACAATAGAACTAAAACCACACAAAGGAAATGACTTAAACGTCCACAGTGTTAGATCCAGAAGTTCCTATTTATATTTACAGTGTTCTGCATTCAAATGTTGATTGCAATGTAAATGCATAGCTAATCAATGTGATATTCATAGAAATAGTCAAATTAGTAAACTGAGAAACTTTCTTTGTCACATAGCACTGTATGTACATAACACTGATCACTTACAGTTCTACTTCTACTACTGTTCTACTACTTTATTGACCTAAAATACTGTGCAAAAGTCACACATCACCCTTTTGTTGATTTAATTTCCAGTCAAAACAGCCACAGAGTACAAGTTATTCAGTGTTCAGTATCAGGAAAAAAGTAAAAAACATAAATAAAACATATATGAACATATCTTACATTACACAAAAGCCTCAACTGCTAAATATAACATAACATTTTCAGCATTTACTGTGTCCATCCTTTGTCTTTATTACAGCTTCTCTTCTTTTTCAGGAGTCTTTTAGTTTTCCAAAGAAATCTTTTTTTTTCTAAAAGTCTTAGAAGTTGGTTGCATTTTCTGTTTCTCACAATACAAATCCAAACTCATTCAGTGATGTTGATGTCTGGACTCAGTGAGGTGGTCAGTCTGTTGTTCTGAGAACATCAGCAGTTTCTTTGTTTGATTTCCATTTTTTTTCTTTTTTCAGCTTTTTTCTTTTTGATAGATTCTCATCAGCTACTCATCTTTTCAGACTCATAGTGTTGAGTTGTCTTCTTATAGTGGAACGATGGACCGAAACACCTGTGGATTTTTTCAGATCTAAAGCAAAAGTTGAGTTTGATTTTCTCCTCTCTCAAAGATGAAAGCTTTAAGTACTGTTTATCTGATGGTGACCTTTTTTTGGTCTACCAGGTCTTGCACAGTTGTTGGGAGTCCCACTTTCTCCTACATTATGCAAGAGGATTATATTATATCTAATCGCCTCAGAAATATCTCCTGAAAAATGAATGACTTGTACTAAATGGCTGTTTTGTCTGGAAATTAAATAAATGAAAGCTGGCCTCTGGTATTTGCATAGTACAGTACATAGATCGCCAGTGGAAAAACGGAGGAGAATTATTGGTCTCTCAGTTGAGGTTTGTGAATAATTTGCAAAGGTAACAATAAATCATAATTCACATGGTATCTTCAGACATGCTGTAAGAATATTTTAAGACAAGAAATAGTGGATTTGGGTAACAAAGCACTACAGTAAACTCAACAAAGTATAATATAGTGGGAAACGTTCATTCCTGAAATAGCATATTGTCAGCATCCATTGGAATATGTTCTGAAAACATTTTAGAAGAATAGAAGAAGAAAAGTAGAATAACTTTTTGTACCATAAGCCTTTTTGATGGCTTTGTGGAGACATGTCCACAGGGCATAAAGGTGAGTGTTTCATTTATGCAAGTGACGAAAAACTGTTAAAAATCAGATGGTTGTTATTATGACAGTGCCAATACTGTAAAGTGCCCAGAAAGACCAGAGGTACATTCAAGCACTTTACAGAGGATATTGCAGCATTGTCAAAGTGCTCCATCTCGGCCATGTGCCACATGCCACACAAAATTGCCATCACTACAAAAGAATTTCCTTTGCTTAATGCATGCCACCCTTGGCAAAGTCAGTACCACTTTCCAGCCAGTGCAATGTACGCTCATGCTTGTTGAGTTAAAAGATGGAAAACATAAAATATGAAATGCACGGTCTTTATGTTATGTTTTGATTTTTCCCAATATGTTAAATTCAGCAAAAAACTGTGCATTAAAATGCAGAATTGTGTAGAGGATGTGTTAACTTATTTTCACTTAGAAAATCAACAAAACATGCAAATTGGCCGGGGTGCCCAAACTTTTGCATACAGTCGTATGTACAAAAGTACCTGGAAATGACAGGAAACATTCTGTAATATCTCTGTAATACCTGAGATGGTTTTACAATGTATCTATATTCATATCCATCCTAAAGAGTTTAAATATACCAAAAATAACCATTTTGATTTCATCATCCCAATACAGATCACACACTATATAAAGGTTGTTGGCAGACTTCAGTGAATCATCTGCTGCAGACTGCTGCATTAGTAAGCTGGACTGGAAGGCTGTAATCTTTCTTAAAGTGATGTACTGTAGACAGTAATGTAAAGTACAACATGATCCTTGCTTTGCACTGCTTGTGTTGAGCTGTAATACGGGCCTGCAGTAAATGTTAAATCAGCTTTAGTGCACCTTTCCCTCGAAGCTCTCACCACTTGGCTGGTGTATTTGTCACTGTGTAGCTGACACTAACAGCAGGGCTTGGCATGGAGTCTTTTTTCAGTATTGTAGAGAGAATGGAACAGAACATGACTTACTTGCTATTCCCAGTGAGTTCTGACATGACACTAGTGCTTGTATTTCATCATTCTTGTATTCCCATTTGCACACAGACCTTCTCCTCACCTTATTTTGCACTCATGCATTTTATTGCCATTGTCTCAATTAATATTATGCTTTATATGCAATTGCTTGTCATGACTTTCATTATTATAAAACTAAGGTGAATATATTACCATGATAAAACAAATTATTATGACTTCTGTCTTTTCAAATGACATGCACTAACATTTCCTTTAATAATCATGACAGACATGTGGTCTTGCAGAAGAACTTGTATGATCTACTTAATCTTATAATTGGTCTATTCATGGTACTATATATTGCAAATCTGGTCACGCAGTTGGTTTGTGTTTTCTTGAATTAGCGTTAAACTATGTGGAATGTGCTGAAATTATGAAATACACCAAATGGCCACTTAATTGAGTCCAGACTGTAGTTGTTTCTCTGCATACTTCAGTCCTCTTTAGTTCTTCAATGGTCAGCACCCCCACAGTGCAGGTGTTATTTGGGTGGTGGATCATTCTCAGCACTGCAGTGACTCTGACGTGGTGGTGTGTTAGTGTGTGTTGCACTGGTACGAGTGGATCAGACGCAGCAGTGCTGCTGGAGTTTTAAACACCTCAGTGTCACTGCTGGACTGAGAATAGTCCACCAACCAAAAATATCCAGCCAACAGTGTCCTCTGACCACTGATGAAAGACTAGAGGATGACTAACACAAACCGTGTAGCAACAGATGAGCTACTGTCTCTGACTTCACATCTACAAGGTGGACCCAACAAAGTAGGTGTGTCTTAATACAGTGGACAGGGAATGGACACTTAATGCCTGATCTGTGGTGGGGTCCAGACCATTGACATGGTGTGTTTGGAGAAAAAAAGAGCAGCATTTGATGAAAACAACACCTTGCCAACTTGGGGCACCCAAACTCCCAGCATGGGGATGGATCTAGTTTGCTTTGGGGTTGTGTGGCAGTTAGTGGTACAGGAAACACTACACAGGTAGAGGGATGAATGAACTCCACTAAATATCAGCAATTTCTGGAAGCAAATGTGACACAGTGAGTCAAGACACTGGAGCTGGAAAGAAGCTGACTTCTACAACAGGACAATTATTCAAAACATACCTTAAAGCCACCATTCCAAATAGTTTAAGAAATGCTAGCTGAGGCCCTGACAGTCCCCTCACTTGAATATCTTTGAAAACCTGGATAAACACACTGTGCATGCAAGTAGACCCAAGAATTTTGGCAGAACTAGAAGCGTTTTGCCAGGAAGAGAGGGTAATTACATTGTCAGGATCTGTATTCAATGCTAAAAGCCTAATGCCATTATTTATGTAGGAGCACATACTCCAATATTTAACAGTGGATGCAGGTCTGAGCAAAATATTGGCCTCTAAATGCCGAACAGCAACAGCTGTCATGTTAAAAATCTGACTCATGCATTGCTTTAGTTGTCTTGTAATAGTCTTTATGACCTGGTAATCATGTTTTTATATAAATATATACACATAATATACACATATACATATATATGTATATATACATATATATAAAAACATGATTACCAGGTCATATATATATATATATATTTCAGCATTTGATAATTCATGCTTTATATGTGCAAAGCTTTTGGCTTTTCTGTCAGAAATCATTTCTTTAGCCCATTTTGTGACATACTTGCATGTGGGTAGTCAGCTAAGCTTCGTTAGATGCCAATCAGGCCTATTTGTATGCCCCATATGTAGCTGTCACCTAGAAACAGTGCTTTATTTAGAACTTTCTTTAATCCACAGATTAGGTCAAGCGAGTTCTCACAGGGGACAGATGATGTGACTGGAGCACACTATTCTCATCTGGCTGCAATATGTGTTATGTATTAATAGATATAATCACCAACAGTGATGAACTGAAATCAATGAGACTCTCTACCATCTCTCACAATTAGTGACCCCTGCAGTCTGCAGTCTTATAAGCATACAATCAGCTGTAACTGCTGCTTTGACTGAGACATGTTAGGAAGGCTTCAGAAACTGTTTTATAACACCATGCACAGACCATTAATGCAGGGTAACTGTTTGCAATGCCATCCTGCAGCAATGTTTCTAAAGAATCTTTGTTTCTATCTGTGTCAAAGTACTATCTATCCAGATATCATCTCCTCGAGAGAATTTTGAGAAGAGACAGAGCAGTTAACAATGACAAACTCCATACAGGTAAAGATGTCTGTCACTATAAATGTTATTCATTGATAATGTCTACTTTCTGTAAAGATCTGTAAATCATACATTTTCCAATAATAGCACATAATATGCAAAATTAATACTGTATACAAGTATCCAAAGTTTTTGTTTCCATATATCCAATAATCGCATTTCTACAATAAACAGATGCCTATTACAACCATTATTTTCTGTGGATAGTTAAAGTTTAGCTCACTTAACAACCTGATTTCAAAAATTTATTCCCTACAATAGAGTGGTCACTCTCAGTAGGCAGACACCCAAGATCAACAGGAACACAGCAATGGTGATGGAGACAGTGTGTTAGCAGTGGGGTACGCTGAATTAACATAAATCCAGCACTATAACACAGATTAGTCAGGTCAAATCTCTTTTCATTTCTCTCACTGTATTCAAGCAAAACATTCTCCAAAATGCATTAATCGGGTTCCTCATGAAATATTATGAGTACTGTAAAAAAAAAAAAAAGTTTGTAACCAAAAGGATTACATTACTTTATATCGAGTTGGCTGAATAGCCAATGCAGTATAAATAGAACTCTATAATGACAAAGTCCTCATTTTGCTTGTGGTCCAATTGGATCTTTGCTCGGTGGCCGGTTGGTAAAGGGATGCCACTGACCCTGGATGCTGGGGCTGTCTGTGTGGAAGGGCTTTCGGATGCGGATGATGTCCAGACCTGACTGGTTGGACAATTTCATGATCAGTTCTGCAATCTGCTGTGATGTTTTGTTGGTGACCAGCTCTTCCTTCACGTTACCATTGACTGCACGGATGAAATACAGCAGTTGCATGAGGTATTGTAGTATTTATTTATTATTATTGTACTATCACAAGACTAACATTACTTCAGCAAATTAGAATACTGTTAAGAACAACAGCTAGAGTTCCATTAAAACATGAAACGACAGGAATTTTATGCAGCGATGAAATGGACGCAACTGGGCTACAAGTAATGCACTACACAAGTTAAAGGTTTATGAGCAGAATTAGATTATACTTACGATATTCGGCGACTATTTTGGGAATTCTGCAGGATTGGGGAGAGACGTAGACAACAATTCCTGGGTTCTTCTTGGCAAAGTCAACTACACCATCCTCAACGAATTCCCTACCAATACAATTATGAACAGTCAGCAGACAATTAATTGGCCACTAGGACTACAAAAATTCAGGGTGACAGAGGAGCTGCACTTAATAATCAGCCAACGGTTTTATAATACAGGATGATGATGATGATGACAAAGATGATAAAAGGTCGTTTACCCACCCTACCCTCTGAGCACATACCTGACCCCTAAAGAGCTCTGGCCTTTCTTGGAGAAGATGAGAGAGACGCGCTTCAGCTGGCACACATACCGGCCCACCCCGTTCAGAAGAACACTCTGTAAAAAACGACTAGGAGTGCCGCGAGCCGTCATCTCAGCCTGACGGGGTCTACTGGATTAGAAACCATGCAAAGAGTTCAAAACACTTTGTTGGACTACGAGGGTCTTCCGTGTTGCAGACAGAGGGCTCACTGGTACAGCGGCGCGGTCTAAAGGACAAACATCAACCAGCACATGCGCAAGAACCTTTCAGAGGTACGAGAGCAATTATCATCCGGGTAGAAAGTAGACAAGAGTCGACTGTCGTTCTCGGAAAGGTGTTATTGTCGATAAAATATACAGTGTATGTATATAAAAATATACATTACGTACAACGCCTTATTATGCACGGATAGATACGAATACAATAACTACAAAAATGTATAATTCGTATTTATTTTTTTATTTAAAAGGCGCTGTTTCACACCGACCTGTTTTGAAACGCGAGCGCAAAGGTTTCTGGGAGCTGTAGTATATCCTTGGCGGGAGACAGAGATGGGACACTGTGCTGTTTCGCGCTGCTATCATTGCAGTGTTTTACCGTTGTGACTCAAATACTGGCAGGTCTGTCGTTTCGTTTAAGTACTTTAATGCTTTTCCTATATATCCGTTATCCGTTACTTTTTTCTTCTGGGCCATTTTTAGACGGACACGTGTTCGTCTGTTCGCTGTTAGTCACTAGTAGTCATGCTAGAACTCACTTTTTTGTTGAAGCTAGAGCTATTAGTAATGTGTAAACAGTAAGAAACGTTTGTATTGTTTGCCCCTCCACTGTTGAAATCCAGTGGGGAAAAGAGCGTCCTTTGTTATTCATGTTGGAGACCTGTTCTCGTGAATGAGGAGTAAATGTGGATGGGACGTTTCCTGAGGGTAGCAGCAAGTCTCCTAAAAGAGGCTGGCTGTCGCCCCAGTGGTCCCAAACTCTGGCAGCTTCCTACCAAGAGATATTTCTCCTGCCTTCTGGTGCATCGCCGCTCAGCGCTGCAGTATCCAGCAGGAACACCTGCTTGGTGTCACTTCTATGGAGGATGGAAGTCTACAGTGTTGTTTCCTTTGTGCAGAACGTTGAAAAAAGACACAAAGTCTACAATAGACGTCCCTGCTCATCCAGTCACAGTGACCGACATCAAGCAGTATCTGCGGGCTAAGGGTGTTCCCTTCCACGATGGCTATAGTTGCTTACATGCTCTCAGTATTTTTGCGAAGCCAAAATCAGATGTTCTTGAAGGTGGCGGGAAAGAAAACTATTCTATGTTCATTGACAAAACTACCGGACAGTTCCTCTGTAAAGAGACTCTGGTAGAAGGCAGCTGGGAAGACTTGCAGGACTGCCTGGAGGTGATGCAGAAAGAGGGGCAGACATGGATCAGCCCTGACGTGCTGCTGAGCTACTCAGAGACCCTAGAGGAACAGGAAGAGAGGGAGAGGGACCTGAAGGAGGTACACAGAATTTGGAGCAGCTCTGTGACTTTATTGGATCTCCTTGAGGAGGAGGCACAGCTTGTCAAAACCATGTTCCAGATGAATAAGCTCACCAATGCCACCCTAAAGAAGTTTGGGGTGAGATTCTTTAAACCCACCAAAAGCCTGGTGTTCCCCTGGTTTAGTGGGAGAGACTCAAGCCTCCGTGGCATAAAACTGCTATCTGCTGCCACCAAGGAAGATGGTCGGGTGGTCTATACAGAAGCTACTGTTCCAAAGTCATCCAGCTACCACAATCTCTTTGGACTTCCTTTAGTGGGGCGAAAGGATACAGAGGTGGTGCTCACAGGAAGTGAAATCGACAGCATGGCAGTCAGTCAGGCCACTGGTTTGCCCACTTTGGCGTTGCCAAGAGGTGTTAGCTGCTTGCCTCCAGTCCTCCTTCCATATCTGGAGCAGTTCAAGAAGGTCACGCTTTGGCTTGGTGGGGATATGCGCTCTTGGGAGGCTTCAAAAATCTTTTCAAGGAAACTGGGACTGAAGCGTTGTTCTCTTGTGCGGCCTGGAGAATTCCAGCCATGCCCTAGTGAGGCACTGGGCCATGGTAGAAACCTTGCACGTATTGTTAAGGCCTCCATCCCTGCCGCCCACAAGTCCATAGTTTCCTTTAAGCAGCTCAGGGAGGATGTTTATGGGGAACTGGCCAACATAGAGCAGGTGGCTGGAATAAAGTGGGCCCGGTTTCCTGAACTTAATCGACTCCTAAAAGGCCATCGGAATGGAGAGCTAACTGTTTTCACAGGTATGGCCAATGCAAAACACGTTAGCCTAATTTTGTACCCATTAATATAGATGTATTTTTAAAATGACTGTTTGACATGCTGTTTTTATTATATTTCCAGGTCCTACTGGAAGTGGGAAAACCACCTTCATCAGCGAGTACGCCCTTGATCTGTGCATGCAGGGTGTTAACACGCTATGGGGGAGCTTTGAGATCAAGAATGTGCGTTTGGCCAAAATCATGCTGACCCAGTTTAGTATGCAGAGACTGGAGGAGAACCTGGAACAGTATGACTCCTGGGCTGACAAGTTTGAGGAGCTTCCGCTCTACTTTATGACCTTCCATGGTCAGCAGAACGTTAAGTAAGTCAGCATTTTAATGTCAGTATTTTTTAATAAGTCAGAATCAAGATCTTGTTTTTGTAGCATTAAAAACTTGACTGTTTGTCAGTTTGCTGTCTGAGTCACTAGTGCATTGCAAGAAGAGCTGTTCACTGATGTCAAAAATAATTAGTTGAGACCTGTTAAATAACTTTGGCCTCAATTTCAGCACACTCTGCTTTTCTCTGCAGGACAGTGTTGGACACTATGCAGCATGCTGTTTACCTCTATGACATCAGTCATGTGATCATCGACAACCTGCAGTTCATGATGGGTCAGGAGAACCTGTCTGTAGACAAGTGAGTAGGGATCCATGCTCGTGGCCAGCAGATTTTTGTTCTAAACATGCAATTAGCAGTCAAACAATGTACTGTTACTACAATACTACAATATGGCAATTTTATGATGTAAATAATGTGAGGTAGGTAAGTGCACTCAGGCTGCTACTACACCTGTGCCGAAATGTTGTAGTATAATTATGCATGAGCCATTGTGCTTAAAAGCAAGTTTCCTATTATACCTATAATTAGTTACCTATGTACAGTGTCACCTTGGCCCATTTAAGAGCAAATAATATTATTTACATTATAACTTTGATTAATAGAAAACACTGACAAAGTGCTATTGTGTGTTCCTTTAGCCCACACAGTGTGAGCTTTGAGCTATAAAAAAGGGTAATGAAAATCAGCCAGAAGAATCGTCCATAGGCCTGTCTGTCTCTAAAGACATCGCAATCGGCTGTAAAAATTTAGGACCATTTATATCTACAAGCAAGGCAAACATTCCAAACCATTTTAACTCTTGTATTCTTGTAAGCCCTTGTTAGAATGTCTTCCAGTTGGTAAAATGTATCATATACGTAATTGAAATACTAACGTACTATATACAGTAGTTCCAAATAATTGATAAGGAGTATGTCAGTCTTGATCTGTGATGGTAGAAATGTTCTGACTGTGGTTAGGTAATCTAGTGTGTTTCCCATCCTAGGTTTGCTGTGCAAGATCACATAATTGGAGCTTTCAGGAAGTTTGCAACAAACAATAGTTGTCATGTGACCCTGATCATCCACCCTAGGAAGGAGGAAGATGACAAAGAACTACAGACAGCATCCATCTTTGGTACAGCTAAGGTTGGTACATTGGTATTTATTGTTTACTATTATAATTAGTGGGTGTTTTTTTGCTTATGGATGTCTGGAATGGTAGGCATAATTTAACTTTTTCTCACTTGCTTGAACACTTGTTTATTCAGAAGTCATATTCTCAAAACGGTTAACACATGACACTAAATAGAAACTAACTTGCTGGCCAAATAACACACTTTCATTTCATCTTTTTCACAATGTGGTCAAAACCCCGGAAAACACTAAAAACGCTCCACAAAAGCAAACTTCCAGTAAGTTGAGTGAAGTCCTTCAGTCAGTCACTAAACAACCAAAAAATCCCAATAAAATACAGATTTCTAATTTGAACCTATTTAGCCTTCATTAGTGCTGTATATCCATGCAAACCTGTTTAGAATGTGCAAAAGTTTAAGAATATTAGTGGAATCTCTTCTTGTCTTCTGGGTAGTTTTGCCAGAAATACAGGTCAGTGCAAGGTACTGCACACCACACAACCAAACCAAAATATTTCGCTCACAATATTCAGAAACATACAATTTTCCTGCCTTTTCTTTTTTCTATGCCCTTGAAAGGCAACATGGTGCCAAAAAATGATGCCAACAGAAGGTCTTGGCATACATACATACTGTATACTGAAATTTCCAGTAAAATTTAGGCCACACTTAGACCGTGTCATCAATCATTGCTTGTCCATAGCTTGGTGGAAGGAGGTCTTACCCAAATCTAAGTCTACACACTTTAGCATGCATTGTACAGTTTTAAAAATACATCTCATTTAGCAAGTCTGCCATTATATACAGTCTTTACACCATAGCAGACCTGTTTATTACATATCCCTCTGCTGACAAATATGAGTGTGGAAAAAAGTAAAAAGTATCAACGAATGTGTCTGAATATTTATTTATTTATTTATTGGTGCTGTAGGTGTGTAGTAAATTGCCTTGAAATGTATAATTACAGTATTTCTGGTTTCTTTTTTTTTTAAATCAGTGGATAAGTCTGTCACTGTGTAATATGACAGTCCTACCTGTTACCTATCCCTGAATGTGATAATCTTTGCTTACTGTCAGCAACTGATAACTGATTGCTGTGTTAACTTTGTCTTTCACATGGGTGCTGAAGGTAGATATGACGGAGTATTTTCTATAAGCGGTCACTACATGTTTTCATTATGTTTTGCACAGTTATCCAATTAATAATTTTAAAAGGGGTGGAAAAACAACGAAAGCAAAGAGAATGTGTTAACACATTTGCAAATGGACACTTCTTCTTTGCAAAGAATGTGATAATAAAGATTAAGTTGACCCCAGTTTTGTTAAATGTGTCATAGCAGTCGAGAAAACCTGTAATAACCGATGTACCACTCTGTCTCTATTCACAACAGGCTAGTCAGGAAGCCGATAATGTGCTCATACTTCAGGAAAAGAAGTTAGTGACGTGTCCTGGCCGCAGATCCCTGCAAGTGGCCAAGAATCGCTTCGATGGGGATGTGGGCATCTTTCCACTGGAGTTCAACAAGACCACACTTACTTTCTCTGCTCCAGTGAAGGGCAAGCAAAAACTGCGCAAGGTCAAAGTAGAAAAGACAGAGAATCCAGAGCAAATAGAGGAGGCTAAAACCAAAGAGAAGGCAGGGAAAGTCCTGAAGCCTACCAAAGCTCCTAAAGCTCCCAGAAGTGTAAAGGGGACATCAGTTGGAAAGAGTGAAGAGAACGGAGAGGGCAAGAAGCAGCAGTAACGAGGTTAAACTGTGAATACAAATGTTAAAGAGATTATTCACTGTGAAACTGTTAATGAAAGTGTTGGTTAACAAACATTTTCGTCTACCTCAGATTGTGAATTTTACTGTATTTTGCCTGTTACTGTATTATGTGCTATTAGCAGACCTTTGATGTTTGAGATAGTGATGGTCATCACATTTCTGCTACCGAATTAGTAAATAATAATTGAGGATGGTTCCAGAAGGACTGATTAGATTAGATAAAAAGATTACTGCTCATTTATTTGTGTCGAAATATTCAAGCACATTTGTTTGTTAAACAGTACCAAATCTGTTATGATGTAAGTACTTACTTAAGAACAGAAACCAGATCTATTTCTAGAGATCCTGGCATTAAATAATATCCACTTTTATGGATAAGCATTTCAAAATGTCTGGTGTTCACGTTCCGTTTATTATTAATTGCACTAAAGAGTGTCTAATTATCTGAACAAAATAATGGAAAAAAGATGGCTTTGTAGGGCTTTTAAATGAAACTATGTATTAATAAGAGTAATTTTTATGCAGTTTGTACTTTTTAATAAAAACTTTTTTTTAGATTTCAATGTCTTTATTCTCAAAAGGAAATGAAGTTCCACTAGATATACAGTGGTGTGAAAAAGTGTTTGCCCCTTCCTGATTTCTTATTCTTTTGCATGTTTGTCACACTTAAATGTTTCATATCACCAAACAAATTTAAATATTAGACTAAGATAACACAAGTAAACACAAAACGCAGTTTAAAACATAAATTAACTAAAAACTTAAATAAAATCCTCAAAAGCTAGACATCATGCTGCGATCCAAAGAAATTCAGGAACAAATGAGAAACAAAGTAATTGAGATCTATCAGTCTGGAAAAGGTTATAAAGCCATTTCTAAAGCTTTGGGACTCCAGCAAACCACAGTGAGAGCCATTATCCACAAATGGCGAAAACATGGAACAGTGGTGAACCTTCCCAGGAGTGGCCTGCCGACCAAAATTACCCCAAGAGCGCAGCGATGACTCATCCAAGAGGTCACAAAAGACCCAGCAACAACATCCAAAGAACTGCAGGCCTCAATTGCCTCAGTTAAGGTCAGTGTTCATGACTCCACCATAAGAAAGAGACTGGGGAAAAATGGCCTGCATGGCAGAGTTCCAAGACGAAAACCACTGCTGAGCAAAAAGAACATAAAGGCTCGTCTCAGTTTTGCCAGAAAACATCTTGATGATCCCCAAGACTTTTGGGAGAATACTCTGTGGACTGACGAGACTAAAGTTGAACTTTTTGGAAGGTGTATGTCCCATTACATCTGGCGTAGAAGTAACACAGTATTTTAGAAAAGGAACATCATACCAACAGTAAAATATGGTGGTGGTAGTGTGATGGTCTGGGGCTGTTTTGCTGCTTCAGGACCTGGAAGACTTGCTGTGGTAAATGGAACCATGAATTCTGCTGTCTACCAAAAAATCCTGAAGGAGAATGTCCGGCCATCTGTTTGTGACCTCAAGCTGAAGCGCACTTGAGTTCTGCAGCAGGACAATGATCCAAAACACACCAGCAAGTCCACCTCTGAATGGCTTAAGAAAAACAAAATTAAGACTTTGGAGTGGCCTAGTCAAAGTCCTGACCTGAATCCGATTGAGATGCTGTGGCATGACCTCAAAAAGGCGGTTCATGCTTGGAAACCTTCCAATGTGGCTAAATTACAACAATTCTGCAAAGATGAGTGGGCCAAAATTCCTCCACAGTGCTGTAAAAGACTCATTGCCAGTTATCGTGAACGCTTGTTGCTGCTAAGGGTGGTCCAACCAGTTATTACGTTTAGGGGGCAATCACTTTTTCACACAGGGCCCTGTAGGTTTGGATTTCTTTTTCCCTTAATAAAGATCTTCATTTATAAACTGCATGTTGCGTTCACTTGTGTTATCTTTGTCTAATATTTAAATTTGTTTGGTGATCTGAAACATTTAAGTGTGACAAACATGCAAAAGAATAAGAAATCAGGAAGGGAGCAAACACTTTTTCACACCACTGTATCCCACTAGATTTGTCTAAGGCAGATCTAGGCTGCCATTTGGTGCACTATGTGTTTCTTTGTTTGCTCAGTTTTTCTTGTATCTGTTAATTGACTAATTATTCTCCTTTTCTACAAATCTTGTAATCTTGCTATTAGATTCAGTTTACAAAGGGCTTAATGGGAGCTCCCTCTTTTAACTGAATCAGACGTTTTAGGGCAACAGCTACAAAACTACGCAGTACAAAGCCTAAACCTAACCCTAACGTCAACACTAAGCCTAAAACTTAATTCACTTTCTCCCAAAATCTGACCCTATCCCTAATGTTGTAGATCAACTGAGTTAAAGCAGATGTGTTAAGAATTTGATCATCGTATATAATCTGTATGGGACAAAACAAAGTGTGACCCAAATGAATGCTTCACCAACACCTTTATTTTTGCTCTAAAACGTCTGATTCAGTTAAAGAATTCAAGAAAGGGGTTGTAAATTAATGATGCGACTCACAAAACTACACGATGCAGGACTGAGGTCGGGAAGTAGAACGCAAGAATGGGCGTGTCTTGTCTTCTGGTACACAGTGAAGACTTCGTGCTAGAACTTCTACTAATCATAACAGTGAAAATCAAACGCGAAATGCAACCACAAATGACGTCACTTTCATCAAGGATGTAGTCTCCTGCTCTCGGTCGTCTCCTGTTGGCTTTGACTCGCGAGGCTGTCACGCTGCAGCTCAGATCATATGACCCCTGTAGACCAATCAGAGAGCACTACAATAGAGGAAGCGTTCACTCCGCTGATCCACACATTTTGGTATTAATGACCAAATCATTTTATCATTTATTTAACTTTTGACGCTGCTCGGTGTGTCTGCTGCACGGTGGTGACACCCATGCAGTTTTGTGACTTGTTCTGTCTCTTTATATGTACATTTTTGTATAGATTGCTGGTGTTTTGGACCTGAAACAGTCGTGAGGAGTTGTAAAACATTACAGCCCCAATGGCTGGAGATAAGTCTGTGGCAGATGTTGCGGCTCTGCTCGCTGCTGCTCGCCGTGTGTATAAGCAGAGTTACGGAGGAGAAGCGCAGGTGGCTGTTTGTGCTCCAGGGCGGGTGAATTTAATCGGAGAGCACACAGATTACAACCAAGGACTGGTTCTGCCAATGGTAACTGAGAAGTGCACACGGTCCATGGACCTAGACCATTACATCACAAGACTAAAACGTTTTTAAAGTTGCTTTATATAACAGATTACCATGAAGTGCATGCTTTTAAACTGTATATTTATTTGATTGATCTCTGGTGTATCGTGTATCTTCTAAGTTTTTACATTACAGTTTTTCTATCATATTTTAGTATCGCCCGTGTAATTTTGAGCTGTGTTGATTACAGGCTTTGCCACTGGTGACAGTTATAGTGGGCAGCAGCACATCTGGGCAGAGCTGCTCAGTTGAAACCATTACAGAATCTGCAGATGAGCCAAGGAGAGTGGACTTTGATCTGCCCACAGAGAGTTCACCTCTGACAAGAGGGCAGCCAGCCTGGGCCAATTACGTTAAAGGGGTGGTGCAACACTATAGAGGTATGCTTAGAGTTTTTTTTCAACTCTGATTAGATCCACAAAGAGTATTTGTGTATTTATTCTGACTTCAAACAATGCAGTGTCCATGCAGGAAATAATGAATAAAATTTCATTGATTTTAATGTTTTTATTGTTTGACTTCCAACATTTGGCAGAAGTTTCTGGATAAGAATTCCCATGTTGAAAGTGAATAGTAGGTTAAAAATGAAATGACACAAAGTCATAAGGGTTACGTAAATCTTGATGGGAAACAAGGGGAGGTTCAGACTCTTTTGAAATGAAGACTCATAATGATCATGTGATTGGGTTTGTACACAGCACAGCCCTTGCCTGCATTTAAAGCTGTGATAGCCAGCAGTGTGCCACTAGGGGGTGGACTGTCCAGCTCAGCTTCACTTGAAGTGGCAGTGTACACTTTCCTTCAGCAGTTATGTCCAGGTAAGAGCAAATCTGACAGAAATTGGAGAGGTTCATGCATTTATTAGCTTTAGAATGATTGATAGCATTTCGATAAGCATGTAAAGACTCATTCTCTAACCACTACCAAGCTTGAGTGTAATGCTGACTGTTTGACAGTCAGCTAGTGTAACAGTTTGTACCTCCTCCAACAGATGATGGGGATAAAGTAGCAAAGGCAGTAGCTTGCCAGCAGGCAGAACATACCCATGCTGGAGTGCCCTGTGGTATTATGGACCAGTTTGTTTCAGTGCTGGGAAAAGAGGGTCATGCATTGCTTATTGACTGCAGGTAGGGTGCCTTCTACATGTTCAGACACTATGCTATCTATCAATCAAAGTAGCACCCTTAGGACTGTACATAATAGTCGGTAGTAGGAATATGTGTTAACCTCTCTATCTGCCAGTTGCTTGTGGAGTAATGACACTGTTTATTGTCTCTTTAAGGTCTCTGGAGGCCACTCCTGTTCCTCTAGCTGATCCTAATCTAGTCATCCTTATCACCAATTCCAACGTGAGGCACTCACTGACAGGAAGTGAATATCCCAGTAGACGAAAACAGTGTGAGAATGCAGCAGCCATTTTGGGCAAGAGCAGTTTAAGAGATGCCACCATGCAGGATCTGGTGGGTAAGGATAATGGAGAATGCAAGAAAGTCATATGTCTGTGATTTGCTGTAGTGCATATGTGCTTCAAAATATATCATCTTTTGTAGATGCCAAAGACCGTCTGGACAGCGTGACATACCGGCGAGCGCAGCATGTGATTGAAGAGATTGAGCGCACGGCACAGGCAGCTGAGGCACTCAAGAGAGGAGCTTATCAAGAATTTGGGAAGCTTATGGTGGAGAGCCACAATTCTCTCAGGTACACAGTACTACTAAGCTACCGAGACCATGACATGCAGGTGGAGTCTAACTGGTAAACAATGGTAATGAACGAAGCTGAAGACCATGGATGTACTCTTCCCTCATAAGGATCTTTTCTTTCATATATTTTGGAAGCTTGCCCTCTGAACTATTTTTACTTTTATCACTGTTTTCACACCAATTCAATCTGGAAAGGATTTAGATCAGAAGGAACTCTGAAATTTGACCATGATTCAATTCATGAATTTTGTTTTTTAAATACACAAAAGTCTGAAAATTATATTTTGTCAGAGTGTAGCAAACAATATTCTGTTTTAAATAATATTATGCACATCTTCCTTCAGAGACCTTTACGAGGTCAGCTGTCCAGAGCTGGATGTGCTGGTAGCCGCAGCAATGGAAGTTGATGGAGTATTTGGGAGTCGGATGACGGGCGGCGGGTTCGGTGGATGTACAGTAACACTGCTTCAGGCTGATGCCACAGAGAGAACCATAAAACACATTCAGGTACTTTGGAATTTACACTGTATTTATATTTTTACACTATGCTTTGTTTTAACTGGTCCTTCTTTTGTTTTTCTTCTACAGGAGAGATACAGTGGACACCCTACTTTTTACAGAACTACACCATCAGAAGGAGCTCGGGTCCTCAGTCCAATGGAGAATTAACACTATAGTTAAAATATTACTGCAACAGCTAAGCATGACGTTTTTAAGGCTCATTTCTGGTGCATCAGTTAAGAATTATTTTCATCCTAATCAATGGCATTCTATATGTAGTACACTGATCAAAGTAGCTTTAGTTGTTGAAAGTTGTTTTTCATCTGTTTTACAGTCAAAGGAACAAAAGAACTTTTACACACTAAAAATAAAAATATTTTTTCTCATGTTCTGGTCTTTTACAGAAGGTTCTCATTCATTCACATTCTTATTAAAATGCACACAATTTGTGCAAATGCTGTGCTGTATTTATGCAGTGTTATTTAATATTTTATGTTTTATTCAGCAGTCTAAAGGCATTGGCAAACACTTTTAATCCACAGTTTCTTGATAGCAGAAATTCAAATAAAAATAGTATTAATCTTAGTAGATCCATTAGCAAACAGAGAGAATTTTTTAGCATTTCAAAATTTAAATTTAACCACTAGGAATTAAATGTAAGATTTCAGTTAACACTAGTAAGAATTAATGGCTTTCCAGTTCATTTTAATGGGATGCATTTTACTGTGAATTTTAACATGCAGTAATGTAATTTTGTACAGGCAAATTGAATTAAATCTGACATGTTGAAACTAATTATTACTTGTTTTAATTGATTTCTTACTAATGTGAATCGAATCGTTGCATGTAGAAATCAGTTCTTAAATGTAAAAGTAAAACTTTCGGTTTTTACATGTAAGAATTTATACACGTAACAAATTTCTCTTATATCTGTTCGAATATGTAATTTGGATTTCAGCAAACTTCATTTCTTACCAGTAGAATTCCTACTAGCTGTTCAATTTGGATTTCTGATAGCAGGAAACTACTGTGGTTAATTAGACGGCTCGCCATACTGATATGACGCTGACACTGATTTTGTGCCCTGGACTTCATACTCCCTCTGCTGGAGGAGCTGCTGTGCAGCGAGCGTGGCTGTTGAGGGAGGAGCCTGAGCTGCAGTGAGCTGGTAGCCCCTCTGGCTGGAGGTGAAAAAATAAAAGTCTCCACTCGCAGCGGGCCTGGGGCCGCAGGAAACGGCGAGGCTGCAGCGGAGTACCGAGAGCTATAGGAACCCGTACGTCTCTGAACTAGCGTTAGGTGAACAAGAGAACATTACAGCGTTAGATGACTGTTACCTTAACTTTAACGTACTGCTCGTTGGTTTTTTTCCGAAGAAAAGTATTCTTGGGAGAGTGGCCCAAGATCCGTAAACAGTGAACGCCGCCGCTGGGACAACAACGTAGCTGCAGATCAGGTGAGTTTCTGACGGGCCGCAGTGTCGCCTGGTTTAGCTCACTGTTAGCTGAGTTAGCCGGATGTCTACAGGTGCTGTATTGTGGTAGCCGTCTGTGTAGCCCTGTTACTGCTCACTTGTATTGTTGGCAAAACAGTGTTTTCACAGCGAAGTGTCCGTATTCGTGTAAGCTATCTTTTACGGGGCTCTTGATGTGGCAGCCCATTCAGACTGGTAGCCGGTTAAGCTATCATCGCTAGGGTTAATCGCTTTTAAGTTAACGAGTTGTTAGCTGGCTGACTGATTTAGCTATGTTTAACTCTTACGTTAAAAACGCTCAAAACATACATAACATCAGATTCTGATTCATTATATCTGTTAGTTGGCTTTGCTGTCCGTTTTATTCGGTAAAGAAACCAACGTTAACCCTTTTACAGTCTTCAGGAAAGTATTATAAGCTAGCTTAGCAGATTTCTTTATTGGGCTTGTTGGGGTTATTTGACGTTAGCTAACGTAACTAGCTGCTGCGCTACAGCTAATGAAACAGTATCAAAGTTTATTATTTTACGCGTACTTGATGTAATAACTATAGGAATAACATGCTGGTACAGACGTTATTTCGGTGTTGTGACACAGTTTTATTGAGGTGTGTCCGTGCTGAGTGTATTGTAAATCTCCCCCTAACTTTAAGCAGAAAGTACTGCACCGCTGACTCTGCTCTGGGTTGGGGGCGGAGTAGGTGAGGTACCGTGTTTCTGTTTTACCGGTTTGTCAGGTCTGAGTGAGCAAAAATGACAGTCACATCCGCCTCGAAGCTGCTCATATTACTCTGCTGCCATGTCCCTTCGTTTTCTGATATATCATTCGTTATGCAAACCAGCGGTTGCTGATCGTCCGTGCAGGGTGTAACTTAGGCCTGGTCAGGAGATTAAAAACTCTTTTACCCAGCCTGTTTGAGTATTAGCTATGGACAGGATTAATCGTTCCGTATAGGATGTTGAGGCCCATGATTTATGCATTTAAAACTTGTCTGGGTTAGCTGGGGCTGACTTGAGATCGGTTGTGCCTTTAAGTTCTGCTGAATTCAATGTTATGAACAAAGGGAGGTTTATACTATAGGTAATGCATAATACCTTGTATACTTTGTGTGAAAGGCAGTCTTAGGGATTAATTGGTACCCCTGAGGTTTGTCCTTTGCACCTAGAGATTTTTTTTACCGGTGACCATTTGGGTAAACAGGGGGCAGGTAACACACCCGCTTAGAGATGAATCTGGACTTGTAGACTTGTCTGTTGAATAGCCATATAGCTGAATATTTGTCAAGTTATATGAAAAGAAGTTGCAGGCTGTGTGTGTGAATGGAGCGTTATGCGCTGGTGAATGCTTAATAATACAAATAGATTATACAAAAGCTGGTACAATTATACTGCTTAAGTTGCGTCTCCTGAAAGGACAGTCCATGCTTGTCTAATGAAGGCAGTAAGATAAAAAAAAAAAAACCCTATTAGTCCTGAGTGTGAGCAGAGCTTCACTGAAACTAGAATGTACAATGGCCAGTCCCAGAGAGGATGAAGCTACAGTCGGTATATTTATTTAATTAGCATTTATCAGTGCATCAGTTTTATCTGTATTTTATGGGTAAACGTGTTTTATAATAATGTCTGGATGAATAATCGCTTTGTGAAAGGCATAAAATCAAGTATGGGGCATCACATCCAAAAAAGCTCAGAAGCCTTAACTGTAGTCAGTTAATTAGGGAGTGTGCAAACAGCAGACATGTTTTTGCAGCTTGTTTTTGTTCTTTCTAGTTGTCACCAGTGACTCCACTTCATGGCCAGCACCTCTCAGCTTACAGTATATTGTGATATTTATGCAGCACGATACATTTAAATTCATTCTTTTTCTCAGAGAAGACAGGAAAAGGGTGAGCCTGAGGACTGACGTCCTGTGAACCACACCCAGTGGCGGCTCTTAGTTTTGTTTATCTGAGAGGGGAATGTAGAGAGAGGAAGAGAGGAAGACGAGCAGATAAACGAGGGCTTCGCACTTCCAGGGTAACACCGGGTCTGACCAGTTGACAGTGGGTGTGAAGGGAGTCATCACTAAGAATAGTGTCTCATGCTGTCCTGTGAGAAATAGAGGAAGTTACCTACTTCCACACATCCACATCCTCTACCCATGTCCTTGTTTTGGCAGTCTAAATTTTGTTAGCCAAATTTGGATTTATCATAGTACCATGATCACATGTCCGTTCGTAGTCACTCATTGTGTTAGGTTCAATAGAACCAAAGGGCTGTTAGACTGTTCAGACCTGAAAAGCGCTAACCTGTCATCTTTAATTCTTAAATTGCTTCCTTGTCTTTTCCTAAGACATTTGCCAAGAGGAAAAACTTTGAGGGAGTGCAGAGCTTGTTTTTGATCAGATGTTTTTAGACTTTAGTTTTTTTTTTTTCTCCTCATGTGAGAATAGGAAGTTATGAGTTGATTCTGTTCTGAGTGGCTTGCACAGCACAGCCCCATACAGTGTAGGAGTGAGTAGTAAAAGCTTTATTACAGTAATCATCTCAAGCTACGTTTGCCACCATTGTCACCAGGAAATTAACAAGTTTCACTACAAACTTCTGTACGAGCATATATCCCAACAAGTAATGATGTTGATAAAACAATCGACGTAATTGATTGTCTTTAGTGGCTACTGGTAATTATGCTGTAAAAGGTTTTTTCAAGGGTAGGCTTTTCACAAAATAAAACATTGTCTGAGGTGGTACTAGAAATGTTGTGAAGCTGTTTATAGTGGATAGTTTAGGAGGCACCCAACATACAGAGCTATTCCAGAGTTATATTTTTTTGTACATAATTTCTTTAAAGCTAAAGTAGATGGAGAAATAGTAGACTGAATGCATGGTCACAGTACTGAAGGAACATGTTTCAGATACAAAGTACATCGTATATATCTTGAATAACAGATTTAACCCTTTGATCTTTTTAACCTGTGATGTCACCTAAATATTATCTGCAATTTCTGCAGTGCTGTTAAACATTGAATTGACTTGGACTGAACCGATCTTGAAGAACTAGATTACACTGGAGGAGTCCACTCATAGTGCTTCTCATGTCAGGACAAGTTGTGATCTTGTCTTCACCCCAGTTCACTTTTACTATTTCAGTGCAGCACTATTCCAAGAATGCAGTGATGTCAGAGTTGTAGGGGATTTAGTAAACAATGTAGCTTAATTCAGGGTTTCCCAAACTTTTTTTGAAGTCACATGCCCCTTTGTAGTCAGTTACAGGCCTTAAAATCCCACCACCTTATCTTTTATTTAGTGTGTATGTCTTAATATCTGCATGGATTATCCACCTCAGCAGAAACTGCCACAAAGGATATTATCTGCCTAAGATTATGATGACTTCAAGTGAGCTACTACTAATCATAATAATCAGCAGTGAAGAATAGGCAGCTTCATGTGTGATGTTTGCTAAATGGACCTACTTTTCAACACAAAGCAGTAAAGTTGGGAGTGGCTGAGTTTCACCCACTTTCACTTTTAGATCTCCATGTTGCTGCTTGTTGTCCTTGCAACAGGTGACAGGACTAGAATTCTTATTCTCATTTTTTTTGGCAGTTTTGAAATGGACATGTTTAGGATTTTTAGTCTCCCACTTGGTTCTTTTAGTTTGTTTTCGCTTTCTTTCCTTTTTGAGGATATTTTCCCCTAATAATGTTAGAACATTCTGTGTGCTCTTCTAGCAGGTGCTAAACTGTGTGAAACTTGTTTTTTGCCTTAGGTTTGTTTTTGGTGTGTTTTTTTTTTCATGCTGCTTCAACACATGAACTGGGCTGAACCAAATTTTGCATAGTAGCAGTTAAACAAGGTGGTGTAACATGATGATGGGGGTACTGTTTGTCTTTAGCTTAATGCAAGGTCATCTCTCATGACCTGTCCAACAGGAATCCCTGTGACTATTGATTTCTCAGTAGAATCACTGATTTCATCACATGCCCATGCATGTGTCCGAGAATGATTGTAGTCTCCACAGCAATTTATAATTCTTTTTCTTCTGGCCTTGAAATTGTGAAGGCCTTCTGAGGCCCATCCCACAAAGCAAGGTTTCTTGCTTAGGCAGCTAAATGTAAACTTAGTTCAGTTCAGTCTCTTTCCACTTTATACGGGGCTATGTTACCATGGCAACTTATGCTGCATGCCTAGCTTGCTCTAGGGCAGGTTAAGTTTGGGGTTTTGGATCATAAATCAAGGCTAACCTTCTGACCAATCAGAGACAGGCCTCTGATTGACGTGGCCCCCTCTGGGAGTTTAAAAGGGAAAAAAAATCACCCTCTGGTCTTTTTTCTTTTCTTTGTGGCATTACATTGAAAATATGGCTTTTAGTGGAGGTCACAAGTCATAGTATATAGGTATAAAGAATATAAAGCATTCATTACTTAAGTAAGTGCTAAAACGGTGCAAGTGGTGACAGCGTTCATTTTTACCTTTATAAATGCTTTGCTTTAAACGTTGTTATGTTGATGATTTCTTTTTCCTTCTTTGAAAAAGAAGCTGCTTGTTCGTGATCAGCTGTTTGTCATGAACATTGCAACTGCCGTGGTAAAGCAAATTAACCGTAGTTGCATTATTAAAGTTTTGTGAAGCTGATACTTAGTCAAGAACTCTGTCTAGGTTGAACATGCTTCATGAGACAGGTTTCTGGTTTATGTTCTGATAAACAAACCCTTTGTTGATACTCTAGCCTACAGGCAACTGTGCTATAAACACAGCTATTTCTTCCTCCATGTTTTCAAAGCGTTCTGCATTTTCTGCATATGGTTTGAGAGCAGTTTAGATGTAATGACACTCTGCCAGTCAGTATACTAACGGAGCTGAGTTTATTAGCTAGTTTTGTGAATGGCTAGGTCTATGTTATTGTAATTTAGTAGTGTTGAATCTTTATGTCTTGGTGTCTGGTAGAACTGATAAAGCTGTCCAGAAAGGGATCTACTGTCATAGTAAAATACTGACTAATTAGTCCTCCCTGCTTGGACCTCCTACCACTAATTTAGCTGTGCTTAGTCTTCCCCTCCTACATGTTGCCCTCCCTTTGTTGAATAACCACCTTCATGCCTAAACACATCTATGGTACATAGGAGAGCTCTCGCCTTCAATTATATTAGTATGTTAGTAATCTGCCAGTTATTCTAATGAGTAATGAGAGTTTGTATGTAACAGTTTGTATTTAATAATATGTAACCCTGTGTGGAAAAAGTTCTGCAAATTCCTGCCTATCATTGCTATTAAATTAAAAAGGTACATTTGAATAGATCTTTTTTTAAATTGAGGTTTCTTTTAATTTTGACTGCCCCACTGTAAAGGCATACGTATGTACTGATTTGTTGTTGACCACTCGTACTAACTGTACTGAGATGGTGTTGACTTCTCAAACTGCCACCATAGAATGCTGGATCATTTACTCTGTGATAGTGATCATCTTGAGCACAACAGAGTTTTTACCATATGTTCCTTCATCATAAGCAATAGCCCAGTTTTTTTCCTTTTCTTTCTGCAGTCCCTGTACTTCAGGTCTCCCACTGTGAGTTTTCTAAATGGCTTCAGAGACCAAGCTTATTCTTAAGTAGAAGACCTCCCACTCGGTCATTGTCCCCTAAGCTGAGGTTCACAGAGGCCCTTTCTGTCTGGCTGCCTTATCCAGGCCCTTTACCCCCTTTAGCTTTGTCCCCACTGCTTTGAATGAGGATGTGAGTCCTGTGCTGGAGGCAAAATGGAGCCACATGCCTGATGATGACTAAATGTTTAGCTAATAATGCGAATAACTGGAAAAATATGTCTTGTTTGAGCAGTTGAGTCACTTGAAGGGTTCTAGCAGGGGGAAGAAAAAGGGAAAAAAAAAAACAGCTAAAAAAAGTACTCCATACTTCCTCCTCTTTTGCAGGATTAGCCCCTTTCTTCAGAGATTGGTTTAAATAACCTGGCTCATTTGATGGAAGTTCAGGATGCAATAAAAGTTAAACTTTGACTTTCAGGCAAGATTATAATTTTAGTCATCTATTGTTTGAATTTCTCATGATCTTTTCAAGTAGACATCATGTGATTGTTAGTTTTTTTCTTGTTTTTCCTTCACTGGAAAGTTTTTTTTTTTTTTTTTTTCTTCTTCCCTGCATTCTCTGGCACTTCTTACTCACTACATTCGGCTGCATTATAAAAGGATAGCACAGTTAGGCCTTGACATAAGCAATCAATATGGCTTTTCTTTATTTTTCCGTGACGGAAGCAGAATATTTTACACAATAATAACAGAATATTGATATACTGCAGTAGTCTCCATGTACATTCTTTGGAATGGTGCCTGAATGCTCTCATTAAAGGAAAAGCTGATGGGTCTTCTCCAGTCCCTCTTTCAAAAACAGAGCCCCTTTCAAACATTTTCTCAGTGCAACAGGTGTTTTCATCAGCTGCTGTTTAGCACAGGGGGGCTGGATGGGGCTTAGCTCCGTGCTGCAGGAGAACAATAGGTGCTTCAGTTGAAACTTTACTGACCTCCAGCCCCCTGTTCTTGTCTGAAACTGGGCAGTCCATAGGGAGTGGGGGCCGAGAGTCAGAGAGAGAATGGGAGGAGGGAGAGTTTCAGTCAACAGCCTATAGCCCCTCCTCTGGAATTCCTGTTCTTCTTACTACCATCGTTTTTTTCTCTTGTGCGGTAATTGTTTTATTCTTGTTTTTACTTCAGACTTCATAACATACTAAATTTGTTCATGTTTGAATTGGTAGTATTAGGTGTATCTGTTGGAAACAGGTGGTCTGTTGGAACATTTGTGACGTCATATATAGTTTTTGTCCTTTTTATTGTCTAATACTTTTTATATTAAAGGGTCCATATCATGGAAAATTGAATTTCCTCAGTTTCCTTCCTAAAATGAACAACTTTTAAAATAGTGTATATACACATTGCTTAAGATCAGAACTTATTGTTCATTCAGTCTGTGCAGTCTATATATGGAAACTAAGCTGCAAAAACATGCTGCTTGAATGAGTTTCTGTGATGTCACAAAATCAGCATTTACACACATTCACCTGTTCAGCCTACAGCAGTGTAGCTCTGCCCATTCATGCTGAAGTTATAAAGAGTGTTTCAGGCTGGTCAGCTTTTTGAATGAGACACAATACAAAGCAGGCAATCAAAATCTTGTAAAAAAAAAAAAAAACAATGTTTTATTCTGAGGGATAAAGAACAGTTGGAAGATGGTCTATAAAATGAGTCATAACTGTTTTTGGTGCATAAAACCATGCATATTAAGGGGCCCTCAGAGGGGAATGATAAAATACTAGAAATTTTTCTGCTGGAAAAAATGTGGCTCATTCCTTCTTTTTCCTGTCTCTTCTGGTCTGTCAGGTAGCTAAAAGAGAGAGAGAGGGCAACGTGAGGCCCTTGCTTGTCCCGGGAGAATGAAGAGATTCCGGCGACATGGGCATGACTCTCAGAGGGACAAACTCAAGCAAGAGCTCTACCAGTTCAATAAGGTGATTAACACACACATCACTACAGCTAATTAGTTCTTTTGTTCTGTTGCTGCAAATACTACTTTAAACTGTACTGACGTCTGAGTCAGTATTTTGTCAGCATTACTTTCTTGCTTAACAGGTTAATTACTGTTTCTCCAGAGTTTCTATATTTACTGTTATTTGGAATGAATATAGAGCTTTCAGCTCGCTTTGTCCATTTCTACTGTGTCCAGACTGTGGAGCATGGCTTTCCCCACCAACCAAGTGCTCTGGGCTTCAGCCCCAGCCTGGAGCTTCTTGCCATTGGTACCAGATCTGGAGCCATCAAACTGTATCCTCTGGGGTATGCGATAACGGAAAAGTGTCAGCATTTAATGTTGTGCTTTGCTGAGCCAATTTTACCCTGAATCTGAAATGTCATATCAAATCAAATCAAATCAAATTTATTTGTATAGCGCTTTTTACAACTGATGTTGTCACAAAGCAGCTTCACAGAAATCCGTTTAGAACAAAGTTTCAACATGAACTGTAAATCCTCCAGGTGAGCAAGCCAGGGGTGACAGTGGCAAGGAAAAACTCACTTAGAGCTGAGGAAGAAACCTTGGGAGGAACCAAGGCTCACATGGGGGGGACCCATCCTCCTCTGGTCAAACTATGTACAAAATTATTATTCTACTAATATTAATAGTAGTAGTAGTAATAGTTAGGAGGTAGTAATAGTTAGGAGACTTCAGTGTAGAGTGGGCAGCCAGTCCAAGGCAGGTGGCGGTGACTGGGTTGTGGGTAACTGGTCTGAAGCGGGTAGCCGGAGAGCTCTACAAACAATCATCCAGCAGTGTCCGGCCGGACAGGTGGGCAGTCGTTTTCTCAGAAGAAAGGTAGGGAAATGGAGTTAGTTTAGTTCTGTATAGGTGTATGTATAGTAGTATGTAAAACATTTCCAGAGTGTGGCTAATGACTCCGGCAGATCTGACTATAACAGCTTAACTAAAAGGAGCGAACCAAAAGGGCACACAGACACGGGAGCACCCTGAAACAGTTTGGCTTCCCTCCGCTCCACCGTCCACAAACCTGAGTGTTCGCGTGTGAGCGGCGGGACGACAGCACCAGTCTCAGTTTACTATAATTCCCTGCGTCCATGGACCCCTGGATCTGCTGCCTTTATCCAAGGGGAAACATTAGCTACCAAAAGCTAAACTAAACAAGTGAGTTTTCAGCCTAGATTTGAATATTGCGACTGAGTCTGAGTCCCGAACATTTTCTGGAAGATCATTCCAGAGTTTGGGGGCTTTATAAGAAAAGGCTCTTCCCCCAGATGAAACCTTCTGAATTCTGGGAACTATTAAAAAGCCAGCACTCTGTGATCTGAGTAATCGTGGTGGCTCGTAATGGGAAATAAGGTCTTGCAGGTACTCAGGAGCGAGCCCATGTAGGGCTTTATACGTCAATAAAAGAATTTTGTAATCAATACGGAATTTAACAGGCAGCCAATGGAGTGATGATAGAACTGTACTGATATGATCAAATTTTCTAGTTTTAGTGAGAACCCTGGCTGCAGCATTTTGAACTAGTTGAAGTTTACTTAAATTCCTGCTGGTGCGTCCTGACAGTAATGCGTTACAGTAATCTAGCCTTGAGGTAATAAAGGCATGTACTAATGTTTCTGCATCACGCAGTGATAAGGCATTTCTTATTCTGGCAATATTGCGAAGATGTACAAAAGCTGTCCTAGTGATACTGCCTATGTGTTGATCGAATGATAAATCTGGATCGAGTATTACACCAAGATTTTTTGCTGCTGAACCAGGTATAACTGGAAAGTCAGCGAGATTTAAAGTTAAATCTGATAATTTATTTCTTGCCACTTTTGGACCCAGAAGGAGAACCTCTGTTTTGTTACTGTTTAGGAGGAGGAAGTTACGCGACATCCAACCCTTCACATCTTTTACACAGTCCTCTATTTTCTTTAACCTGTATTTGTCATCAGCCTTGGCTGATATGTACAATTGCGTATCGTCTGCGTAACAGTGAAAGTTAATGCCATGGCTACTTATAACTGTGCCTAACGGTAACATGTATAATGTAAATAATAATGGTCCTAAAATAGAGCCTTGCGGAATTCCAGATCTTACTTGTGAATAATTGGAAGATAAGTCATTTACCTTTACGAACTGATAACGTTCTGTTAAGTAAGATTTGAACCATGATAGGGCTGTCCCTGTGATTCCAACCATGTTTTCTAACCTTTCTAGGAGAATATTGTGGTCTATCGTATCGAAAGCTGCGCTGAGGTCAAGTAGCACTAACAGGGATATGTAGCCTTGATCAGAGGCAAGAAGAAGATCATTTGTTATCTTAACTAGAGCTGTCTCAGTGCTGTGATGTGGCCTGAATCCAGATTGGAATTTCTCAAATATGTTGTTCTTATGTAGATATGAACTAAGTTGTTGGGCTACGGCTTTTCCTAAGATCTTAGATATAAATGGCAGGTTAGATATAGGCCTGTAATTAGACAATATGCTAGCATCAAGGTTTGGTTTCTTGATCAGAGGCTTAATAACTGCTAGTTTAAAAGCTCTGGGTACATGGCCCAGGCTAAGGGACGAGTTTACTATAGTTAAAAGAGGATTAATGATAACTGGTAGTACTTCTTTGAGTAATTTTGAGGGGATTGCATCAAGTGTGCAGGTTGTACAATTTGCAGAGGAGATAATCTTCTCTAGTTCTAGCTGTGGGAGTGGGTAGAAATTTTCAAGCCTTTCTTCTGCAGCTATGTTATGTTTTATATCAGCCATGTCAGATGACAGCCAAGTTGGATTTAATACTGTGGGTTGAATTTGTTGTCTAATATTTTTGATTTTATTATTAAAAAAGTCCATAAAAACTTCACTGGTGAGGGTCGCCGGAATTTGTGGTTCAGTACCTGCCTGATTTTTTGTAATTCTAGAGATCACACTAAACAGTACTCTAGGATTATTTTTATTGTTCTCGATCAGCGAGGCCAGATATGCTGAGCGAGCTTTAGTGAGAGCATTTCTATACTCATAAATCCCTTCAGATTTATTCTACTTTCTCTGACACCAGGGGTGGAATTAATGGGGTGTAATACTTGATTTTTGCATGATACATTTCTTTTTCCTAGACATTTCATTTGACACACCCATAAGCACTCCACTCCACAGGGGTGTGTATATCTGCATACTCTACCTGCTTTCCCACGGAATTGCGTAATCATTGCTTGAAACCGCTGTATAGCCAGCTTTAGTCATTTAAACAATATGAATTGTTTTATTTTTAGTATAACCAGTCTGTGTTCTTGGTTTTAACTTTATTAGCAGTAAGATGCCTAATTAGTAACCTCTCACTTGGTATTCTCTCATATATCTGTTTTCAGTTTTTAAACTTTCTTTAAACTGGTATAAAAATGGTCTTCCACAAACATGTTTTTTTTAGCCTGCTAGATTCTTATACAGTACCCTTCATTTTATTTATTTCCAGTCAAAATATAAGTACAAGTTATTCATCCTTCAGCAGATCTTTCTAAAGAGACTAGATATAAGGTAATCTCCTTGCGTAGTAGAGATCTGAAAAAAAACGTAGGTGTTTCTGTCCATTCTTGCATTGTGTGAAGACAGCTCAACCTAATGGGTCTGTAGCTGTCAAAAAGTTGTTACTGAGAAAACAAAGCAAAGAAGCTGCCAGTGTTGACAGAACAGAGAACTGTCTACCTCAACATATTTGAATGTACTTGAGATTTCTTGGACCTGAGCAGCAGAAAATGCAACCAACTTCAAGGCTGAACTTTGGAGGTATGGAAAAATAACCCTGCAAAAAGTTTTGAAAAACTAAAAGCAATTCTCCCAAAAAGTAGATAACTACAATAAAGGTAAAGGGTGGACACACCTAATACTGAAATTATTTATATTTAATTGTTGAAGCTTCTTTGCAATTTTTTTTAAATATATGTTTTTTGCTTTTTTCCTAATAACTTGTTGTGTTGACTGTAAATTTGTGGTTTTTCTATATGCTAATTTATTAGTATGTGTAGTAGTTTGCTTAATTTAAGCTTCTCTCAGCTATGGAGCTCCAGGAGTTGAATTTATGGGACTGCATGATGAGAATGCTGCAGTTACACAGGTGCACTTTCTCCCACACCAGGTATGTTGTTTAGCCACACAGATGTGCTGCTCTGTGATTGTTATACTATCTGTATTTACTGTATGATTTTTTTCTGCAGCTGACACTTCATTGTATATCTGTATTTATTTACTTTAATAAATGTGTAGGTTGAGTTGGTGACATTACTGGATGACAATAGTCTGCACATGTGGACACTTCGAGCTCATAAAGGTGTGTCAGAGCTGCTGGAGATAGGACGCTTTACACTCACTGGTCCTCCAGGGTGAGTCAGACTTGGTCACACACAGCCAGTCTGTATTGCTATATTCTGTCAGGGATGTCATATTTGTTTCCAAGAAGACATTGAGGCTGTGAGCCAACACATAAGCACATGCCCACACCCACACCTGCACAGAGGCACCTACTCAGATACACTGACTCATACACACCTAGACACTGGTGATACTTGCACATTATGATGATACGCTAAGACGTAGAGTGGTGGAAAAAATCCAGTATAGTATCACCTATTCTGTTTATTTTTTTCTGTCAGACATGCTGACTAATATCAGTTTTCCAAGTGTTTTTGATAACCCCTGTTCTATATGATCATGAATGACTAGTAATTGTACCCAGCTATGTAAAGCATCAAGCCAGGTGTTTTTGAAACTTGGGCAGTCATATTAATTGTGAAGAAATATGTGCTTTAATTAATTGTGAGGTATCTAAGCACTCATTAATATGAATCTTCCCAGTTGTTAACTCCTGTTCACCCTGTGTGATTTCTGTTGCAGTGCAATTCCTAGTGTGACGCGGGTGACTGCCGTTCTAGCCCACTCTTCGGGTGAGCTGCTTCTGCTGGGCACTGAAGGTGGTCATGTGTTCGTAGTGGAGGTGCCTGGCTTCAGGGAGCTGGAAGAAAATAATATCAGTGTGGAAGACGTCCAGAGCAGGTGGGTTGACTGTTATGTTTCAGAGGAACCTGATTTCCACTTTTGTACTTTTAATTTATGCTTAACTCTTGTTTGGTATACACAACCTCTGCCTGTCATATAGTGTTTGTGCCAGAAAAGTTTTGCTTTCTGCTCCTCTCTCAGTGTAGACCAGTGTGGGGTTTTGAGAAAAAGGGAATTTATTGGGATGCTGGTAATAGTCTGGCTTTGCATCATTCACACATGCAGCCCCTTTTTTATTAGCATTACATACATGCATTGAAAATCCAGATAAACAGGAAGTGACATACACAAAATCATGTACAAAAATATAGTACTGCAACTTTTTTCACTTGTAAAAACCTCAAAAACTCAATTGCTGGCTGTGCTACATTGTTTTTGCACAGAAGCAGCCATGAATGCGCTATATCTTCTCTGTAGAATCATGTACAAAATACTTTCTCCTGTGGTGTTTTTACTCATAAACTAAAGTAAAAACTTGAATTGTGTTTAAAAAGTAAATAAATAAAACATTTAGTTTTACCATCTTTATTCTATATGTCTTTGTATTTCCCTGTACCTTCCTGTTTAATTGCCATTAAATTCCTGGAATAGCATAGACAACATGCTTTTGTTCTGTATGTTTTTTCTTGTGTTCACTAAATCTGTCCATGCTCTTCTCCCAGAGTTCCAGAGGAATATGTGGGCCGCAGGAACCTGGAGTGTGTGGAGGCCCTGCAGGAAAATCCTCTCAACCCCCGGCAAGTGCTGATAGGCTATAGCCGAGGCCTGATGGTTCTTTGGGACCTGGATCGTCGGTGTGCCATTCAGCACTTCCTAGGCACACAGGTACTACTTTATGCCATTAAAACTACAGTTCTTTGCATTTAAAGGGGACCAGTCAAATAGCTGAGTAGTCTTGAACAGGTGTCCAGTCCACTAATGTTCAGAAAAAAATGTGACATAGGGTGGAAGTTTTAGAGATACTGATTGTTTTATTAGCTACATTTTTCAGGTTACCCTGGGCTGCTGACCACATTCCCACTTTAACCAAAACAGTTCAGAGCATGTTTATAGAAATATAATCGTAGGCGTGCTCTATATTGGAAAAAAAATCTTTGCTTTAAATGTTGTTTGAGTCAGGTCAAGAGCGCTATTGGGTTTGCATCTGCCAATTGTCTAGTATTGCAACTTTGCTAAAAAGCAAAAGTTTTCTGCAAAGTTAACAAATGTCTTTTCTTTGACATAGTAAAAATGTCATACTGTTAAAGGGTGTGTAGGAACAAAGCAATCTTCATCGCATTCTGCTAAAAAGTGGTTAGTTGCTATCAATAACATGGATTTCAGTGAAAGCACTGCATTAGATGCGTTGAGAAACATTTGCGTGTGTTCAACACAATTCTTTTTGATGCTAAGAAAAGTGTCTATCTCCATTGTTGTAAGGGCAAATGAATGCCGAATATGCTAACATTAGGACATAGAAAGAGTGCTTGCTTTTTTCCTTAATTTGTCAAAGCTCTTTTACTATCTCTGTAATAAAATAAATGCCGAACGAGACTTTCCCTTTTTTTGAGAAGTTCGCCGAGCAGTTTTGCTTTCTTCAGAGAAAAAATATTTGATTGATCTCCTCAGACCTGCCCATATGTGATGTGGTTCGTCCTTTAATGTCCTCAAAATGATTCACTTGTATTTTTCCCTTTGCAGCAGCTGGAGAGTGTGTGGTGGATGGAGGATGGTGGAAACATTCTTAGTTCCCATAGTGATGGCAGCTATTGCCATTGGACGGTGACTGGAAAGGATCCGCAGACTGAACCAGAGAAACAGGAGACACCATATGGTAAAATACCCTCGTATTAGTAGACTGTGGATGAAGTACTGTATCCAAACTGTTTCCTTAATTATGTTTCCTGTGCTCTAAAGTGTAGTATTTGTCATGTGCATGTCACTGGGTATTTGAGGAATTTTATCTGTATTGCTTTGCTGTGTTCTTTTTAATGTGTGTTGAGGTATTACTCTTCTAAAATGACTGCTTACTGTGTTAAGGTTCCTTCCCATGCAAGGCCATTTCCAAAATCCTACAAATATCAACAAGACAAGGGTGAGTCTGTTTGCCTGAGTTAGTCTGTGTGTGTATCTGTGTGTTCTGATCCTTGTGAACCTAGCACAGGTGTGTTTGCTTGCGATGTCGTTAACCAGAGCGTTCCAGTGTGACTCACTGTTGCTGGTTAATTTTTAACTACTACTGGGAGGCTCATATTTTCCACTCACTCTTGAAATCCTTGAAGTTATCTGCACATTCACCATTATCCCTTTTCTTTAGCTTACATGTTATTTAATGTTATTTTTCATAATTTTCCACAAATTATGTGTCATTGTCAATTGTGTGTATGCTTATTATTGTAATAATGCCTTTGTAACTTGATTATTGAAGTTGATATCTTGTTTTTCTTGATGTGGTTAGTTTTTCTTGTCCTATTGTCCCCAGTCCCCCATTCCTTATCTTCAGTGGTGGCATGCCAAGGGCCAGCTATGGAGACAGACACTGCATCTCTGTCATACACAGCAAGACCCATGTAGCGCTGGACTTCACGTCCCGCATTATAGACTTCTTTGTCATCAGAGACGGAGAGCGCCATAGAGGTAGGGACATATCTATGCATTCTTATATGGGGCCTGTTTCACAAAGCAGGATTTCTTGCTTATCCAGCTAACGTAAAGCTTAGTTTGATCTAACCCTGGATTTTCTGTCTCACGATGATGAATCACTTTTTTGGGGTATATCACCATGGTAGCTGATGCTACACACTGTCTTGATTTAGGATCATAAACAGTGCTTGCACCAATTATAGACAGCCTTCTGACAGAGCTGGACCCCTCTGGATTCACTTTTTTATTTCTTTGTGATGTTTTTGGTGTCAGTCATCTGACAAATAAACTTCTACAGCAGAGGAAGAACATCATGTTACATAGATATCTAGAATATAAAGCAATTATTACGCCGTTGAGCACTAGCATGGTGCAGTGGTGACAGTGTTCAGTGTTGTCTTTTACCTTTATAAATGTTTTACTTCAAATAAAGGTATTTTACATTATTTTTACAACAAATTTTGGCACAAAGCAGCTATACCAGAAATCTGGATCTAAGCCCCGAATGAGCAAGCCAAGGGTGACAGAGGCAAGAAAAAACGAACTAATAGCAAGAGGAAGAAAACTAGAGCGGAACTAAAGCACAAATGTGGAACCCATCCTCCTCTAGTCGACACTGGATAGCAAAACAATAATATAACAAACAAGCAATATGTATAGAGAATAGGTGTTGACAATTAATATACAGTAGTAAATATAGAAAAAAGAAAAGAAAAAAAAGCCTTAGTATTTAGAATTAGCATTTAGATTAACCAGTGATAACAGGCGACTGGTGTTGGAGGCTTATAAGAGTAAAAAATGAGAGCTAGACCTATGAAAAACCAGTCACAATTACTGACTAGTAACAGTGTTAGTGTTATTGTTACTGTCGCTGATTACTATCACAGGCCTATCAGAGTATCAAATAAGAAGTGCATCTATGAAAATCAGTGACTACTGTTAGAGGCAAATCACAGTGAAAATGAGAGTTAAGTCCATGAGCAACAGTGACTGCTGTTAGAATTATGATACATATTTACGTAGTGTTCGTTCTTTTTCCTTCTTTGAAAAATAAGCAGCTCAGCTGTTGGGCAAAATAATAATTTGTTGTTATCGTGATAAATTTTGTTATTGTGATGAACGGTATTCTTTTCTGAGCATATCATGTATATAGTTATAACTTATAGGATGCTGACCCACTGCACGTTTCATTAAAAAAAAGAGCATAATTAGTCTGTTTTAATTGGATTTACTGCAGTAAAGTATGTAAAATGTTGATGAATAAAAATTGCTGTGCCTAAAAATTTGATACTGCTAGTGCATTGTGTTTGGGTGTCCAAATATTGTGATATGGATTGTGAAAATGTCTATTATAGGGATATGAAATGTTTGCCAAATCATCCACCCCTGTGCTTAACACCTCTTCATGTTTCATGTGATTGGCTGCTCATTGTAAATGTCATGCTTTCATGTGCATGAACACTGGGATTAATCATAGCTTGAGTATCTAAACCTGGGTTAACAGAGAAAGTTGTTAACAACCGATGTGAAATGGTGAGTTAACAGTGGCTGTGTTTGTGAAGCTGAAACTTGGACAGAAATCAAACATACTTCATGAGACGTGCCCTTGAACTAATGGCTTCCACCTGCTGTTGTCCTTATAAACTTCAGACTAGGACTCCTAGCTGTGTCAGTTATGACTGAGCATATGGCTGTGCTCTGCAGGGGACCCCAGTGCTCTGGTGGTGTTGGTGGAAGAGGAACTGGTGGTAGTAGATCTGCAGACTGAGGGATGGCCTGTGATCCAGACTCCATACCTGGTGCCACTACACTGCTCAGCAATCACTTGCTCTCACCATGTCTCCTCCATCCCACTAAAACTGTGGGAGAGAATCCAGGCTGCTGGCAAACTGCAGAACTCACACTACTCAAGAAAGGTCTGCCTTTAGTACTTGAGACACTGAATCTTACATGTATAGCTACTAGAACACATTTCTACCTACAATGTGTAATACAGGAATGGTCATTGATGTTGAGAAGCTTAAGAGCATGTTTAGTTCCCTTATGTTAACCATTGTTGACTGGAATACATTACCACAAGTTTGTTGCTATAATGAAAACAGTTTTATTATTTCACTTTGATCGTCTCTTTCTCCTTCTGTTTCTGTCTCATCTTTTTTTTGCTGTCTTTGTAGCCTTGGCCGATAAATGGAGGACAGAACCTTGCCCCAGATCCTCCCCAGAGAGACCTGTTGTTGACTGGGTAAGTGGCCTATAATTCCCTTTCAGACATAGATTTTCATTTTTCGGTAGTGTTACTCAAACCTGGGGGCTTGAGCTCTAAACTCTGGGCATTTCTGTACTTGTCCCAAACACTTGGTTCTGCACCCAGGACCAATTCTGGGCTCATTTGTGGGAAGCTCATTATTGCAGCTTTGAGAATTTCATGGATTGATGGCACAATTCCATATGTCACCTTTGTGCGCACAGTTTTTGCAAAATTGTAGATGATGGATTCATTGCTTTGCTGCTTTGACAGTAAATGGATGGCAACTGACAACAGGCTTATACCTTTTATTATGGTTATATGTCATTGGAAGGCTACTGGTTATTGATTATGTGGCATATCCTTGTGCAGGAGTCTGCAAAAGAGGAGTTGTTCTCACTTGGGAAGACTTTTTAACCATGTAGGAAGGTTTTTTTTTTTTGTTTTTTTTTGGCAGTACTCTGTACTCTGTGCAAGCACTTGTGGTACTTTCTCTGTTTTTCCCCATTAAAATTAAAAATTTCCCATTAAAATTAAAATCTGAAAATTAAACAGGGGAATAACGTGACAAAAGAAGGCAGTCATGCTACTCTATGTGCAGCAATGGGATCAGATAGACCAGAGTTTGTCTAAAGCAAACCACAGACCACTGTTTTCAGGAGAACCAGGGATCAGTTCTCTGTACTGTCCCTGGGCTAAAAAACAGCTTTCATGCTCAGGCAAATGTACCAAACTCTCTGGGAAGGTGGCCTAAGGTTAAGCTGAAGTATATTTTCTCAGCATTTAGCATCTGATTGATGTTTTTATAGTGAATTAAAGCATACCTAGTACTGGTTTAATTAACAAATAAGTGCAATGGGAGTTCCATGTTATTGTGTTGCAACAGTTAATACCAGTGTATTTACTAAGCACAACTGGCTTTAGTGTGAGGAACAAGGAAGAGAATTCAATGAAGTATTGGTATGCCCTGGAAGCTTACTTTGAATTTACCTGACTTTTTGCAACATCTTTGGTATGAAGAACAGGTACACCTGTCAAACCTGTTATGTGCTAAGCATATTGGAATCCTCTCTTCCTCTCTGTAGCCATGAAGATGGAACAGTGCGTTTCTGGGATGCCTCAGGGGTCTGCCTTTACCCCATGTACAAGCTGAGCACGGCTATGGTTTTCCACACGGATGCTGATCCCAATGACAACATGAATCAGAGCACTGAGGGCGAGTGGCCACCTTTTCGCAAGGTCACAATCAGTCTGCTGTCTTTTCAGCTTCATTAATTACATATCAGTAAAATAGGTCTTTCTGAATATTCAGTTTCTTTTATTGGCTGTCACTTCTTTGTGACCATAAAAAGGGTATTCATCTCTAGATTCAACGTCAAGGTCTAATTGTGCTTCTTTTAGGTGGGCTGCTTTGACCCATACAGTGATGACCCCCGGCTCGGCATCCAGAAGATTCATCTCTGTAAATATAGCGGTTACCTGACTGTGGCAGGAACTGCCGGACAAGTAAGTTTTCATGTAGTGTTACAGATTTGTGAAAATTGATATTATTGATTTGCATAAATACATTATACACTGGCTGTACAGCATCGGCTTGTTCAGTACATTGGAAAAGTATAGGTTAGGCCCTCTTAATTTGTTGAAAACTAACAGTAAACCCACACTCATAATTTACTTCCTCTGATATTGTTTTGTAGTCAACATGGAACACTTGACAGTTCCCTTTAGTTGCAGTTAAATTTAAGACACTTCGTAAATCTGATGGCCAACTGCGGTGGACTAGCAGTGTCCTACTTTGATAGCAGAAGCTGAACTCTTTGGACCCATCAGGATCAGTAGTCTGGTTAAAGTCACTGATCAGCTCTGGAGTCATTGCAAATTTATGGATGTCCTTGTCCTTCCATCAGCTTTTGTTGTGAGTGAAAACTGTGTCCCTCAGATCCTAGTGCTGGAGATGAATGATGAGGCAGCTGAGCAGACTGTTGAAGCCACAGTAGTGGACCTGCTGCAGGGGCAAGAAGGTTTCCGCTGGAAGGGCCAGGCACGGCTAGACCTACGGGAGGAGCCAGTCACATTTCCATCAGGCTTTCAGCCCTTTGCCTTGGTGCAGTGCCAGCCCCCTGCAGTGGTCACAGCAATAGCCCTGCATTCAGAGTGGAAGTTGGTTGCGTTCGGGACTAGCCATGGTTTTGGTGTCTATGACTACCAACAGAAGAACAATATTCTGGTCAAGTGAGTTCCTCCTCAGATCAGTGGAATTTCCTCATAATTGTTTTGTCCTGAAGAAACCCCCTGGTTATTGTCTTAATATTTAGCTAGCTGTTGGAAGTAATAAGAGCTAATACTCTGCTTGAACATATGATGTTTCAGATTCAAAGTGGTAGTGTATTAATTCAGTACTTGCCCAGCTCACTGAAATATATTTAATGTAGTAACACTTCTACAGTCCTGACAGTAAACCTTACTTTGTATTGTTTTCAGATGTGACTTACTAGCTGTGTCGTATTATAGGTGCACTCTCAACCCAAACGACCAGGTGGCCCTAGAGGGGCCCCTATCTAGAGTGAAGTCCATTAAGAAGTCTCTGCGCCAGTCCTTCCGCCGAATTCGCCGCAGCCGTGTCTCCATGCGCAAACACAATCCCAACAATGCAGCAAAGGTAGTTTTTCTTTCTATTTCTGTGGCTGTAGTTAAGATTATAGGTATTTGGTTCGGGATAGCAGTATTTTAGTTACATTTATAGCCAAGTCTGAATTTTGTTTGCATTGTTTCCCCTCTTTATGAGGGTGAAAGTGCAATCTGTTGACATCAACATAATTATTATTTGCTACACGTACATTGTCTGCATTCAGTCATTGTTGATGGAGTTTGTGAGGAGAGTTGTTTGTGCTCTGGCTGTAGCTTCAGGAGTTAAATGCACGGTTAGAGGCAGAGGCTCTGCATGAAATGGAACTGGCTCCAGTTCAGAGGAAAATTGAAGCTCGCTCTGCTGATGACTCCTTCACTGGACTTGTCAGGACTCTGTATTTTGCTGACACATTCCTTAGTGACAGTAAGTAAAATGATCATAAATATTTGTGTGACATTGAAAAATCCATTTGCTTCTATTTTTGTGTTTGTTTTTTTGCGTTTGTTCATAACTTTTTTTCTTTTCCTGAAGGAGCACTGGAGTAAATTCTGTCTCTGACAAAGTATCTTGGATTGAATTGTTCTGCTGTACATCAATCTTTTCCATATGTGATGATGATGATGATGATGATGATGATCATGTTTTCCACAGGCTCTCAAAGCACACCCTCTCTATGGGCAGGGACCAATGGTGGCGCTGTCTTTGCCTACATGCTGCGTCTCCCTCCTGTAGAACGGAGAATGGACAACCAAGTGACAGCTCACGCAGGTAAAAACTGCATGCCAATACATACACAAGCAAATTCTTTAGACCCTTCCTGTTTCAAAATCCTCTTGTTTTGTCTTTCTTTCTCTGCTTTTGTCTCCTTCCCCTCTTAGCTAAAGAGATCCAGCTGATGCATCGTGCTCCAGTTGTGGGCTTGGTGGTTTTGGATGGGAGGGGAGCGCCATTGCCTGAGCCCCTGGAAGTGGCACATGATCTCGCCCGCAGCCCTGACATGCAGGGTTCTCACCAACTGCTTGTCATCTCGGAGGAGCAGTTAAAGGTCAGAAGGACATGATTCCCATTACAATAAATTCACTTTTGTCATACATTCCCCTTGTAAAGCATTAGCTGTTGAACTGATTTGTAATTTTCAAAAATGTTTTGCTGTATGGTTGCAGCAAAGGTCATCCAAGGTCTTTTGCACATATAGATGTGTACTTGTGTATGTTTGTATGTGCAAGAAACTTATAGATAAACAGGTCCAACTCTATTGTGAAGTATATTCATTGGGGAAATTAAATCATTGCTGCTGCTGTAATTTTAAGACCTCCCTGTAACAATGTCTGTATGTGACCCTTGTAATGCATAGAAATAGAAAAGACTTTCCTGCCAGTGGTTTTGCACAAGCATTAGTTGTGGTTTAGTGTTTTCGGTTTCTGACTCATTGCTCTGTCAACTAAACTGCCCCACATCACAAAGCACAAAGTACTTTTTTTACTTAATCGAGACTTGCTGTTCCCAGACTGAAAGAGCAGTAATGTAACTAGTGTACAATCTATTTATTATTTCTCTTGTTTTGTGTGTGTTTACAGTTGTTCAATTTGCCTAAAGTGAGCAGCAAGGCAAAGCTTAAACTGACAGCCATTGACGGTTCCCGGGTGCGTCGGGTGGGCGTGGCCTGGTTTGGGAGTAGTCGGGTGGAGGACTATGGAGAGAGCAGCTTGGTAGTGTTGACCAATCAAGGCGAGCTACATGTTGTGTCCCTGCCATCAATCAAACTGCAAGTGCACTACCCCTGTATTCGAAGAGAGGATGTCAGCGGAATCGCATCCTGCGTCTTCACCAAGCATGGGCAAGGTAGGTCTTTAGAATGTGCACTGACGTACACTTCCCCTAATCTTTGAGTTATTCACATTCATAGAGAGCAAAACAAACCTCAATGTTTTGTATTCCAGGACTCTATCTGATCTCTCCCTCCGAGTTTGAGCGTTTCTCTCTTTCTGCACGCTGGGTAGTGGAGCCACGATGTCTAGTAGAGGCTTCCCAAACAAGACCCACATCACATTCGAGCCAAGCTCACAGAGACCAGCCTGATGGAGCGTCCATGGAGAACAGGTAGTTTACCTGTCAGTTCTCTCGCATCAGACATATTGAACATTAGCTGATGTTGGATCAGCCTGTCAGTAACTAAGAATGAGCTCCACTCAAAATTCTTACTAATATTAATTTTAGGGTCTTTGTCTTTACAGGAACTTAAGAAGGAACAGCGACAACTATGGTGAGATTTGTGATGGAAGTGTCTTGACTGTTCATGCCAGAAAGCATTGCATCAAATACTAAAACTTGCATGTTGTCAGCTTCATTACCACTTAATTCACTTTTTAAAAATTGTTCATGTGTCATTCTCCTTAACGCGTTATATTATCAAAAATGAATTGTTGGCAAAGAGTATAGTTTTGCTTGTTTGGCCCATGTTCAGACACTGCTGGAGTGAAATGTTTTTGTGTTTTTTTTTTTTGTAAAAACATTTTAACTAGTTAAATTCATATAATCTGTCTTTGTAAAGTGAAGCTAGCAGCATGTTAATGAGTGTAATAAGTAAATATATATATTTTTGAGTTGACAATTTCAAATTGCATCATTCTATTACCAGTTGTTTTAAAACTTCTTTTACATCTGCTTTAGTTTAATTGTTAGGAGGTATTGGACCAATTTTTTACAGTGGATAATGGGGAAAAAGTGTAATTATTATGTCATTATCACTTTATACATTTTGAGAAAATTTCAGGAAAAATTTAGTTTAATTAAAAAAAAACACTTCATTCCAGTTGTTTCTGTGCTAGGGGAGTTCCACAGATTTTTTAAAAATTTTTTGCATGGTTCAGTCGCTGAATTTTTAAGTCATTCGGAGTGGTTTAATGTAAAGTGCTCCTTTCTAGAGTCAAAATTGTTCATAGTGGTGGTGATAGGAAACAGACATCTGAAGAGTTTAATGCCTCTAAAAGCTTCTTCACAGGAAGTTACTACGTGAAATGTTTACGAATATGCTGCCTGATGCCTGAGACATTGTTTTATGTATTTATTTATTTATTTTTTTAATCAATTTATGGCAGAGAGGATATATGCAGGGGTGTTGTAAAGAAAAATAGTACCCAATAAAAACTTATTTCTTCAGATTGACCATTAGTAATATTACATGTAAAAACTCAGACATATGTAGGTTCCATGTAAACAAAATGAGAATCAGTACATTTGAACCACTCTGAATGACTTACATCTCAGCAGTTGAATTATGTAGAGAATTTGTAAAAAATGGCGGAATTCCCTTTTAATTCATGCCAAACTAGTGAAATATGAAATTATTGCCCAAGTTTCAGACATTCTCTACTTAAGTTAAGAGATGACGATCACCAGAAAAGCTTGTTTGTTGCTTAAGTGTTCTCTCAAACACTGACAAGCTTTCGCTAAACTGACCTAAATGCTTGTATGTTCCAGAAAACTCTGCTAGACAAGTAATGGAGCATGCTTTGCTGAACGATGAGAGTGAGTACATCAGTGACCAGTGGCCCATTTAGCAGTTAGCAGTTAGAACACAACAGGATGGCCATTGAGAGATTGGATGGCAAAAGTTAAATATGAAGGGTAGAACAGCTTCACGAAATTTGAGTTTGTTTCTGTGTTGCTTGCTGTGTGTAATGTGTGATGTGCAAGAATTGGCATGAGCATCGTGCTCAACCGTATGTCTGCAAAATCATGACTTGTCCAGTGCAACCATTTGTTTGTGCATGATCCATAACAAACCCATACGTCTGCACAATAACAATGCTATCACACATATATTTTTATTGTGTCTATAAGAATGTAGTTTGGGATTAGATTGGTTGATTTAAATATGCAATATTGCAGTTCTTTTGAAGTTATCATGTCATTTAGTCTTGCAGTAATGATTGATGGGTAGGAAAACATTTCAAGTGTTAAGTAGTCATGTAATTTTTTGATTTTTGCCATGGTTACAGAGGTGCTCCAGGAGATCCAAAAGTCACTAGAAGGAGATCAGTGAGTACTTTATCTTGCAGTCCTTGCATCTATAATTAGCATTGCGCTAACATCTTAGGTGACATTGGCCTTATTTGTTTGTGTGATTTAAGGATGTTTTTGGAAAACAGCCTGAAGACTAAGCCAGCACCAGGCAAGGTGCTGAGTAATGGAGGTAAGCTCCTGCTAGTAATTAAAGGAATAATTAGGCAAAATATCAGATTTTCCCAGTTTTCCCCCTTGCCTCAGCCAGGACATGTGTGGAGTCTAAATTTTGGTTCTTTAGTTTAGAACTGGAGCTTTGAGGCTAACATTGCTAACAAACAATAGAACTCAGTAGTCACTCATATGGCCCAAATCGTTTTTGTGAAGAGAGATCACCAAAATACCCACTTAAACCACACCCAGATCGTCATTAAGATTGTGCAGTATTTTTGATGTGGTTTTGGCCACAGTATGACATACTGTGAACCTGAAAGTGGCTGTCGGCAGTTTTAGACAACAGGGTGTGTATTCACAAACCACCTCAGCAGTAGCAGTGCTAATCTAGAATCAGTAGTTGTGACACTGACCATCATAAATACGAAGGAATCTGATCCCAGATCAGTTCTGCTTTGTGAATACCAGCAGTTCATTTTCATAGCTCACAGTAGCCACGTTTACATGCAGCCTGATAATCCGTTAATAATCCGACTAATAGCTCAATCGGAATAGAATACGTCCATGTAAACACCTCAATCGGAATAGTCTAATCCGATTGAGGCCATTCGGAATACAATTTCTATCCGATTAAACGAGGTGGGTAAACTTCTAAATAATCCGTTAAATAGAAGAATAATAGCCATGTAAACGCCTGAATCCGATTACATTCCAATCGGAACGTGTAAGTATGTTCTGCGCATGTGCGTCGCGTCACGGCGAAAGTTTACACCGCTCAACATGGCGGAGCAGAAACTGGTCTGGACCTCACGTGATGTTCGCTGTCATGGTAACGTTTACTCTAAGCGCTACTCCACGCATGCGCGTCATTTTGCATCGGATTACTTGTAGTGAGCATGTAAACGAAGATTTTCCATCAGATTGTTGAATAGAGTGCATATAAACACCTCAGTCTAAATCTGTAATCGGATTGTATTCAATCGGATTGGCAAAAATCGTTGCATGTAAACATAGCCAGTTAGTCATACTGTGCTCTAAACTGCAATAACAGATCTGTGTGACCTTAATGAAGACCTATATGCAGTTTGAGGGGGCTGAGAAAAGTTTTGGTGGTGTATTTTTATAGAAACAATTTGGGCTATTTGGGTGACTCTTGAGTTCTATTGTCTGTTAACAGCATAACTCCTGTTCTAAACTAACGAAGCAAAATTGGACTCTGAACTTGTTTGGGCTGACCAACTACATCTGGAGTAAGTGGAAAATTCACCTCTCTCAAGAACAAGGTGAACATTAAGGTAAACCTCAAGTTTCATTTGTCTGAGGTAATTTTTTTTTCTTCTATGATTACAGATTGAGCCTTGCAACCCGTGCCTGAAACGTCCGCTCCAGCCTTGCTGAAGACCTGAACACTACTGCAAGTATCACTACTGAACCATGTGAAGCCCTGGAGAGAGGAATGCCTGCTACACCAGAGGGTGAGGGTCAGAGGGACCACCACCTGTGCCTGCCAAGACCAACCACTGTATCTCCACCGACCATAACAACCACCAACCCCAGCACCAGCCTCCACCTTTGAGCATGTCCCCCGCCCTCCTGTGGGGCTGCAGCTACACCACTCAACAGCTCAACACTGAAGAGCAGGAGCAAGGTGGCAGGGGCATTTTTTTTATTCTGTTTTATTTCTTATGTTTGTTAATTTAATTTTTACATGCATGATTTTTGTATATGTGATTTGAAAACCTCAAAATCTGCATGAATGATGTGTCTCACAAGGGAAAAGATACCACCAGTCATTGAAAGGATTTAAGGTATAATGGCTAGGTAGTCTTAGGACTTGTACTGAAGTGCTGAAACTACGTAGTCAACCAAATGAACCACATGTATATCAAATATTTTACTAAGTACTCTAAAAGAAGTAGTAATGCCTTTTTCCCTCCGTCCAGGCAAAAAAGAGAACAGTGTGTAGTTATGTTTTAGGTACTTTTTCACTACTGTGTAGCATATATGCTGTAATTTTTAGGGGGTACAACTTTCTAAGGGGCTTGGTTTTTAATATTTTTTAATGTCAGCTTTTTTAATGCCATTTATGCATAATGTAATTTAGGAATGTAATTTTAAGATAATGTAGTCAAATGTTTAATATATGTGTATATGAAAATCTGTATCTGTTAATGGTGGACTGTATTTTCTGATCTAAGGAAATATTTTGGTACTGTCTCTTGAAATGCTCTCAGCATTTTTTGGGTCTAGAATATATTTTTGTAGTTAACTGATCATGTACAAGAACACTATCATTTTGTAATTTGACACTACCATTAAGTCTGCTGAGTAAATTTTTAAACTTTCACCACAACATGTCTGTCATTTACTTATGTTGATATATTGTGTATATACAAAATATCTGTGTACCTTTGAGTAGAACACCATCTGCTGCGACTGTTTTTCTGACGTCTGGATTGAAGATTTAATTAAAACAGATTTATAACCAGTTCATATATTGGAGTGCAAACACCAGAATCGTCACATGGATAAGATTAATTTATGATAGAAAGCTTACAGTGATACCATGTGTAATCACTGATATCATGTGTAATGTTCAAAGTCAACTAACCAAAAACTTAACAGAAATTAAATAAATAAATTAAAAAAAATACCTTTTTGGAAGCAAAAATAAATATATTTAGTGCCGAAAGGTGCATGTGAGGCAATCGCATGTATCTATATTTACATACAGGCATCTATACTTATAAGGCCCCTAAAAAATAAATTATTATTTAAAAAATTGGCAGTAGACGTTTAGTTTTTCAGAAAGACTAATAATAGAATAAAATGCATTCGAAAATATAAATACATTAATGCAAAAAAGTTATTTTATGTAGGCCTTTATGTTCGCGTAACCGTTTATATTTTTCGCAGTATGGAGCTGGAGGGTCTGGTTCCAGAAGTCAAAATCCCATTCATAATCGCCATAGGGAATTTGATTTTTAACCATAACATTTTATCCAGCCAACGTAGACTTGCCATACGCTATGAGATAGTGAGATTATTATATATGCTCCAATTACAGCCATGAATCAGTCTGGTTTCAACTTTTGTTTCCGAAAAATCGCTTTTTATTTCCTCGTTCCTCAAAAAGAAATACATTACCCATCCGTCCTAGAAAGGGCTTTAACAATCAGTCGCTGTTACCATGGAGATTCAAACAGTGGTTTGGCGCCAGAAAAACACGAAGCGGCGTCTGTCAGCGAGCAGCAACAGCGCAGTTTTACTGTCAGATATCATGTGTTTATTTAGGGACACAGAGGAGAAGAGAGTTCGGAGGACTGAAAATCAGAGTCCGGTCGTGTAGTAGTGGAGTGTAGTTTGTGTGGCGTCACCTAGTCGGTTCTGTCAAAGTTAGTATGAAAGAGCACCTACAGGGCTATATTGTTATATATAAAATGATCTGCATGGAGTTCACGTTAATAATATTAATCTATAAAAACTCTCCACATTTATACACATTTTATACACATTTATGTAAGAGTAAAATTACCACCTAATGTGAAAGGTACACGCTTTCCTTCCCATATTTGTCTGCTTTGTTTCAGGAAAGCTTTCACAGAGATGGAAGCATTGTGCGATTGCATAGTACTGGCACCTGAAAAGGGATATTATGGTAGAAAAGTTGTAAATAAAATAAATTAATAAAAATCATGAAAAGAACTTCTCCCTCTCCTCCATCCCATCCTGATCTAACAGTAGACAAAATCTAAGAACAGACAGCGTGCATGTTAACTACAAATGACAAAAATTCCCATTGCTTCACACAAAAATGCAGTATCATACTTTCTCAACCCCTCAGCTTCAATTTCAGTAATTATATCTGTCCTTTGATGCCACTTCAGTGAGTAAAATAAGAAGATAAAGATTCATATAATTCCTTATTGAGGTAAACAAAAATCGTTCTTTCGTAAGGTTCACTGTATCACGACTGCTAAGTAATATCCACAAAAACACAAAAGAGAAAATATACGATTGCAAAAGTTGGCGATAAAAGGAGTGAAAGTGATTGGTTGAAACCATTCGCAGTGCTTTGTGGGATGTGTAGTTCATGCCGACATTAAACACGTTAAGTACAGTCTTGCACTTTTGTTCGTTTTTTTTTATTATTATTTTTTTTTGCTCTGATTTTACTTTTATAATTATGTATATTATTTATATGCTCGCTGACTGGTTCGCTTAAGTGCTTAAAACTCGTTATTTAAAGACTTTTCAAAATATCAATGTAGAAAATTAATGTGATTTCTACTTCCGGGACCAGAGCCGCTGAAAAAGTGGGCGGTCACTGTTCAGCTCTATTTAAGTTGTCATCCAGTACCAGTTTGGCGTCAATCAATGTAAATAAATACTATAAGAATAAGAATTACATATTTATTTTGGATATAACGAGTTTTTGAAAAGAATACCAGCTGCTGTGTAATTGAAAACACTTTTTCTTTTAACTAATAAAACCCGTATTTAACATAACGTCAATATAGCATCTTGTATCGGTGAAGTCCGCTCCCAGCAACGCATATAATGAAAAAATATGAAAATGATCTGCAACCCTTGTCATATGTATGTGTGTATATAATTTATGTGTGTGTCCTGTGTTAGAGAAGTACAGGTCATTTTGGCAGCGCGTCATTTCCGTCCTGCGCTGTGTTTGTGTTGTGTTTGTGTTGCCGGTGGCTGAGCTCGACCTCCAGCTCAGTCTTAGTGACAGTTACTCCTGCCCTGATATACCCGTCCTGCTCCAGCAGCATGTTTTAGTGGTCTTGTGAGTTACCTCACCGTGTGGTCTGCTGCAGTGAAGAGGCGGCTCTGTCTGAGATGTGGGTTTTCGGTTACGGCTCTCTGATATGGAAAGTGGACTTTCCGTACGAGGAGAAGCGCGTGGGCTTCATCAGGGGCTTCAGCCGCAGGTTCTGGCAGGGAAGTACAGATCACCGAGGGGTTCCCGGCAAGGTACATAGCGTTTAACCACATAATTAGTTACATTTATCTAACATTAAATCAGTTCCTAGTCTGTGGGAAGAATAGTACAGTCATCATGAGGTTGCACTAGTTAACCCTTTTATGTCCAACAGCTGCATCCAGTCTGCAACTGTAACTTGCTCTGATATGACATATCGGTATCAATATGTATCGGTATCAGGCCAATATCAGCAGAAAATGCTGGATCGGATATTGGAGGGCAAAAAAAGAAGGGTAAATCTGACCCCAAACCTGTAGTTAACAAATCTATCCTGAAACAGCTTACACTCCCATGTGTAATGTGGTGGTGTTACCCGAGTATGTCCTCCTGGGGTTCAGGAGTGAGATTCTCATTTTAACTGCTTCATTTTAAAATAACACATTTTTAAGTTGTTTTAACAACCAAATAGTGGATCAGTGTTGGACAGTACTCAAGGTGTCAGTGTTGGTATCCTTATTGGTGTCAGAAAAGAAAAAGTAATATTGTGGCATCTTTAGTCTAAAGTGATGAAATTGTGTATAGTGATGCTTTGGATGAACATCCACCCATTTGAATTGTTAATCCCCCCCCCTGCGTTTTTTCAAATTTGCTTTTTCTCTTGTTTTGCTATGAGATATGGACATTAATGGGTTAACTTTAGCAGTTTTAATCCCAGACTAGTGGTTGTTTGCTTTCAAAATCTTATCTTTCACTCTCTTATTTATATTTTTTAATTCACAGCCTGGACGTGTGGTGACACTAATAGAAGATCCTGAGGTAATACTGCCACTTGAGAACTGGGGAGGAATTAGTGTCTAGTTGCTGTAATTACAAGCATAATAAACACAGTTGATTGGTAAAATCTTGTCCTTTAACTTACAGGGATGTGTTTGGGGTGTTGCGTACAAGCTGCCCTTCGGGCGGGAGAAGGAGGTGAAGGAGTACCTTGACTACAGGGAGAAAGGTGGATATGCGGTGAGGATGGTAACGTTTCATCCTAAGGATGCGGAACACGAGCCAATGCACGATACATTACTCTACATTGGATCATGTGACAACCCGAACTACCTCGGTCCAGCACCTCTGGAAATGATCGCCCAGCAGATCCTGAAGTCAGTTGGTCCCAGTGGGAGGAACACAGAGTATCTGTTTGAGCTGGCTGAGGCTCTTAGACAGCTGGTGCCTGAAGACTCAGACGATCACCTGTTCTCACTGGAGAGGATGGTCAAGGATCTCTTAGTGCAGGCTGCAGAGTGACCCTCATTCATCCTGATTATCTGCTCAACAGTATGAGCTACTGGGTGCTCATTTGATTCACATGTTCTTAAAGCACACGGTCAGTTTTTTTTACAGGGAGAGTTGGTAGATGACGAAGTCACTACACTGTAACTTTTGCACAACGTTATACCTACGATTGTCTTGCTCAAAAATACACCTATGGCAATGTCCAACAACTTTACCTCAGTTTAGTCTTGAACAGTATGCTGTTTGTTCTGTGTAATACTGTTTTTGTTCTGTAATACTGCAGATCAGGAACCAAATTTAGGATGAGCGTGTGTACATGTATTCTAGTTATACAGCAAGTAAATTTGTTGAAACTGTTTTACTCAAGAAGGGAAATAAATGTTTCAAACGACAGGTAATGCACATAGCTATGATTACCTTATGTTACTCTTATGAAGATGTCATTTTACTGATAAAGACCGTCCCGTAATTTGAAAAGCTCAATCAGAGAGACATGGTGGTTTTGGGCCTACAGGGGAAAAATGCTTCTGTAGAAATTGATATGACTTGTAAAAGCTGCAAATGAACATGCAAATGTGCTGAGCTACATGTGTACTTATGTTCAGGTCCTCCGTTTGCTTCATTTTGCTGTCACAAGTTATTAAAATACTTTTACATGAATAACTAAAACATATTAAAAGTATCTAGAAAACTGTCAATGTCTGATTATTGCACTGGTCATTTTATTCATATAATTACTACAGTAATTACTATATAATGCATATGATAACTACAAGTAGTTTAACTGAGTATTCTTGTAGTACTCAGCCTAATCCTGACGTATGAGCATTCTTTGGTAAGTAATGGTCAGATTCACTAGAGAGCAACTTAAGTTACCTTTCAAAAGTTTGGAATCACTTGTCATATTAATAATGTGTAATTTTACATACAATAACTTGTACAATGCAGATTTAAATATAAACATTTTAGTTTGATCTATTCAGTATTTTAAGGACTTTGAGATTAGTCTAAATTGTATACTGTAATTATCTTTTTACAAGATTTGTCTTTTTTTCCTACAAGATCGTCTACCTCAAGATTAACTGCCACTTTTCAGATGAGTCTTAAGTTAAATTTATTATAACTGCATTCTCAGTGTATTTTTTAAACAGTGTTTACTAATACAAACACTAATTAGTACTAATTATTTAAAAGCTATGAAATTGCACAGACCTAGCATTTTAAAATTATTTTAGATATTTATCTGAAACCAGATTGGTTTGATTTCAGATAAACTGTTAAAAGCATTAATTCCAAACTTTTGAACAGTAGCGTATAGTTCACCTGGGACTGAACACCTACCTGGTTCTTTTTCTACAGATGAAGCAACTGTTAAAACTGAAAAATACAGGCTTACAAGTAAAAATGAGAGATAAGAATTGAGGATGACAATGCAGAAAATGTGCCATCATTTTTCAGAACAAATAAATTCTTTTTCTGTTTGTTAAAAACAAAATACGTTTATTGGCTTTCTCTTGGGTAAAACAAGCAAACAGTACATCTAAAAAAATAGAGAAAACTCACTGCAGTTTTGGCACTAAGCTACACAGTGGTTCTGCTATGGACACTCCATAATGCAGAACAGAACTATCCAGAATTCACTCCCAATTGGAGTCAGTATGTAACCTGAAGCTCTTCATGGTTGTGTAAGTGTATGCCTCAGAGGACACTACTGCTTTAAGTCTGTTAGGCTTGGGGAAAAGGGTGGTACAAGAAAACGTGTCTGTGTCTGGACGGAGTATGCTTTCAGGCTCCCCAGTCACATGCCACATAAGTAACTCTGAATAACAAGACATACACACAATCATCACTTCATCAAACTACAAACATGCACACTCACGCCATCATGCACATGCACTTCATACCTGTTCATGAACTCGCCAATACACATAGGCATTTTCACTCAAACCTGGCTGGTCATTCAAGGACTGTTTCTTTCTAGCAGAACTGACATATAATACGTTTATGCATAGATAAATGCATATGTACAGTACATACATACACATATACATATATAAATACACAAACAGTACACAAAAACTTATGATGGCATGTGAGCTGAGTGGTACTTAACAGCCATCGGTCTGATTCCCATCAGACAGTCCGGAGCAACCCATCATTAAAACCACAGTCACTCTAAACGGTACGTCTATGGCGCTGGTGTACAAGAGCTTGGCCCAGTGTCTGATGCTGGAGGGTCTTAACATCCATCTCAGAGACCGCCTTCAGGAAAATTTGAGTTTATATGAGCTGCTGGACTTCTGCCTGGCCTCATTTGCCTTTACTGATTGAGGAGGGGCTTAATCAAAGTAGAAAAGTCAATAGAATTGATTGCCTTACAACTTAAAATCTGAATGTCTGAACGTTCCAATAAGAGACCAGACTTGGCAACCCCTATTCAGCAAATGCCTGGGAGAGGGGCTTGAGTGGGAGACCAGACCCACAGGCAGTCTGCCCATTGCACATCCACATGTTCACGCATAGAGGAAAAGGGGAGGAAAAAAAAAAAATTCTATCTGTACAATATTATTACAGACTGCAGGCCATTCATCCCTGCACTGGTAAACCTTAAATATTAAGTATAGTAGAAATGCAAAATGTGGGTTAAATACATACATACAGTACGTACAGAGTCTCCCCCCCGCCCCCCTCCCCAAACTCAAGGTATTGCGTCACTCCCCCTCATCATGTGTCCTCTCCTTATTCGGTGTGCATCTTAGTCCACAACCACTGAAGTACTGAAGAGTCAAATGATTCAAAAATAAATGTTCCAAAAATACCTATTTCATCTGTCTAGGCATAGTAGCAGGGTGACACAAGTAGGTCAGTGAGCACCACTAACTGGTCATCTGTGAACTGCTGCTTATGCTCCAGCCAATTGTCGTGATGAGTTCGGCGGAAATTCGACAGGGTCTTCTTCACCGTCATCTGAAACACACATAGGCAAAGACAGTGAGATCTTCAGCAGGGCTACAAACCGGTTTAAGAAACTCAGACATACTGAGTTTAATGCAGTAAATAAACACTTTTTCAAAACTGTTCGATACTCAATCCATACAGTCAATAAATGGAAACTAACAAAAAAGTATACAGCAGTTTAGCTCGCCCACTTGCACTTAAGTTACAAGGAATGTTTCAGCTCTGATTGCTTTCTGAATGAGATGCAACACAGAGTAGTCAATCAGAATAATTACATACATCACGGATCATCAGTCTTAAAGGCACAGTAACAAAACCAGCCTCTGTTAAAGAGGTAAAAGGATAATTCATTTCTAAATGATAATGTTTTTTGGCACATAAAACCAAACCAATGTTATAAGTGGGCCTTTGGGCATAAAAATAAAATACAAGACAAATGTAGTATATGGGCAGGAATTTAGTCTAGTTTATTACTTAAGTCTTGCCTTCAGTTTTTGGGTCAACAGCATGTTTCCTGCGTTCAATCAATTTATTATGCTACATATGCTGTGCAGTAGGTTCAGAGCTGACTGTAGCCACATCCTTGCATCTACACTTTCTGACTGCAGTCAATAAACAAATCTTAAATAATCCAGGCTAAATTGAGCTTACGACAAACATTTTAATGCAAACTCTGTTGTTTGTTAGTTGTTATGACAGCATAAATAGCTTAACCAGCGTACTGTAAAACGGCACTTGTTAGGGTACCTAAGCTATTCTAACCTCTGGTATATAATTATGTGATATTCGCTATATTCTGGAACTGGAAATTCAATAGCATGTGTGAAAATGTCCTTATCAACAGAAAAACAACTGCTAGATCTAATAGCTTTTCAAACCAATTGTTTAATTAGCAGGTCTACAATACAGCCTTTGCAATGATTTTTTTTGGGCTCTAATCAGTTTAGGAATGTTATGCTGGGGATAGAACGCAAGAACAAGAATGTTAAAACACTGGTTTTAGTGAGCAAATTTGTTTTTCCATTCAGTTTCTGCACCCTAATCTTTTGCTGTAATGAGATCTGACAGGTTAATAAAGCACCAGACAGGCAGGAGAAATGGAAAGCTAGCCTACCTCGATGGGTTGTGTGTCATTGAGGTGGGCACTGAGGTCCATGAGCAGCTGGGGCATCCAGGTGGGGACGTCATAAGGGCTGGAGAGAACGCAGGCACTGAGACCTAGCACTCCTGCATGGCGCCGCACCAGATCTGAAAACACAAAGTCAACATAACCCAACAAATGTATATATGAACAAAAAATTATAGGCAAACAATTCCGAAAATGTCAAAAACATTGTCTTACCAACTGAGGGTATGGTGTCCACAACAGAACCCAAGTCTCTCTTCCTCTTTTTAGGCAGCCTGGTTTTGCAAAGAGCCTCAAAATGCGTCTGCATGGAGACGTCCATGGTCAAGAAGTTACACTGTAGGAAGCCACTGAGAGTGGTGGCAGCCATTTCCCTCACCTGAGAGGAAGAAAGCTAATGTTAGAGTGCAAGTGCAAAGTATAGATGACATTATTGGAGTCGCATGATTTATAGAAAGTTTAATGCTTTTCACATATTACACCATGGCAGATAATTAAAAAAAAAACAAAAAAACAAAAACAAACACAACAAACAAAAAACAAAAAAACACATTTATATTGTATTCTAGTTGTATTGGAATCAAAACTTTGCCTGCTAATTTAACATGCCCATTAGAGTCATGAGACATGCACATTAGCATCTCCAAAACATGATCTATGTGAACCAATCAGTGTACAGTGCAACCCATTTTCTATTTGTTTATGTGTGATGAATATTTGTCTACAATTTATGTTCTTGCATCACTTGTCTTCCATTCAGAGCAAATTAAATGAAGCCATGTTTATTTAGTTGCTTATTTAATTCAATATTAACAACAATTAACTACATATGTTACATATTAATAAAAAGAGAGTGAATTTGAATTTTTGCCACAATGTTGCTTTGTAATTGAGCATTGTGAGACTGCACTTAGTACTGGTATCAAATTCAAACCCTAGACACTATTGGAGTATGAAAATACACACACAACAGGGTGGCATGTACCTCTAGCTGCTCATCTTCCAGGAGTCTGATAACCAATGCTCGGACATCTTGGACTGCCTGCTCATTGCTCAGCATGGTAAACAGGTTGTAAAAGACCATAATCTGCAGATAGGTCAGCACGGAGAAACGGGCATGCCAGGAGCTGCTCCCTGCAATCTACACACAGACAAAACTTCGGACTAGGCCAAGGCCAATATATGAACATCTACAAAGCTCAACATTAAAGCACCCAGGAATACATTAATTTATCCCCATCAAGTGCTCTGCCCTCAGCAGAGTATAAGCCCACCTCATTCAGAACCTTGAGCACCAGAGGGATCTGCTCTGGATAGAGGAGTCCCTGGGACATGAGAGACAAACAGGTCTTAGCATCTCTCTTCAGCTCATCATAGCTATCATCATTCTCCACTGGAGCAATCTGTGGACAAATAATAATATTAATAATAATAATAATAATAATAATAACAACAATAATAACAATAATCATCACCATCATCATCATCATCAAAAGAGCACTTTTCATACCAGTGTCAGCTCAAGGCGCTTTACAGACAGGTGATAAAGCTTAACAATAATAAGAGCTAATATGTTTAACAGTAATAGAAGAAATTACAAGTATTCTGTTAAAATCATATAAGGCAGACAGATCAAATTGAAACGATAAATACCAAAAGAGAGGTAGAATTTCGAGAAGTGTAATAACAAAGAGGCCTCTCCACTTTTTCTGTATTTTACAGAAGGTATCTGCAGAAGGCCAGTATCTGCAAATCTAAGATTACGTGTTGGAACAGAACAGACTGTGAGGTAAGCGGGCGCTAGGTCAATTAGAGCCTTTAACATTAGCAGAACTTCAAAGTCCATCCTAAAATATACAGGTAGCCAGTGCAGTTCCTTCAAAATATGGGTGATATGAGCTCTCTTTTAAAATAATAATAATAATAATAATAATAATAATAATGTACATATCTAAATGAATAGAGAACACAGAAGACCAAAAAAGTGACTCTGAATGAAAGCCTAAGCAACAGATACAGAGTGTGTTCAAGAAAGAGAGACACCAAGACAGAAACCAAAAAAGAACCATGCATCAAGCTGACCTTAAAGAGCAGAGGAAGGAGCTGAAGCTGCTGGACAACGGGAGTCGTGAAGGAGCGCCCGGCGCTGGCCATCAACCACTTCAGCACAGTCTTGAGCAGTTTGATGGCCTGCGTTCTCTCATCCTGTTCACCCACTCCGTTCTCTTCCACCACATGGTTCTGGATCTCCTCCTCTCCTTCCAGCAGTGGCTTCAGACAAGATACAATCCTCTCCGTGAACTCAGCAATGTGAGGAGACTTTGTGGGCAGTGTGTTCGGCAAAGTGACATCAAGCATGAAAATGTATGTCAGCACACTGCAAGGAAAGTGAACGATAAAAACAAAAATATGTTCAGCAGAATTAGGAGTACAACATAAGAACCTGGAAATTTTTTTATTCTGACTCATGTCAGCCTGTAGCTTCCTTATTTTTTTTTCCTCCACTCTTGAACAAACGTGATGACTGGACTACAGAATGAATCCAATATCAAATTCTATACAAATCTCAGTAATACTTAAATAGGCTAGACTAGGCCTCCATGTTTTTCAAAAATCTCGCACCTTCACTCCTTAGTTACGAAATTCCAGAAAATTAGCTACAAAAAGACTTAATCTTTTCTGTCCTAGAAATGAATGTAAACCAGGTCACTGTTAAACAAGATCAGAGTAAAGGGCAATCAGTCCAGTTAAAACACAGACAACGTGGCTGGTTATGAAAAGTAAACCTTTTTCCCCCTTACTGTATTTACTCTAAGCAAAAACAAAACAAAAAAGATACATCAGTTTTAGAGCAGTAACATCTTAAAAAAATGCTTCTTCAACCATTTAAACAACGTCTCTTTGCATCTTTATTTATTATCTATATTAATTATTTATCTATCTTTGTAAGTTATGACACTCAAACAAAAACAGTGACTCATCAAATACGTTGACACTGATATGACAGGAATGAAATGGAGATGTGTCATACTCCATGTATGTCTGGACTTGCCCAATCAGATACATTCCAGGAGATTCCCTAACAGGTCCAGCATGCCTCTCACCTGCCGATACGCTCTCGGACATTCTTGTACACTTGTGTGAGTTTGGGCTCCAAGTAGATCAGCAGCCTGTGCAACAGCTCTGGAACCCTCCATTCCTGCTGAGCTAGACCCCCCTGCAACACATACAGATGACTGAAAAGACAGACAGAAAGGGAGAGAGAGAGAGAGAGAGAAATATAAAATTAATTGACCTTTATTTAACATTTGCAAGTATGATTTTTTTACACATACAATAATATTTGCAAAACATGATTGGCTGATTCCATAATGTATGTTGCATACAACAAATTATAAAACTTATGAAGAATATAATTACATTTTTTGTGCAAAACACAGACAGTCCTTTCTTACCAGGCATCTACAAATGAGCCCCCTTCTCCACTAAGAGGACATTCCATCAGCATCTCCAGCAGCCAGCTCAGCTTCCGCGGGTCTCTGCTCTCCTGTAAGGCCAGATAAGAGTCTGTTATCTTCACTTTTACACTACAGCGTTGTGCCTATAAGATACAGAGGCCATGATGAGAAAAGGGAAAATCAGACAAAGGCACGTAGAACCTACACAAGCAGTAGCTACACATGTGCCCCAATCGGTGTAGGTTTCCACTGTGATGTTGGATAACGCTGTTCGCATCAAAGGAATCAGGAATGCCCACAGGGCCTCCACCTGAGCAAGAGAAAAAAACAGAGAGAGACCAACAGTTTGCTTTAATGTCTCGATACCTTCAGTTCTCTGCTCTAGACTGTGATGAAGGTAGAGGTACTAACCTGCTTGAAGCTCCAGTGTTTGCTGCCTCTCACCAGGCCAGCGATGATCTCTGCCACACAGCGCTGAGTACTCTCGTGGGAGTCACCAGACAAACGCTCCATATGAGGTTTAAGCACAGGCAGGAAAGCATCACTGTAGTTTCTGAACAGGCCCTGTTCCGACAACGATTCAGGATAAATGCACCACCATATGGCAATAAACGCAGCACTATCGCCTAGTATGACCAATTTACTTAAAACTACTAATTTTACCCTTCCAAGTCCCTCATGGCACATAAGCCTTAAAATCTGTTTTCCTTACATTTACTTCAATTCAGTTATTTCTCGTTTGTAGCTCATTGAAACAAGTGAACAATTCTGCTGAAAGTGCAGACTGTAAGCTTAAAACCGATCACACATTTGTGAATCTAAATGTAAACAGGGAAAAATTTTATTACGGTTTGAATATGATGAAAGGTTTTATGAAAAAAAACATTTTGTTTTGCACAGTTCTTGTCTATTTTTGACATTGAAAAAAAGATAAAAATGGGGTTGAGGTGCAGACCTCAATGTGTTAATACAAAATGTAAATTGAATGTAAATGCAATTATGTAACTAACTGCATCATAGTATTTAAATAATTATGTAATGGAAAACAAAAACTCAAACACAGAACACTGAACAATATTATCCCATGTGAACAGTAGGCAGACATTGCAGTTCAGTCTGTGAGCTAATACCTTGAAGAGGCAGAAGCGACGAGGGTTGAACTTGTCTTTGCCCTTGCGGTCCTCCAGTGACAAAAACTCAATAAGCTGGTTGATGAACTTGGGGTCTGAGAAATGGTCGTGTATGATTTTTTCACTCTGTCATCAGAAAAGAACATGTCTTTAGCACCTATGAATACAACTGGAATCAACTCTGTGTTGGTCATATTAGCTCCAAACACTACACTCTGACAGAGATTGAGTGCATACCTCATTCATCACCTCAGGGATCAGGTCTTTGGGCTGCTCCTCATAAGGAGCATACAACATCAGTTTTCTACAGAATGAGGAATTGAGAGAAGAGAAAAAAGGAAAGGCTAAGCCCAGATTCAGTTATCTCCAGTAAGGGTAAATTATGGATGCAGAGGGGTACATACTTTGGCCAGCAGTAGTAGCCCCAGTGAGTCTTCTCCACAAAGCGGAAAATGTCCCAGTCTTGCTGGGTGCGTGGCAAACTGTCAGCATGATACTGAAGCCAGCTGTTTCCTGGTCTGTCTCCTGCTACCAGGTCCTCTCGCTCCATGACTCCACCTAAAACATAAAACTCCCTCATTAGTGTATCTTCTATAATGGTATTATAACAGCCAGGGGAGCAACACTTAGATATCAGAATCATTTATTTCACTAAGTATGTTACACAGACAAAGAATTTGTCTTGGTGAGTGCATACATGTATGACATAGCAGACCACACAAGTACATAGATTATAAACAATATATGCAGTACTGAGGAGAAATATAATAACTATTATATACAGAATATTACAGAATGATATGAAAAATTAACATTTGTACAGTTGTTCAAATATTCATTATGTTAGAGAGGAATACAGTAAAGGTGGCTTGTTGGTTTTAAGTTTAAAGTGTGAAGTTTCCACTGCGGTTACTGAGTACTACAGCTCTGGGGAAAAAACTGTTAGCATGTCTGGTTGTACTGGCCTTGATGGCCCTGAATCTTCTACCAGAGGGGAGTGGCTGGAAAGATGACAAGATGGACAGCTGTAATTTTGTTTCATCATCCTGCTGTTGCAGATATCCTGACTGGCAAATTACATCTGATGATCCTCTCCCCTGTCCTGATTATGGACTGGAGTTTGGCTTGTTCTTGTGAGGTGGAGAAACCAAACCAGACGGTTATGGTTTTATGTGAGGATGAACTCAATGTGCCTGAAGTCCACCACCATGTCTACACCGCTTTGTGTGTTCAGCAGCAGCTGCTTGACTTCTTAGCTGTAGGCAGACTCATCACCGTTAGCTATGAGATCCACCACGGCAATGTCTTCTGCAGTCTTCAGGATTCCTGGTTCCTTGGAGACACAGTCATTGGTATAGAGACTGAAGCGAAGGGGTGGAGCACACAACCTCGTGGAACTCCAGTACTGAGGGTCCAGAGGTCTGATGTGCTTCCCAAGCCACTCCTGCTGTTTCCACTCCACCGGCAGATGGGATCTGGCACAGACAGCTGAAACAGTCTGACCTGCAGGAGCTTTGGCACTTTGGTATTGAAAGCTGAGCGCATAGTTTTCAGGACTGTCGGGATGATATTGTTGACCGCATCCTTAACAGACCTAATAGCTCTGTACACGAACTGCAGGAGATCCAACAGAGGATTTGAAATGGTCCTCAGGTTGGCTGAAGGAGTTCAAAGACCTTCATGACAAGAGACCAACTGGCTACTGGCTATTACCTCTCTCTCTGTCTCTCTCTGACCTCTAATAAGATAATAATATACAGTCCATGTTATGGACAGCAGCAGTGTTTCTTATAACATAACACAGAGATTGAATGAGTATCAGAAATATTAAGACTGATCCTTCTGTTTCTTTTCTTTTTGAGCTATATTTGCATCACTTTTGTAGAGGCACCATTATTAAAACAAAATGGTGAAGAGTGTATGTTACTTATTTTGCTGCAGAATTTTATAGTGACTGGTAGACAAATTATCACAGGTCAGTCAAACTGGAGCATAACAGGAGTGTAACAATACAAAATTCCAAATTTGATACAATACAGCAGTGTCTCATTGTGATACATTGTTCAATACAGCAAAAATAAGGTGTGCCTGAATGTGTGTGTTGTGTTTACAGGTTATACATTTAAATGGTAATGTCTGCACCATGTGTACCGTATGCACACTAGGAGTATAATGTTGCACATATTTTCAGGTTTAATACGATCAAGATTAAAATCAACTTTCAATATTTGTATATTATGCATGCCAAGCCAACATTAAACACAATAGTCATCTTTCAAAAGGTAGACCAAAAATAAATATCAGCATTTATCAGCAGCCTAGCATATATTACCCTAATTTTGTAGCCGTGTTATCTATGAAAACAAAAAGATTGGTGTCGGCCTGGGTACCTGGATTGGTTTAGGGGACAAAAAAAAAACAAAACTGGAAAACCTACATATACCTTAACAGCAGTCTGCATACTATTGCAAACACATTAATAATGGAACTGTACATACAATTCACTGCACATCTACTCTTACTGGTTTTTATTTATTTATATCCTACTCAGTTATGTTCATTTGTTAGGGTAACACCTAAAATTTGACCTCTCTGATTTTTTTTTAAACTGCCATTAAGACAACGTCAGCTTAAGGCTCTTTACTCACTGATGTCACTGGGTGTGATGGCCACTTTCACACGCGGCCTCTTCAGCTGCTTGAGTATGCCTGCCACGGCAGATATTGCCACCTAGAGGAGAAGGAAAACAAATTAAAGAGTCAAAACAGCAGCAGTGCAACAATACTATTTAGGAATGATGGCATCAATACTGCAGAGTAGCTGTGTCAGGCCATCACCTTGCGCACGATGAGTGCGTCGTGATTCAGACTCTGGACAAAAAAGCGCACTGCTGGAGCAGGGAGAGGATGGTCATCTCGTAGCAGCAGAGACAAGAAGCCTATGGCAATGTGTTCAAACTTCCAAGGCCTTAAAAGAAACATTTAGAATCAATTTACACATCATTACATGCATGTACAAAACAAAACTTTAAAAAGTCTACATAACTTACAGGTCCCTGTCATCGAGGCACTCTAAGAGGTCGTTAACCAGCTTTACATATTTCCTGCACAGAAAAAACAAAGGAGGCATTAAAATAAACAACTATGAGAAAGAAAGAACTAAATGTACACTCATTATTAAATAATGTTATTTAATGCATTATGAAATCTCAAATTTCACTTTGATTTCATTGGATTATTTTAGTAGACAATCAGAATTGGCCAAGATCTGAACTGGCAGATTTCTGCCACGAAATTGGCACTTTTACACACTTTGCTATTCACAGTGACAGACATTTTGACCAGGAGTGCCCAAACTTTTGCATGTCACTGTACACCAAAATGTCCCAACATAATTACACTTACAATGACTCATTGTACTAAATAGCCAGTTGCCTCTTATTTTCAATGCAGTGTTCTATTTTATTCAAATGGCATTTAAATTGTGATATGGTTTAAAATGTTAGTTTGGCCCATAAAAGAGCAAATAATGCTGTTTATGTTTTGTGTTTTCATTTGCCTAACACAGTGTGAGCTTTCAGATTTTAAAAAGCAAATAAAAAAGGCTATATATGATCTACATTTATTGCGAAATAGTATAAGAATCAATTTTATTAGACACATTTTTACTTCCCTAATTCCTTTTGATGTGCTGCATGCTGATAAAGTATGTGTGTAAGAGGGCACTCACTGCACAGCATCCAGATTTTTAGCTTGCTGCAGAGCGAGTCCCTTCTCTATCTCCTGTTCTGAAGGGGAGCCCATGTGAGGAGCAGGACTGCCCGTCTCTGAAATCTTCCGGCCCAGTTCCAACATGCTCTGCATCATCTGCACAGCCATCCAGATGACACACATATACATCAGAGATGAGATACACAATACACAACACACATTCCTCACTAAATAGCAAAGGTTTATTGCTTATTCTACTAGGAAAAGGCGGTGGTTCTCACAGTGAAGTCGATGCCAATGGTCTCATACTGACGATGGACTTTGTCTGCAAGGTCGTCAAACAGCCTGACGATGGAGGGCTTCTCCAAGGACATGGCAGGGCTGAGGCCTGAGCGCACCATGGCCGGCCAGGTCAGAGCAATGCAGTCCCAGTCATGCAGGTTAGCCATGCAAACCCCTCCATGGTTTCCCAGCAGACAGTACAGAGCACCCTGAAATGAAGAACAACACAAGCATATAATATATTATTGTTTATGTATTACAGTCTTTTAACAGATTTTTTTATCATCATATTTTCATGTTACACTTTATATTTGTGTAACATTTTCATATTTAATATTACATTTTAATAAGCACCAGAGCGAATCAACAGGCTCCATTTTCAGGACAGTAACTTATAAACTTAATGCGCAATTAGAAAAGGTGAAGTACAGACAGTGGCCCACATTTAACAAGCATTTCAGAACAAGAACACTGACCTAAGATCAGCTCTCATCAGTTTGTATAATTGTATTCAGTATAAGCTGACCCCAGTTCAGCATTAAACATGAGTGCACAACACTAAGTGCACAGCTACACAAATACGAAAAATCTATACCACCCAAAGTCACTGAGGTCAAAAGTATGTACCTTGAACTGTTGCTGGGTGACATCTGTCCGTTTGGGGTCCAGCAGCTCCAGCACTCGAGGGGTAATGTCTCGGCAGCAGAAGTTATATGTACCCAGAGCAGTAAATAAAACGCTTTGTGCCTTGCTGCGAACCTAGTGGCATGCAAGGAGATACATTTGAAAACTGTACATTTATAAAGAACAGGGCAGTTATTGTAGGCAGAACATTTCAGCGCTTAACTCCAGCATACCTGACTGTACGTGCTGGTGGAGAGACGCAGAAGATCTGTAAGCAGATCTTGGTGAATAGTTTTGTATTCGCAGCCCTCCACTAGCAGTGTACGCATCTACCAATGGGGAAAAATATGTAATTAAATTTATGTACATTAAAAGTACAGTGCCGTACTCTCAAAAAAAATTAATTAGTTGATACCTCATGTTGCAGAAGTACTCTGTCTATGAGAAGGGCTCGGATGTGTTGTTTCTTTCCATGAAGCTAGAATACAAAAACATTTCAGACATAAACATCAAGTATTATATTTTGCTTCTCATTTCATTTTTTAGTTTGCTGTAGAAGGCCAGTATGAGAAAGCTTATTTCTAGATAGATAAAACATTCAGTGACTCACTCGGTTCTCCATAGATTTCTTAACCAAAGTGAAGCTCTTCCAACGTGAATCAAACTCATGCTTGTGAGAGCCTTTAAAATGCATCAGGTCATTTATGATCTGAGAGGAAAAAAAGGAAACAGCAGGGTAAACAAACACTTGTATCTATTTGATTGCAAAAGATAATCTTTAATGATACAAAAAACTGGCAAATGTTCACCTTAATGATGGCAAAGAGGGACTTGGTGTCATCTTCTGAATTTTCCAGGATATAATCTAAATAGAGAATTAGAAACGGCATGTTATTTACCAACTGAGCGAGATAGCAACTGATGACAGTGGCGGAGGGAGATTTAGATGTAGAATCAGATCAGATCAGAGCACTCACGCAAGAGCTGTCTCATGACTTTACAGATGGCCTCTCTGTAGTTCTCTCTGGACTCATCTGTGGGAATACAATCAGCTTTATCAGAGACTGAACAGATACTTGCACTTAAGTATGTTTTCTTGTTATCTTTATGGTTTAATGATGAACTGCTGTCTATTAATGATGATCTTGAAAGTATTACTATGGCTCACCATAGTTAACTCCAATGTAGAGCTTTGTCTCCTCCATACTAACCATGCTGTGAACTCTGTGAGGACAAAAATATATTAGTCCAAACCAATAAACATTAGACTGCATGTTTTCTATATGAGCGCCATTTTGTGTAAAATGTCTTCACAGTACACGTAGTATCACCACAAGTCCTTACAGGCCAGTGACAGGTGGTCCGTTCAGAGAAGGCAACATGCAGCCAGCCCCGAGCAAGCAGTGCTGGACAATGGAAAGGCTCTGTAGAACATCATCTCTGTGTAGGTATAAGGTAAAGTTCAAGATGTCTGTCACATTGATCATAAATGAATGAGTTTATAGAAAATTGTCACCAACTTGGATCAAAAATTAACATTCTTATTTGCGTGAAGCCACTACAAGCCAAAAATTTCAACATCCGCCATCTATGTACATAATGTCCCTAAACTGATATCAATATGTTAATACAGCATGAAAGTACAAGCCAAAGAAGATCGGTGCAACCAGAACTACATTCCTTAAAGAATTCCATTGGTTCTGCAAAATTTTGCATAATTAAATGGTTTAGATATGTAAAGTCTAGTCTGATGTGAAACGCTCTGTTCTAGAGAAACCAGAATTGTTGACAGTGTTGATGAAAAGAACCAGACCTCTGAAGAGTTTAATGCTACACAAAGTTATTACATAAAATAGATTAGAATATGCTGCCTGTTACCTACAACGTTTTACAATAGTTTTGAGATACGGCTTTAAACACGCCTATTTTTTTTGTTGAAGTTGCACATACATGCAGTTGAAGTACATGCAGACAGTCCGCAAACTTTTTCTTTCCCAGATGTACCACACTATTTCCATGATCAATATTACATATAAAAACTCTGGTCGCTTTGGGTAGTATATAAAATGGCTATATCTGCATTGAACACATCGATCCCTGATTCCTATCACCACTACTGTAAAGAAATATGAGTCAGTAAGTTTCTCTAGAAAGCTGCATTTCACATCAAACCATCTAAATGACTCTGTTTATGTTTCAATGACTGAAAAATTAGTGGAGCTCCCCTTTAAAAGACAGCTAATTCTAGACATCCCTTTGACCCTACCCTCTAACCTGCTCATGTCCTGCTCGCCCTGGGAGTATTTCTGCAGACGCTGTAGTTCTGGTTGAAGCAGGAGGTCCAATATGTAGAACACAAAGGCTGTCTCTTCAGCACTGGGCACATGCCACTGGACCTGCAGGTTCCATAAGTCGCCTGGACGACCCCAGTCCTATAGACAGACAGGTATCCGCTTTAGTCCAGTAATAAGAACAGAAATCATACAGCTTCAGCATCTGCTGAGCAAAGTGTTCCTAGTTGGAGGGTGGGGAACAGCCTACCACTTAATAACCACATGAGTATCTGCTGTACCTTAATGGGCAGGTACTGGTTCAGCGGTCTGTTAAAGCCACCCGGCACACTGCAGTAGTCGGTGGGGTAAGTGAGGGCAGTGGAGCGCAGGATGTGATGCAGCAAGTTGCAGGCCAAACTGTAGCCCTGCTTACACCGCAGCCGCAAGGTCAGCTCCAGGATCTGTACCAGCTGTGTGCGGTATGGGAGCAGCTTCTCTCCGTCCACACGTGTCACCTGAGCAAAGGGGGAAGTGTTTTAACACACGCTGCATTTTAATGAATGCATGCACTAACATCTTTGCTCTGTGCGCATGCGTAAGTAGGCTTTGTATGTGTTATGATGTGTTCATTTATTATGTGTAGATAATATCCAGTGTTTTAGATACAGAATCATTCAAAAATTCCCCTAGAGGTATCAATAAACAAAGATTTTTTCAAAACCCCCTAAACCTCCCTAAACCTAGTAACTTGTTGTGCCACCCTTGGCAGTAACAACTGCAATCAAACGTTTCCAATAACTTGTGAGGAGTCTTTTACATCGCTGTGGAGAAATTTTGGCCCACTCTTCTTCCCAGAATTGTTTTAATTCAGCTTCACCGGAGGGTTTTCAAGCATGAACTCCCCATAAGGTCTCGCCACAGCATCTTATTGGAATTCAACTCAGGACTTTGACTCTGCCACTCCAAAACCTTAACTTTGTTTCTATTGAGCCATTCAGAGGTGGACTTGCTTGTGTGCTTTCGATCATTGTCCTGCTGCATAACCCAACAGCCCTTGAGCTTTAGGTCAAAAACTGATGAGTAGACATTCTCCTTCAGGATTTTCAGATACAGAGCAGAATGAATGGTTCCATCAACTATGTTGTCCAGGTCCTGAAGAAGCAAAGAAGCCCCAGACCATCACACTCCAACCACCGTGTTTGACTGTTGGTATGATGTTTTATGGTGGAATGCGGCGTTAGCTTTGCATCAGTGGTAATGGGACCCACGTCTTCCAAAAAGTTCCACCTTTGACTCATCAGTCCACAGAATATTATCCTAAAAGCCTTAGGGGTCATCTAGATGTTTTCTGGCAAATGTGAGACGAGGCTTTGTGTTCTTTTAGGTCAGCAGTGGTTTGTGTGCTGCAGTTCTCCCATGGATGCCATTTTTACCCAGTGTCTTTCTTAATGTGGAATTGTGTACATTGACCTTAACTGAAGTGAGGCTTGCAGTTCTTTAGATGTTCGACTAGTTTCTTTTGTGACCTCCTGGATCAGTCATCTATGCGCTCTTAGTGCAATTTTGGTAGGCTGGCCACTCCTGGGAAGGTTCACCACTGTTCCAAGTTATCTCCATTTGTGGAATGGCTTTCACTGCGGTTCGCTGGAGCATCAGAGCCTGAGCAATCGCTTTGTAACCCTTTCCAAACTGGTAGATTTCAATGACTTTGTTTAACATCTGCATTTGCTCTTTAGAACGTGCTGCTTTTGTGGCCTTCTAACCTGCTTCACATTGCCAGATAGATTCTATTTAAGTGATGTTTAGATTCAACAGGTCCAGCAGTAATCTTGACTGGGTGTGGCTGGTGAAACTGAACCGAATAATCAGTTGACATGTATCTTAAAAATTGAAACTTCATAGGAGAAGGCCAAAACATTCGTAACTTTAATGTAAGTCAATGGAAATACATTTCCAACTTATTTTAGACCATTTCTATAGTTTCATTCCTCATACACATTTTACGAAACATAATGTCAGACAATTTTTGATAGTTTTTTTTGTTGTTTTCTTTTGGACAGCGAAGATATCAACGTATCTACCTACACTGTGTCATTTTTCTTTTCACAAAGTATACTAAATTTGTTTTGAGAAATGCCTGGTTTCTACCTCTGACAACAGCTGGAGGTTCCACAACAGCTCCTTATCCAGCTCCTCCTCATTCAAAACATCCTCATCTGTAAAACAAAATCTTACCATGAGATCAATGTGGACTCCTGCACACAAAATAAGATAACCGCTCCCAGAGAGAGCTTCCTATGTACATACTGGCAGTAATGTGCAGGATGGCATTACAGCAGTGGGGCACAAACAGCCTCAGTGACTCAGCAGGGTGACACTGTAAGAAACATAGGGGAAAGTGTTGATACACGACCATACACAACCACACCTTCATGAGCTATGTGCAAACCTGGACTCGTACCTTAGAGGCTGCTCTGCACATGTCTGCTACCATTCGTCCTGCCACTCGTGTCTCAAAGATGTTGGTGGTGGCAAAGTTGAAGACCTTCTCTAGTGCCACCTGTTAACAGGGTCAGCAAAAGACAAAGTGTAACATACATTACTCAAAACTTTTTACTCAGAGTTAAATGTGGAGATGTGTGTGGATTTGTGTAACAGTGGTGGACAACAGAGAGGCACAAACCTTGAATATCTCCATGGAACACTGAGTGAGGATGGTGCTGAAGGTGGAGGACAGGCCCAGTTCTACTAGGCTCTCCAGGTGAGTCATCTTTTCAGTTTCTGTCTCCTCTCGTGTCTGCTCCAGTGTACTGCTGTCAATCAGTGCAAAGCACCTACAAACACAGTACATACCAGTAAACACTACACATCAAATGCCACAAAATATCCAAGAAACAGTAAACAGAAACACATCCTCAGACATCATCTGACATATGTTTATATGAATTCATAGAATTGATCAAAAATTCAGTCGTGTAAACTCCCACACACAATAACTTATTTACCTGTCCATAAACTGCAGGACAAAGTCCTCAAACTCAGCCGAGGCTGAACACAGCTCTCTTTCCATCTAGATGAGAAAGAAGACTTCAATTATAGCTTTCGCTTCTTGTGGCAGAGAAATGAACTGAACCCAGTGTACCCTTGGAGCGTGACAAAACTAATGGGACTCACCTCCGTCAAGTCATTCTGCTCATGAAGGGCAGAGGAGCAGTCCACCAAAGGCACAAGTGTAGTAAATGTAGCGATGAACTGGAATGTTATCTTAAAAAGTACAAAAAAAACAAAAAAAAAACTTGAGCATGATTTTGAGCATTTAAAAACACTTAATGCTGTGAAAATCAAGCATGCCCACGGAATAAGGCTTACAATCTAGTCCTTACATGCCACATCATGTGATATGTAACACTTCCAAAATGTAGTCGAATGCAAAAGTGTGTGTGCTCCAGTCGAATTAGGTTCTGCCAATTTTGTTAGTGAAAATAAGTTGACAAATCCTCTACAGGCATAAAACGTAACCTCTTCAAAAAAAAACTGCCAATATGATAAACTCAGCAAATAAATAGAAACTAAAAATACAAAAAAAAAAAAAGTAATCTGTAGAGGACGTGTTAACTGATTTTCACTTCACAAAATCAACAAAACATTTAATTTGGCCAGGTGTGTTGTGGAGTTGCAGTGCAGAGTACGTGTGTACAATATTATTAAAAATGTCAAAACATACCATGCACTTGCTGAAGTCATTGGGGTCGACCCCAGGCAGTGCCCTCATGAGTAGAGGCAGGACGTGGGCAGGGCCTTCAGGATAATGGTGCCCACCACTGAGCAGGCTGCGAGCCATGCCAATCATACAGCTGAGAGTGGCTGTCAGCTGATGAGGTTCAGTCAGGGTCTCCATGGCAGGGTACGTCCTGCAGGGGGCAGCGCATACACACTTGTCACAATGTGTTCAAATGAGTCATCTGGAGGAAACACTCTGTACCTGCTTAGATGTATTCTAAAAGCTTAGAAAGCTCCTACTACTTAATGCAGCCTTCATTTGAGCTACAGTGATCACCACAGGCATAAGTCACAGTCCAGGATTACATTAGCTTCACCAAATGAGTGCAATAAAAGTACAATAAATAGAACGAATTTCAACTGGCATCATTTAAAATGATAATTTGGCAAGAAATAAAATTCACACAATTTTCTCCCTTCCTCAAATGTAGCCAATCAGGCTAGACATATTTGCTTATTTTGTTTTACACTGGAGCTACAAGGCTAATGCAAGTACAAGTAATGGAAGCTTATACCCCTTCAGTTAGCACTGCGCAAACTGCAGGCATAATATATCACACACTTGCCTGAAATCACTTTATATTGCTTAGTAGTCTCAGACAGACTTGCTTATGTGGAAACGGACAAGTTATATGCTGAATAGTTAAAAAAAATTAGTACCAGCCATCTTTAGGCCCTTATTTTGTTGTTAATTTTTGATGGGCTAATCATCTATGTTTGAGGTCAAGAAAAAATTGTGCAAATTTGATGTTTCTTATTAAAAACATCATCATTATGAATACATATTATGAATTGTTCTCTATCTGCAGCACAGTGGGAAGAACTCACTTTTCCAGCACAGGGGGGATGACCAGCTCTGGTCTCATCAGAGCCAGGTTCTGCAATGCCTGGGCTGCATCCATGCTGCCTGTCTTGCTGAACATGGCCAAAAGAACCGGCTGTTTCATACTCTCCACAAAGTCTGTGATGTCCTGGTCAGTGAGGCGATGGCTAGCAGGGACCGGCGTGATCCAGCATGGCTTCTTGTAGCGTTCACGATGCAGTCGCCGCACCACACTGGCTGGCAAACGCTGCAGCAACTTCATCAGCTTCATCTGTGCAGACCACAAACTTACAATTTAGAGAGACAGATCAGAGTGCTAAGGTGAAAACTGACAGAGAGACAGATGTTTAAATGAAGTGAATTCAAAAGTCAGCTCTGAAATAAATAAAAGACAAAAAGATAAATGAAGTATATAGTAATAGAAAATACTGTCAAAGGCAAGAGTGGGTCTTGCATTGTGCAATGAGCCTTTCAGACCCATCAACAAACCACAGCCTTAAAAAGTACACACAACAGCAGGCTTTGCTAACTAAATTACACACTAAAACACTGCAATGAAGATGATAGACTGCCGAGCATGATGGATGGAAGATACTGGGTAAGTACCATCTCTGATTAATTTGAATATTTGGAAAGAATTTCTCAGTAATATGCCAGATTCAGAAGAACTGCATAATGTCATGGTTTGCATGTTAGTTTGCCAGCAATGCAAACCAAAGACAAGATAAAGCAATACATAAGTTCCATCACATCTACAGGAAAAGAGAGTGGTTGTGTTAATAAAGAATCTATCTGTGTTGCTACAATGGCATGCGCTTTGAGCAACTGCACTCTGCCAGAGGGCCATCTGTCCAGCATACGTATACTGCTGGCAGCACCATTTCCAGAAAGCAAACATAAACCTCAGCTGACAGCACACACCAGTGAAAGCTCTGGAATGAATATGGGGTGGGGGTGGACTTAAAAGAGCTGAGATATGTATGCATGAACACAACCACTTTTTAACACGTACCTCCTAGACATAGTTCTTCTGCGTGGGTCTTTGTAATTCTAGTATGATATTGTCCTTAAACTGTATTACTATTACTGCTTGCAAAAAATGTCATGTCTAAAAGCATGTACAACTCTCTCATTCCAACTCTGAGAGTTCACATGAACTGAGTATGAAATCATGCTTCATGGAAGCTGCAGCTGAGTATTAGCTGAAAGTCTCTCACCAGCCAGCGACCGTTGTTGGAAGGATGGTAGAAGGAGGCAATGCTGCTGAATAGGCCATTGAGCTGTATTTGGGCCTGGTTCTGAAGACCTCCCTGATGCAAGAAAACACACATCAAAAAATTTGAAGTTTTAGATAATACAAAATTACAAATGAGTAAAAATGATCTAACCCATAACACACAATAACTCAGCATGCACATGAGAAAGACAAACTTTCATTTTGGTGACCTGTAGTCTTTTCAGTAAAGAACAACATAAGCCCCAAACACTAACCAGCATTGAGGAGATCCACAGGACAACATGGCCAATGTCATAAGAGTTGGTCAGGTATCTCGGGACCACCATCTGGCTCGTGCCTACAGGCAAGTTGAAGCTCCGCAGAATCCTGGTGAAGATCTGACCACCATACACAAAGCATTAGTGTAAACTGACAATATCACAAGGTGCTTCTGCAAAAGTAATTCAAGGACATTCACTTAAACACCTTGGGGATGTAAGGGTCCCAGTTTACATAGCCGATGTTGTCATTGGCCAAACGAGCAAAAAGGTTCACAAGGTTCTGAAGTAGAAAACAACAGAGATCAAAATGAGTCAATGAGTGTTTAAAATGTGACATATATGCATGTAAATGTTTATTAACTGCATTCACCAATGTGTATATCAAATTTTCATACTTCATATGAATGAAACATTTCAGAAGCTCTATTAAATGTTTACAATACCAAATACTCACCCCCTCCCAGCTGGGCAGATTTTGTACTGAGACCCACAGACCCATCAGTTCATCAAACCATAATCTTAAAAACAAAACAAAAAAAATACAAGTATTATACACATACTCATCAGTTCTGTTTAGCTTAGAGTAAAGTGTGTGAGCAGTTTTTTTTTCCTGGGTGCTTTTCCCCACCACACATACAAAGGTACATACTATGTGCCTGTTTATTAGGTACTGTCTAACAGAGTCTTCAACCTCCTTTGGCCTAAAGTAAAGGATTAATTCACCTGAGCTGATGGATTCTACAAGACATTGGATGAGCTATGCAGGAATGCTACACCATGCTAAAATGACTGCATTGTGCATTTGCTGTAAATAGGCTGCCCAGCCATGCTGTGAACCGCCTTTCCACCTCATCCTCAATAGGGTTGAGATTCGGCGATTGCACAAGCCACTGCAGCTAGAAACTGTTGTGTTTCTGGAACCATTCGGTGATGTTACATGTTGCATTATCAAGTTGGAGGTGTCCATTCATGTGCAGATAAACTGAAGAAATGAACCGGGCCAGCAACAATGCTCCTCTATGAGTATCATGGGCTCTAATGTGTGCCAGGAAAACACTGCTCACAATGCTCCACAACCTGTCACACCAATGCCCTTTACTTTTGCCAGACAGGATCAAACAGGTTGGCTCAATTTGCTTGCGGCAAACTCTTATCCTTCCATCAGCATGACGCTAAAGGAACCTGGATTTGTCTGACCATGTAACCTTTTTTTCTACTCCTCAGCTGTTTTAATGATATTAAAGTCCAAATCTAAACTTTACAATGGGAACACAACAAAAGCTTTTTAGGAAGAGAGCTAATGAAAAGTAAGAAAAATATATGATGATGAACAGAAAATGTAAAGCACTCTAGGTTAAGAAATGTAATTTTACGTTGTTTGAGTTTAAGAAGTGTGATAATTGAGAACTGGTCAGTCAAGCTGTGATTAGTATTAAGGTATAAAATTAAAATCTAAGATATAAATTAAAAAATATACTGGATGATATTTTCAGTTATCAGAATTTTTAGCCCCCTAATATTGGTATTAGCCACAAAATCGGTTGAGCTCTAGCATATATACAAAGGTAGCAAACACAAATTCAGTGTTGAAGGCTCATGACACATTTAAAGACCCAGTATGTACATTTTTTCAGAAAAAAACTTGTTTAATAAATTAATATTTAATATAATTTAAAGAAACAAGGATATTATACAAGGTTATTATATAAGCAAAACTTAAATGTAGTGGACCTTTAAATGAACACCATGCTTTTTCACCAATCTAAGTACAAGAACAGTAGGCTATAGAGGACTGTTACTTGAAGCCTTTGTGGTGCTGCTCAGGTGGCATAATGGTGGGCAGAAAGAGCTCAAAGTAGCTGATAGCTTTCTGCATGGTGACATCAAATGGGCACAGCAATGGCCGCCACTCATCCAACATTTCCTGTGTGGCAGACTCAGGGAAATACCTACGTACACAAAACACACAAAACAGCATTACTTTTAAAAACAGACACACACACACACACACATACACGAAAAAAAACAAAACACAAAAACACCAGTCATTTTACATCACATGCTGCCACTTGATGTCAAAAAGTTTTTGTTTTTTTTTACAGAAACCTCTTTTAAAACAGACAGTTGCTGGAAAATACTTAGTATATTAATGAAATGGTCAACTGCCTAGGGTCTTACGAGAGAGCTGTAATCAGCTCAGAGCGAAAGCCATGCACAGGCTCACCCAACAATGACCTGATTACATTACTCTTTCAACGGTACATGGGAAATCTGATTATCACAATGCCAGTTCTCCTGTGAACAGGTCAAATATTCATAGACCTGAAATGATAATGCACAACAATATGATTATGCAAACAACAAAGCATTTATAGGATACTCACAATCTGCAGCTTTTCACCAGTGTCTTCAGCACATTCTCGACAGAGCTACAGAAAACGAAAGATGAAGGGAAGGAGAAAATCAAAGAAAGCAGTTTAATGCAATATCACAGAGTGCACATGATACTGAAACAGCTGTTAAGAGAGCAAAGGATGCAATTAGACCACGTGCAAAGCAGAAACCTAGAGCTTTTGGTGGAGGTCTAATTGAAGCTTCCCAGGCCCAGACCACACTACACTAGAAAGCCATGTGCAGCATGCCAATTTTTAGATTAATTTTATTTTCCTGTTTTTCAATGCACAGAACTACGCTTGATTAAAATGGATATGAATTTATTGATCTGGCCTTCAGTTACTTCCTAACCTCAAATAACTGATTAAGAAATATATATACCAAATGTCTGTGTCTTTCCAGAACTGTGTAGGTGGTGGAGGCATACAGATTTGCTAATATCAAGTAAGCATCCTAAAATATGTACTTGCAATCAAGGAAAGAAGTATAGCCGCAGCTGCTGATATCCTTTCCAAAACACACCTCATTTACCTGTTATTAAACACCAATGCACACACTCAGTACCAGCGAGAGGAGGTGGGCTGGGGGCTGGGCGGGTTTAAAATAGAATACATACTGATACCAGACACCAAAGGGAAAACTGGCAAAACTAATGTGACCTTTTCCTTTCAAACCAGGAGATAAACAACTGATGACATAGGATCTTACCCAGTTGGTATGATCAGCATTAGAAAAAATTACACGATCAATATTACACCTGCACCAGAAAGATTAGTGAGCATGAATCAAGCCTTTTTTTCCCTGAAAGCATGACTAATCATTCAGATTGTTCTTTAGTACGATGTGACAATGGGCCATTTCAAAAGAAATAAGCAGAGAAAAGCCACAAGTGAACAGAGTCAATGCCATTTCAACAAAAGGACTTTTTTTTGCTATTGTTGTTTTGTTTGGCTGGCAGACTACCCTCAACCTAGCAGTGACACTAACATGTGTATAAACCTCAGCAATGCCACTGTCCCCAAACGACATGTTGATGTCACTGCCATGAGAATGGCCTACCGCCCAAAAAATATCTGGTCAGCAGCAGCCCTGCCATCAGAAACTGACCAATGATGAACAGTGTAGAGGGTGGCTGACAAACTGTGCATGACAACAGATTTATAATTGTGCTAGTTTGTACATGTGCAACTATAATAAAGTTGTATCTACTGTTTACTTAATAACTGGCCGTGTAAACTGTGTTGGGGGCCAACAGTTGATTTTGAATTTGGTTTAATTTCAGATGCATGCAATTAACACCAGAAGCTGCCCTTTAAAAAGTACAATACAACATATAAAAAACACTGGCTGTGCTTACCGCTTGCGCATATAATTAAGCATTTTTTGTTTAGGGGAGGCTTCTGCTCGATAACTGAATGTGGGAAAAGGAAAGACGCATAAGCCAACACTAAATACAACATCAACTGATATCTTACATAGCAATTACCATTTAATGTTCCCTACTAAAAATAGCCATTGCAGGTGTAAGGCTAATTTGATAAGATGGCATAAAGAAAAATGTAAATACTAAAATTCAAAATTTATAAATAAAAATAAAAACTCAAGCCTCCAAATATTGAACTAGAAACTAGGGCATGTCTTCCATGAAGCATGCACAAAATTCAGAAGCCCTTTTTCCATAACCCAGTTGAACAGTCTCTTCTGTGTGTGTGTGTATACCAAGCAGAAACATTTGGCAAGAGGTGCAATGTCAATAAGGAACTCTTCAGAGAGAAAATGCTGTTCCGTGGGCATTAAACTTCACACCTGCTAACCACAGCAGAGGAGTTTGCAGTCTGTAAGTAGAAAACTAAAGAGAAGATTTAAAGTGAGGGACCTACTTTGGAAACCAGTTGAGACCAAGATGCTCAGTTTTAGAGTAAAGGATCTTCTCATAGAGTTCATACAAAGGTCTCCAAGGCAACTCCAAGTCATCTCGTGACAGCAACTCTTTTTTCCTATATTTGGAAAGAGAAAACAGGTTTAGCACCAATGTTCACTAAATTGACAAAGTAAGTCTATACGCACAATTATATGTTGTTCTCAGTAGACTAGTTTTAGGTTGCATACTTCAGTAAGTTGATGAGGAGTCGTGCAAAGCTCTGCATCATGCTGATGTCCAGCTTAGGGATAGTGACCAGCTCATATAAGAGCTTAATGAAGAGCACATGGTCCTCTTTACTGAACTTTCTGCCATAGAGACGAAGGTACCTGCCAGAGTAATACAGGACATGTTACAGTGGTGAGTAGTTAGCGAGCACAGTCCATAACACATACAACATCAGTAACTCCAACAAAGCAAGTATGCCAGCATGAAGCTGGTAGTGCAAGTATGTCCATTCTGAGAAGCAACCCTTTCCTATCTTATTTAGACAGATGTTACATGCCGTGGTCATGTGCTGCATGTAAGACCTTTAGAAGGTTACAGTGAAGTGCTGCATCAGGCTAACAGCATACTGATAAAGAAAAAAGACAAATAAGTGGGAATAGAGAATTTTTCTCAGTGCAACTTTAAGGGAAATTCCATCCATTGTAATCTGACAAAGTGTGATCTGACATCCAAAGTGGTTTGATGGGAATTAAGCACTGAGTGAAAACATTACTTATTTCTTTTTAATTGTGCTGATGGAAACCAACATTTAGCAAATATAGGCATTTCATTTGCAGTCCAAAATGACCACTGAAACTTTGTGTGTTTTCTGAGTTTTATGTGTAATATGTTGACAATAGTAAAGTTAAAGTAAAATTTAGGTAAATCAGTCGACTACTTTGACTGCACATTTTTGGGAACAAAAACCTGCATGTAGCTCTTTGCCAAGAATGGATTTTAAAAAAATATGTTTCAGGCCAAAACCTTATCTTAAAACTTTTGTTATGTTGTAGACAACAAGCAACATATTTATAAGAATGCTGCATAATAACTTTCTGTGAGGTATCTATTGGAAGCATTATGAGCTTTGGATGTCTGGTTCCCATCACCACAGCTGTGAACATTTGAAAGTTGGTAGCTAAGTTTCTCTAGAATGGTACACTTCACATCAAACCACTCTGAATGCATCTGTTTACAAAAAAGAAGAAAGAAGTGTCCTGTGGAACTCCCCTTTTTAAAAAAAACAACTGTACACCACTGTTTTTGGGGTCCATGCAAATGAGTGATAGCATCTGGAAGCCATGGCTGACATTACTTTAGCATAGGTGTATGTGTGTATGTTTCAGCCTGGACAAGACCTTGAACTTTAATGATTAAAAATCAAAAAGGTGTAAATAGCAGGAAATCCACAAGGTGCTAAATACACATTTCAATGATATATTGTCATGTAAATAACTCTTAAATAGAATAAACAGAACAAAGTGTAGGTTGTTTAGTCAGCTATTCTACCATAAAGACATTTTGCAGATTCACTTGTTTTTAAATATGAGCTGAAAACAAACTCTTCAAAACACCAGAGTCCCTTTCCAGCAGGCTACAACAAAATCAGCTAACTTAAATAAAAACGTACGTTTCCCCCTTTTCTTAGCTTTTTCCCTTTCCATAATACTACTTTCCTGGCTTGCTATTTACTGGCCATTAACAAAGACACAGATAACGGCCAGCTTCTGAAATTAGCCACAGCTAACCACCGGTTGCAATTCAAGCCAGCTTTCTGATTAGCTCAAGCTACCTAAGATAGCTAACTAGCTATATAACTACACTAGAGTAGCAGTGCTAAAGCGACAGATGTAATTCAACCAAGCTACTTTCTAAGGTTATATATAGACCCTGGTAAACACCAACTAGCAACTTCTGCTAATTGATATGCGCAGCTAGCAGTAGCGGCAGATAAGGGACGCCAGAACTTGCTAACTCATCTGGCTAGCGGCTTGCTAACTAAAGTTAGCTTGCTAGCTAGCTAGCAGCAGTCATTTTCTAAGACAGCAGTAGGCCCGACCATACAGGTTATAGCAATATGGCAGACTCCTCTGGTTAACGGTCAAATCCTGAACTTTGAGAGCTGATGGGTTCACAGTAACTCTTATTTATTCGATCATTTTAAAGGTATACTCACGTTGAGAGCTTCCTTGTCCAGAACAAAACTCCGGGCCATAACTCCCTGAGCTGGACAGCCCGAGCCAAGTTCCCTTTGATTCTGGCCAAAATGACATTAGATTCATTGTCTAGTTTATGCGCATAAGGAAGGAGTTTGTTGTAGACAATGTCTTTTTGAGGGACAAAACCTAATGTGTCGGCCTGGTCCTTTTTCATATTACGATTCCCCAAAATATCCTCTTCTGTACTTGTGTGTTATATTTTCCTAGTCCTTGACAAGTTCCCTTGACAAATATTTCATTGACAAATCCACTTGCTAACGTTACTCCACGTCTGCCGTTTGAAAACTTCGTGTATTCCGGAGAGGATCTCGCGCACATGGACCACGGTTACTTCGTCGGTCTTTCTGACCTCCGGTATCAGACACGTAACATTAGCTTCGGTCACCCACATATAGCTAGTAGTCTCCCTTCACACTCTTGGACACACATTACGAACCACACGAGCAGTACAAACACCGGCGGTGGAGAGCAGAGTCTCCCTCCACAGACACAGGGCGCCCCCCTTGGTGCCTGTCTGTCACTTCATCTGGTTAAGAGCGGATGAAATGTAGCATACAGTGCAGTCAGTACGTTTGGCAGCAGCGACTGAAAGAGGGATCACTCCTGCCTGGTCCTCACTAAATCACTGTCTGAAATTACTGAAAAGGATATTGTGAAGCAGGTTTTGTATGGAGTCCATAAAGACTGTATGATAGATATTAATCCTCACATGATCTGGACAATAACAAAAAATCCTAGAATCACATCATGTGAGTCTGGAGTCGAAGACTGCCTTTGTTTCACTGTTCTCACTTAATAAACAAATAAATGTGTTTTATCTTAACTTACTGACAACATTTTATTTGCATATAGGCCCTATTTACTTTGTTTAAATGGTTTATCGGTGCCAATGGTTCTAATGAGATCACCTCAATCCTCTTTGGTCTTTCTTTATGCAGTGACCCAGTGCACTACTGTTCCTGTTGCTAATGTTATCAGGACAAGCCACTATGTGCTGCTTTGGTTGAGTATTATTTACATTTACTGTATTTAGCAGTTGCTCTTATCTATTTTAATTTGTTGTCTGCTAGTAAGACATAGACATGACTACTGCAAAAAAAGCTACAGATACCTTTGAGCTAAGATAGTCAGATACCTAGACACAAAATACACAATACAGAGATAAGACATTTGATTAGCGCAGTAACAAGACATTGGCAAGATTGTAAGACATTTCATATGCAAAAGTTTTGGCACTCCAGTTAAATTCAATTGTGTCAATTTTTTAAGTGAAAATAATACAAACACATCCTCTACAGAGAACACACTTCTGCACATTTTACTACACAATTACTATTTACTTGCTGAACTTAACATTCTGAAAAAAATAAAACATAAATGTGGTCTGTGCAAAAGTTATGGCACATTTAATATTGTTTTGCAAAGCACCTAAAAAAAATAAATAAAATGGTTTGTAACTCATTCACTTATACACTCACTCACACACTCACTCACTTATTCACTCACTCACTCACTCATGTTTAATAAGATTCTCCACAAAGGGGGAGCTACTGGCACTGTAGTAACTAGAATAAAAAAACTTGCTCAGAATCACTTTCATTTCACATACAAGGAGTTTGGCTTGGTATATACAGAATTTTACAGAATGAAATGAACATTAAAAAAATTACATTTGTAAAGTTCTGCAAATCAGCTTTATATTACAGATGAGTTATACTGTAATACAGTAAGGGTGGTTTGTTGTTTCCAGTTTAAGTTTAAAGTGCAAGGTGTCCATTCTGTTAATGACAGCCACAGCTCTGGGGAAAAAGATGTTAGCATGTCTGATTGTGCAGCCTTAGATGGCCCTGAACCTTCTTTCACAGTGTGGTGGTCCTGTTTCAGGACACTCCCTGGACCAGGATTCTGGCTGGTCATACAAAAACGCATTTTTTCCGTGCCAAGCCCTGTCACCTCAGACTACAACTCAAGTTTGTGCTGAGAATCACATACACAGACATGATCACACACCTTTTACCTGGAGCCAGGAACTGTCTAATCTAATCTCATCAAACACACATCCTGCATCTCCTGTAGCCAATCCGAAATGTTACACTGTTCTCGTCAGCCAATCACAAGCACTGACCTGTTCCCAGCCAGCCAAACCAACCTCTTTGCCCGAAGGGTCAGTTAGTTCTGGGAAAGTAGATTTATCCTCTTAGATCATAGGTATTGTTAATGAGATCCTGGATTAGCAGCCTCTCACCAGCCTCTCTAAGACAAGCTACTTCGGCTGAAACAGTTGAATGACAGCAGAACACCTGTGCGGTCAGTAAATTAGAAAAAGTTAGTCAGTTTTTTTTTTTATCTTTTTTTAATCTTTTTTTAATCTCTTTTTTTCATCTGTGCTAGTTTGCAAAAGTAATCCAAATTATTGCCAGGTGAGTAATTATTAGGTGTTCCTGCAGTTTGGCTGCTCGTGCTATAAGTTTACTATTCTTTCACTGCTGTACTGTCCTTATGGCAATTTCTTTTCAACAGTTAGGTTTGTGTCAATCTACATGGTATGCCCTCAATCCCTGCAGGCAGGCAGGAAACAGCTCCTTGAACAGGAGACCCACTCTGTCGTCATAAATCACATTAGAGGATGTTTTTAGCATTGATTTTGATTGGCTCATGTGACTTGTAAATCCCTACTGACCCAGCAAGACAAGACCACGTTCTCCTTCGCCTTCAGCTTCTAGCAACAACTGTGACATGATTGCCCTCTTCAGGACAAAAGGGAAAGTTCCTGGACAGTTGTAGTCTCCAACTCCAACAGACATCAAATAAGCAGCATTAAGAAAGTTACTCAGAAATGTAAGTTGCTATGCTACTGCTATGCTATGCTATGCTATTCCCTTGCACAGTATTTATGCGTACAGTAGTGCTTACAATGGCAGGAGAGTCCTCCATCACCGTGCCACCTTTGGTCTACTTTTGGTTCAACAACACTGCCTTATGGCATAACTGCTGGCAGTGGGGTGGTGGGATTGTTTTTTCACTGTGGCCCATGGCACACAAGGGGGCCCATGGTGACCAGATGGTGACTCTAATATCTTTATGGGGCCCCTAACAAAGATGCCGAAGCAAATGTACACCCATGATTCAATTCCTTAACAACATACCTTACCAGTTAGCTTCCATCAGCACTACACAGACAAACTGACATCTAATTAACTTCTTCTTATTTATAATGTAGCTCATCCATTGTAACCGTTTTCAATTCACCATTTTCATTTATATTCATTATTTATCATTTTAAAATCTTAAGAAGATTCAAACTAAACATTTAGGCTAACATTAGGTGTTAGTGGGTAGAGCAGCATGTTTCTTTAGTGAAGGAAATGGTTCAATTTAGAACCACAAGTTCTATACAAAACTATTTCATGCTTAAATGGTTTGTTGCATAGTGAAATAGTTCTTCAGATTGATGAAGAATATGTTGTATATGGTTTGATATAGAACCTTTTTGAAAATGGTTCTATACAGCTCTAGAAAGGGTTCTTTTATTGTTACAAGCTAGACTTCGTAACAATAGAAGAACCTTTTTTGGTGCTACATAGAACCATTTTGAAAGGGTTCTATATAGAACCATATACAACACATTCTCCATCAATCTGAAGAACTATTTCACCAGTCAAAGAACCATTTCAGAATAGAACTCATGGTTCTAAATAGAATCATTGCCTTTACTAAAGAATCTTTGAAGAACCATCTTTTTAATTGTGTACTTGTCTGAGATATAACAATAGTAAAAGGAACAAACTGTTGTCATTTTTTTAATTGATAAAAAGTCGTTTTCTTACGAAGGTCCATTTTTTTTGCACTGGGGCCCCTGAGTTACGCCACTGACTTTCATTTGGGACAACTTGAGTTTCTACCATCATGCTGCTCTAGTCCACAATGAGTTCATTGACTACCACGCTCTTAGTCCTAAAGAAAAGTTCTTTTCAGCCTGAGGACAGAAGGTGCATGCTCATATGCATGTCTCTTCTCTAGGCAGATGTGCAGTCCAGGGCCAGAGACACCACTCCAAGCTACACTTACCTTTTTAGCCAAGAGGAATATGACACACCATATAGTTGAGGTGCTGTGGCCAGATCACAATAGCATATAGGATAAAGCCAGAGTTTTTTATTATCATTTATTTGTTTATTTTACCACAGGAGCCTATTTTTGATCACATATTTCTACTGCATTGTGTGACACTGATGATACAAAAGGCTACAGTGTTCACTGAGTGTAGTTGGTTGTTCCAATAATTTGATGCAAAAATACTGTTTTGAAAAGAGATAACTGTTTTGCAGTACATAGTACTTCAGTTTTGCATCTAGAGTTTTGCATCAAGAGTTCTGACAAAATGAATCAGTTGTGAAGAACTATGAACTATTAAGTGATCCTGATTCCAATTTCTTCATTCAATTGGGCAATGGTTGATTTTTTTGGACAGTTTTTTATCAGCTGTTGGATGCAAAAATTGGACACAAAAAAACACACTAGCAGTAATATGTTGTATTAGCCAGATTCTCTAAAATTGGCCAAATTGGCATTTTAAAATTCATTAACAAAAAATATTTGCCTATTTATATTTCACGAATCAAATAACGTGCTACCTCAAAAATAATAGGCAACTGGCTATTTAATACAATAAGTCATGCATAATTGTGCTACAATATTTTAGAATAGGTGTTATTAAAATAATCATTTCACATTGCATTGCTTGTCTGAAGTAAAAAGGTAGATTCCAATCTTGGCTAAATCCAAAAAAGGCAAAAAAGTACAAAAAAGTAAGGAAAGAATTTGCACACAGTACACAGTAATCCAGTACATCAAATGTTCCATAACAATGATCTGCAAGCATCATCTGGACAGTAAGAGGCCTTTGACTGAAGAATGAAATCTGTGACCACATTGTTTAACCTTTACCCTGGCTTTCTAAAAGCACTTTACTTCTGTGTCTATTATTGGCCAATACTAAAAGGGAACTTAAGTGTATAAATCATAGTTGTTCTCTAAGTGGTTCCAGGATGATTGCTCCTCTTTAATAGTTTAAACAGACCCTGAGAACATTTGTAAAAAGAATGGCAGTGGTAGTTGGTCCACGGGGATTTCACCTTGAAAGGCTGACGTTTC